TAAGTGTCCTCGCTAAATCTCGAATTTGAACAAAAAATAGTCAGAATATCGCAGTCTATCATACAAACTATCCGCCGTTTTGTTCAAAATGTTTACTGCAAGGTATATAGAGTTGTTACATCAGCAATTACCAAGTTTTCTTTTTAATTTTTGTTAGGAGAAGTGCTTCGTTTCGTTTTTGTTTTGAAGAAGTACGTGGCCGCGGTACGGCGATGCATAATACGTAATATCGCGATTTCTCCTTCGCGGTTTTCGCTTTAATGCAGTGCTCCAGTGCGCGGAGGGAAGCGCACTCAACGAAGCTGCTGAGCCGACCAGAACAGACACCGAACATGAGAATATTGCGCGACTTCAGAGTACGGTCAGTGTTTGATAGAGCATAATGCGATAATCGAAAGTTCTAAAAATTCGGGCACGCCTACCGCAACCAACCGGCCGTGTCCTCGACTGTTTTCAGCATTGATAAAGTGAAATTACGTTTTGGGCACAACCGTTCGCGAAAATTCATCATATATTGTCGAAATGTAGCAGGATGTAGCAGGGCAAGCACTTTGGCGCAATCTGGCGCAAATGAAGCAGCAATCACATCACTGGGGTTTTTCGCTCAGTTGCACGAGGTAACAACTTTAGCGCGCTTTTCTCGCGCCGTACATCTTCCTACAATTTACCTTTTGAGTGGTTTTCGATGATGCTCAGCAAGTTTTTAATTAAAACTATGTTTATTTTCACTACTTAAAAGTTAATGAACGAATTTGAGTAATTAACCGACATATTGTGAGGATTATCCCCCTGAAGAAAATCTTAACCTAGCTTACAGCGAGTTTGTGGGGGAAATTAGGCAACTATATGATGACGCGTTCCCCTTAAATAATTCAAGGAAACGAAAAGAAACAGAGCCCGCGAACCGTGGATTGAAAATCTTTATAAAGGGATAGAAAAGAACAGTTTTTACCGTTGTTTTATAAAAAAAAAAAATGGGATAAAAACATACCTACAAGCTGAATTTAGAAAAGTATGAAGCAAACTACATCGTGACATCAAAAAAGCAGAAGCAAAGCTAGCATTGTTTTCAGAAATTTGAAAGCACCTACCATGACACGAGATAAATATAGGACACCGTGAAGAACCTAACGAACAGAAAAGGCACACAATAATATCCAGGAACTCAGCATAACAACAAGATACGCGACGTCGAACTTGCTGACACGATGAACCAATATTTTATCAATGTGGTCAAAAAGTCCAATTTGGGGGTTTTACGTGCCAAACCTACGACGGGCATCTGGCACGCCCCAGCGGAGGACTGAGGATTAATTTCGACCACCTGGGGATCTTTTGACGTGCAACCGAAAGCTCGGTTACACGACGCCTTCTCCGCAATAAGCCTCCGTCATATTGCGGGCACCTCGGTCGGGATTCGAACCCGCCACCTGGGGATTATCAATGTGGGAGTGCCAGATAAACCCCAAAAGACAAGTTCATGCAATGATGAAGCAAGTAGTCCTTGTGTCCCAGGGCCAATAATGCTGGTGCCAACAACCCCAAGTGAAGTACATTACAAATAGAGGGGCTGCAAAACAATGTAGCCGCAGGACTCGACAATATCAAGGTCGTACTAATAAAGAAGACATAATTTACAATAAGGAACATTCTATCCAACATTATGAACAACATGTTTGCGATGACAATTTTTCCTGGTGAATTAAAGTTACGATAGTTCACCGTGTATAGAAAGGTGGAGGAGAAAATCACCTGAAAAACTATCGTCCCATATCGGTGTTGCCCGTCTTCTCAAAAACAGATTTGGAGGTGTGTTAAACGATAGGCTAGTCAACTTTTTAAATAATCATAATGTCATTACCACAGCTCAGTATGGCTTTCAAAAAGGAAAATACACCGAACTGGCGCTCATAAACATCAAGGATACAATTGTAGGTAATATATAAAACAAACTACTCACCTTAGGGTTATTCTTAAATTTTAGAAAAGCCTTCGATACAATTCAACATAACATACTGTTTCATAAATTGGACAATTATGATATATGTGGTGTCGCTTTGAAACTTATAACATCATACCTAGAAAAATTCTTTCGATGTGTTCAAATTAAAAATGTACACTCTGGAAGAAAGTTAGAAATGAAGTGTAGCGTCCCTCAAGGTTCCATTTTGGGATCAGTATTCTTCCTAGCATACATAAACAGTATCAAGGCCATTCCAGATTCACAAAAGCTAGTCATGTACGCCGATGACAAATGTATTTTTCGCCTGGAAAGACCAAATCTACTCTTGAAAAATCAGCGAACGAATATCTAACAAAGCTGTCGTCCTGGCTTCAAAATAACAAATTACTACAACTAAACACAGATAAAACCAAATATATGATATTTAGGCCGGTAAATAAACCCGGTGATGGCTCGATTTCTATTAAATACGAAGATAATTTAAATGAACAAGTGCGGGTTAAAATATTTGTGGTTCTTTGGTTTAAGAATTAAAATAAACAACTCATGTGACAAAACTTAAGTCAGAACTAAGCAGATCGGTTGGTTGCATACAAAAAATAGCAACACTTGTTCCTACCTGACTGAAGAAAATGCTGAATTATACTTTGCTCTATTGTGAAATATGTCACGGAATTTTGGTATGGGGCACAACAGGCTTTTCGAATTATGACAAAATAATTGTTGTATAGAGAAGAGTGTTACGCCTGCTTGAAAATTACAAAGGAAATATATTCAAATTTAATAGCCCATGCAATTTCGCCCAACACGCAATTATTCAAGGCAAACCAAATATATTACTTTAAATTATTGCAAGCGATATATCAGAAAAATCTCTATGAAACAAATCAAGAGAGTTTAAATAATTTATCTACATTTCGACATGACACAAGAAGAAAGCCGAGCATGTGCACAAACTAGGGCAAACAAAAAATGAGTTATCAGGCACCAAAATTGCTCAACCAGGTTGACAATAATCTCGATAAACCTGCAAAAAATATTCTTATAACACACAATATTACTTACTCATAATCATCAAAACTAAACCTGCCAACATATATATTATCTTCATGACTCTGCAGTGTGTATATAGTTAACCATACTTCACCGCGTTATCCTTCCCCTGCGGATCTGGAATACATCTTATACTGTACCTTAGATCATTTTCTTGTTTTTTTCCTCATGTCCATGTTGGTTTTGAATGAAATATATTATTTTTTAATTGTTCATATTTTTATGCTTCTTCTTGCTATTGAGACTGTTATTTTTAAAGCAATTGAGGGCTGTGACAAGTGTTACTGATGTTTCCGCTTCCAATTTTATTGCCATTCTCACCTGCAGATCTGGAATGCGTATTCAACTGCGCTTTAGACCTTGTTCTTGTTTTTTCCTCACAACCATTTTGGTTTTGGGTGAAATATATTCTTCTTTAATTGTCCATATTTATGTCTCTTCTTGCCATTCAAACTGCAACTTTTTTATAGCAACTGAGGGCTGTGACAAGTGTTACTGTTGTTTCTGCTTCAATTTTATTGCTACCATATTTTATTTTCACTGTACTGCTATTTTTATGTTGCTCGGAATTTGAATCATGTAACATGTCGCTGGCATATTTTTTTAGCGTGGCAAATGTACTCTGCATGCTGAACTGTACAGGGGGGTGGGGGCTCTGTTAGGCAGCAATGCCTTTTGCCTCTGCCTCCCTACCCGGTATTGCTGGTAAAAATCCAAATAAAGAATGCATGATTGAATGAATATTTGTTCCCCTGGCCATATGCCAATTGCATAAACTGCATTAGTGTAGCTTTTGCAGCATTTTTAGAGGCCCGTTCACACTCTTGCAACCGAGCACGACCAAGAGAGACGACTTGTTAAAACCTCTTAAAATTTCTTAGGACGAGAGAACACACTGGCACGCTGGCGCCATCTATGCGGTGACCCTGGAACTACATTTCACATGAGCGAAGGTTTTGCGTTATTTCCGAGGTCAAATGTGCGTAATACCTATAAGAAAGGCTCATTTATAACATTGACAAAAGTTTTTTGAGCCAAGAAAGAAAGGATAATGCGCGAGAGAAATAGAAAATATGCCGGACCGCCAAGTTTACACTGCTACCCAATAGATGGCGCCAGTGTGTCCTCTCATTGTGAGAGGCTTTAAGGAATCCAGTTTTAAGAGGTCACAAGAGTGTGAGTGGGCCTTAAGGCAAATCTGCAAGGCCACCACCCTGTATATGTTTGTGCCATGCATAACCATGCATATACAGATAATTTATAGGGTCGACAATAAATCCCGAAAATGCAAGCGGAAGCTGCCCCCTCCCCCCCCCCTCTTTGGCTTGCCCTTGGCACGATTGGATACACCCTTCCACAGAAGGGCTGCTGCCATTTTAAATGTGGTGTATTTGCTAAAGTGGCCAGCCCATGCCACTGGAGTGTTTCTTTCACACACTAGGTTGTTAACATTTTTTAACTGTAATATGGTATATAAACATACTACTAGATATTACTTGTGATGCTCGTTAAAGCTCCCAGGCTAGTGGTTGTACTGCGCTGACGAAATTTCTCATCTACAGCTGGGAGACTCGTTGCCCGTTGAGGCAGACCAAGCTCTAGGCTGGATAAACATACACCCACCCAATTTTTTTTTTTTTTTTGAGAGAGAGAGAAAGGCTGGATGTTTAAACAAGAGCCATGTCCCTGGTTCCTCACATTTCTACAATGCTAGTAAAGCAACGGCTACAAGTGCCATTTCTTCAACTGTAAAATATTCACAAAGTATTCTAAAGAAGGCAAAACAAAGAAAGAGAAAGAAAGTATGAACGTGCATGTTGTAACAATCTCCAAATGGTTGACTGACAGAGCCTGTCACATCACAAGCAAACCTCAGACTTGGCAGCATTGTTGTTCGAGACAACTTGCACACCACAAATTTCCCCAAAAACCCATTTGAAGTTCAAGGTATACGACATTACGATGGGCCGATTAAAAGATCAGGTAACATTCACAAAAAATAAACACCAACATTTATTGCTGGGTCAGCAGTCCTCCATGGGTGACAATGAAATCAAACGATCATGTGATGAGAAACACAAAGCCGTCCACTTGATGCTTGAAAGACACTGAGATGTTGCGCCGAGAAACGTCAAGTGTCCAGGTCACTAGCCTTGCCATCTAGCCACCAAAGCCTGAGAGAATTGTCCGCTTGGGCAAGGGAGTCCTCCTCAAAGATGCTGCTGCTATCGTCACCTGAGAGTTCGGGAAACTTCCTCTGCCCAGAAGTTGTGGCATAAACAGGAAGTGATGGGTGCAAGCTGAAAGAGCAATGTCATACTCTCTTAGCAAAACCTTTATCACGTCCCAACAACTATCTTCATCTCTGCTCTAATAACAGAGGGAAAAGTAAAGGAAAGCAAGTACACTCCACAACACTGTTAGTACAAACAAGTCATTGCTGGTTCCCCCGTTTTAGAGCGCAGCTCTTAGGCGCGCGTTTCCGGGTTGAGCGGCGTCAATGTAATCGCGTGACGTCACGCGTTACATCCCACGTGACGTCACGTGTTATATCACGAGGGCCACGAGTGGCATCACCAGGGTCACCAGTGATGTCACACGTGATGTCACGTGACATCAAGAGGGCCACAAGTGACGTCACGAGGTCCACGAGTGACGTCATGAGGGTGACCAGTGACATCATGAGGGTCACCAGTGACGTCACAAGCATCACCAGTGACGTCACGAGGTCCACGAGTGACATCATGAGGCACCAGTGACGTCACAAGCATCACCAGTGACGTCACGAGGGCCACGAATGACGTCACGAGGCTCACCAGTGACGTCACGAGGGCCACGAATGACATCACGAGGGTCACCAGTGACATCATGAAGGTCACCAGTGACGTCACAAGGGCAATGATTGACGTCACAAGGGTCATGTGTTACGTCACAGGGGTCACGAGTGAAATCACCCTAATGAAATCACACAGCCATGCTCCCCCTTCCCCTCCTCCTCCCCAAGAGCTGTGCTCTAATTCAGCGTTACAGAGAATTGTAAACGTCTTTTATTTTTTCTTTCACTATCATTAAAACTTCTAAAGTGGTCGGAAATGCTCAGTTGGGATAATAGCGTAAGTGGTAAATGTTGATGCCGGCAGTACTCCTCATCGAAATAAAATGTAAAAAAGTGCCGAATTTGTGTTCGCACTAACGAGCAACCCCCATCCAAGGAGATGCACTATGAAGTATTCTTTCTTGCCGTTTTTAAGTTACATTTACAATACAAGTGTATTCAAGTAACAAGTAAAAACAGTCAGAAAATGTTTGTTCTAACAAATACACTCGTCCGACCAGGGATGGTTTAATAATTATTAATTCCTTTACTTTTTAACAAAAAGTTAAAAAACTCTTTTTGTTGTTTCTTTTTTTTTTTTAAACAAAAAGATTTTTAACAAAAAGTTTGGGAAGTCAAACCCTCCCTGCCCCCAAATCATCTTATTTCTTTTTTTTAGTAAAGGAAGACAAATACTGAATGACTACCAAATTGTTCCAGCAACTCAGAGAGATGGAGACGGCCGTGTCCGCGAATTGTACTGTCCATAAACTACTATACGCGAGGAGGACAAGGCCCCTACCTCCCGCCCATGAAAATCCCTCCCAAATAATTCCTGACTATGCCACTGCGCCTGACCCACCTGATCCCATTGACGCAGTCGTCGTGTGCCTTGAAAAAGAGGCCAGGCCTCATGAGCGGCTCGCAGTCGTCCAGTTCGATGGGTTGGGCCCTCAGGTCCCATGCCGTCACAATGCCATTGGTGTTACCAGACAGCAGGTAGTTCCCACATCTGTGCAAGAGGAACACAGCAATTAGCTATGGTCTGTTTTTTTGCTCCTTAATTCAACATCTACACAGTGATTGTTCTAGTTCAATGACGACTTAGTGCACAATTTATAACTGTTTCTTCTCCCTGCGAATTGAAATTTTTCATGTAGAGATCTTTTGGTGGTGGATCATAAGAATATAGAAATATATAGACATTTTTTTTAAAGGAATCAGATGTTTAGTTTTTTAGAAATGATAAAGTGGCATTTTTGATCTGCTCTGGCATGTATTTTAAAAAGAACACGAGATGAATAGAACACTAGCTGCCCCGGCTTCTCTTCACACTCATTTTTTCATCAAAATACTGTCAAAAAAGACAGGTGATGAGGCAATAAATAAATGAGAAAACAAATTTTTAATGCACTAAACTTTTGCGGAAGAATGGTTGAGAAATGTACACTAGCTTTTGAGTAAGCCAGCCAACTTTGCTTTGACAGCTTCATACTGGAACGTTTTGTGTATTTATTACTATTGTATGCCTGTGCGGTGCAACTATAAACATTGCCTTAGTGTAAGCAAACACTAAAAAGAAGTGAAATGCAGTGACATTCCAGTGCCTTTTAAACAACACATCACTGGACCAGAAATGTGGGTATGATCCATTTGACAAAAACACTGATTTCAGAGTTTGAGCCAGCTAACTCTACTTTAACTACAAGACGCAAAAACTCAAGGACAGCATGCATATCAGGGAACCATTAGGCCTAGCCACGACCGAGCACTGTTGCACGTCGAGTTCAAGAAATACTGAGCCAGCAAAAAAAATTGGTACAGCATGAAATGTTTACATCATTCCCCTCTGGGGTGTAGAATCTGGGTCCACGTACTGACAAAGTGAAAGAGGTGCTATCAGTCTTTTCCTCAGAAGCAAGGCTGGCGAACCACAAGTATGCTAAAACTTTGGCACCGACATCTGCGAGCAATTCTTTATCATTACTTGACACTGTTGAACTGAACTATACACTTTCTGCAAGCTCCACACTTTATAGGCATAAGCAGAATATAAGCAAACTGGCTGGATGCTGTGTATCATGGCCAGTGTTGTGCAGCCAACACTTGATATGATGGCATGCCTTTTCAAGATGGTGGAGGTGCAAAACAGTTTTGGTTTAGGTTTGGAATTTTGGAAATACGCTTTCGGTGAAATCTGACTTCATTTCTGGCAAAAAAACCACATGTCTCGCGGACTCCGAGCACTCACCGTGACAGGTCGAAGTACATCCGCTGGTGCGTGGTGACGGTCCTCTTCATGCAGAAAAGCACCTTCCCCAAGTTCCTCAGGTCCCAGCACAGGATCTCAAAGTCCTCCATGCAATAATAGTAACTCACATTTATGTACAACTGGCCACAATCAGCCTCTGTGAACTCCTGCACTGCAGAGTTCAAGAGGGGGGTCAGGACATCCAGACCCCCCCCCCTCTCTCTGAATCCGCCACTGGCTGCACTGCTATATCCTTTATGATCTCCTGTGCAGTTAATGAAGCTCAATAATACCATAAGAACCTCGCATTCATATGCATACGAAAAATCCTAAATCCTGTTTTTATTAGGGAAAGGGGGGACGAAACCCCACCCTTTTTTTTCTCAACATTCTTGCAGTAAAACAGTACAGCAGCTTATGTATGTAGTTGGAAACACTATGCACTCTAGGAAGATGAGAATGTTTGGCTTACACAAATATATTATATATTAGGTCAAGAATGAAGCGGAAGCTCCTCGCACTTCTTTCCACATTAAAGACCGACAACGAGTTTGCGCTTCCTCCTCGCTCCCTTTTCACCCTGCCCACCGTTGCCTGTTTCCTCCTCCCCCAGGGTGAAGAGGATCTTCTGCCTTGCAGAATCTCGTGTATGGTCGTCGGCCTTTAACAAAGCCAACACCGGAGAGGAGGTCGCCTCCCCTCCAGCATTCGCTCTACTGAAGTGGAAAGAAGTGGGAGGAGCTTCCACTTCATTCTTGACCTGCCACCAACTATAGTATGCTTTAAACTATGCCCAATTTGGAGAAACACTGTGCTTTAGGAATGAAATTAAGAAATATTTAGCACTGTAGGAATGCCTATGTTCTTAGCAATTCATTTTGGGGACTCACATTGTAGAACATATGCTTGCAACTAAGGAAATTTCTCGTTCACCATTCCAATCCTCTTGATTTCTCTGCTTGACGGCTGGTGCTTTTCACCCATAAACCTAGATACACCTACAGCAAGCGACTTAATTATAGACAACATTGTGTAAAAACCAAGTTTCTTTTACAGGCAGGCTGTGCTGTTGCTGCCCACACAAAGCTGCATTCAGCTGTTCACCTACATACTCTTGAGCCTGTTGAATCAAGATTAGACTTCTTTAGTTTAAACTGGAGTTAAAACCAGCGTGTCAGCACTGACAAGACGGACTGAAAAAGTGCCAGAGGGTGGCAGATCTCACCTTCCTGCCACCGCTGTAGAGCCTGGTGCCATCTGGTGAGAACCGAAGGTGTGTCACCCCGCCCTGGTGTCCGGACAGCATAAATTGCAGTTGCCCGTTGGATTCGGAATACATGGCCACTGCCGGACAAAACAGCGGTTCAGAACACCGCAGCCAGGCTTTGTGTGCCGAGTAAAGTCGGGAGTCAGGAGTGAAGCCTATTGTGCAGCCTAGTTAGAACCAACTACTAATAGGAATGGCCACTTACCGTAAAATACCGTGGTAGCGCCCACTTCGTTCAAGCGCCCACTATTAAAGTGTTCGAAACTTAGGAATTCTGCATATTATATGTTAAGTGCCGAATTTGACCGGACAAGTGCCCATGTCTAGATTAATCCAGTTTTCAGTGAATGTAAAGTGAGCGCTCCTGTGGTGTTTTACGGTAGACCAAAGCAGTCCTCAAGTGCAAACAACTTGCAGTCACGTAAAGCCACTTGTAATAGCTTTAAATTTTACCTAAAGCATCAGTACAGGAAAAGGCACTTTAAATTACTGTCACAAAACAGTGCAATGCACCTAGGAAACAACCAGCTCGACTGGACAGGCTGGAATTGGCAAAGGAGTGAGAACACGCCGATCAGTACTACAGCTGCACTCAGACAAGAAGCTGAAAAAAGTAACCGCAGGTCTTCTCTGCTAGCAGTTCAGGCAAAAAAGCATTTGCATGCACTCTGTCAAAGGGGGTCAGGGTCCCACCTGTCTTGCAGTAAGAGCCGGCAGCATAGATTCCCTGAGGTCCAAATGCAAAGCAGCTGATGATGCCAGGCTGACCCATCTTCTTGACTGAAATTAATGGTTGATGTCCATGCATTACAAACTAACAAGCACAAACAATCGACCAGCTGCAAAACTCCCAAAAGGCTTCACACTAAGCCCACCAGGAATTATGAGAACGTCCCGCGTGTTTCTCCTTGCTACCACAGCATCTACCATAAATAAAGAGAAAAAGGTAGCTGCATTTGTGTGCCTGCCCCTGATTCTTCGCCTGCCAGGTCTTATACAGCCAGTATGAGACTTCCTTTCAGCACAGCGTAGGTTGCTGCACATTTCCCAACAGGTTTATTCTGTCCAATAAGGCCAAGCACACATGAAAACATATAATCATTGAAAACCTGCACAATTAGGTTTCCTCTGCAAGATTCATCATTTTGCCACCACAAATGGACTGTAGGCTTTTAATGGCAGAGGAGGCATTTAGGTTGTGGAAATCCTTTTTGATGTTCCTCATGGTCATGGGGCATCCTTTAATTTCCCCCTCCCACACAGCCTGCATCCGGTCACATGCAGAATGGCGTCGCCACAAGGGGAGGGTCACATGAGCAAGGTGGTATTGGTGGCAGTGACATCAACTTTGCTGAATGCATAAGAAAAATTTGGACAAGCTAACTTGACAGGTTCTTCTATAAAAAGTGCTCCTACGGCCAAGCTATGCGGATAATAATTAAAGGTCAGGGGCCTCTCAACTCACCCATTGCTCGATTAAATTCTTGCAAACTACAGTAAAACCTCATTATAACAAAGTTGAAGGAGCGATCGTAATTATTTCGTTATAACCATTAGTTTGTTATAGCCAATGTCCATTTCTTCCCTATTAGCAAGCAAGGGGAATTATGATTGCTTTGTTATATCCATTAGTTTGTTATATCCCATTTTGTTATAACGAGGTTTTACTGTACTTAACATCAGTTGGAAGTCGTTCATTTCGCAAAGTTCGAACTGCTCACCATTGGTGGGTCGTTCGTCGAAGATCCGGCCTGGGCTGGCGACATCAAACACGCGAATCATTTTGTTGAAACCACAGTACAGCTTCTCCCCCGAGGCATCGAAGGAAATACTGTGGGCCGCCACAGGCTCATCCTGGACATGGGAAGCATAAACGGTCAGCAGTCGCTTGTCCTTGTTCTGCAGGCTCACAATTTCAGTCACAATAACGAGATGTGCCTCACTCTGAGAGGCATACGACTTGAAAAGTAAGACACATGAAAATTTAGAAGTAGTAGCATGGCCTTCAAATATTAAGCTAGAAAGATTATTAAAGTCATCCAACATACCACAGTTAACTGTATTTACGTATGTATGCTTCAAATCCTATTCAGTGGTGCTGCATATCGCACCTGTAGACGGCCAGCTCCGTTGGTGTTCTTGATGCTGAATGTGGGATGCGTGCAGCCTGAAAGGCTTTTCTGTGGCTCATGGCGTGCTTGTTGTTTCGCTGCGGGAGTACCTTTGAAGGTATTCTTGCTTTCCATTTATACGAGAAAAAACTAAAAGTCCTATTGGAGCCAAACCTGGCCGAACTGATTTGTAATAAGGTTGACAGCTGGGCTAATTGGTAATCAATAAACATTCTAAACAACATACAAACAACAAGAAGAAGAATGGGACAGGACATAGCGCCCTGTCCTATATTATTCTCCTTCCTATCTCTGTGTTTGCGCTATTTTACCTGAGTATGTTCAACTGCTTTGTGCTCACTGCTTAGACAGTTTCTTTACAATGTGACGAGTCAATCTTATTAAGGCTGCGCAGGGAATGCGAATTTCTTCGTTAAATTGGGAAATTCGTAAAATCAGGTTTCGTTAAATCGAGGTTCAACTGTATACTGCATCCAAAGAATGTGACCATCTGACATAAGCTGACCGTTCATTGTCCTGTCTAAGTGTGGAGAAGCCTTTAGAACCACTGCAGCACAAAGAACGCAGAGGACAAAGACGAGTCTTTGTCAGTGTTTCGAGGCACCGGATGTCACAAATTGAGAAGCAATCCTGTCGTTACCAGATGGTTGTATGGCCTGTAGGAACATCGCAGCTGCCCTGTGTAGGCGTCCCAAAGGTGGATAGGATTCCCTGCGCTCGTGCTTGCGAAGCTGCACAATTGCGGAGATGAGTACAATTTGGTAGGAAGGTATGCAAGAGTGACAGCTCTTTCTGAAGAACGCAGCTATTTAGGTTTGTTTTCCTACTCCAGTTGCCCTTTAAACCCAGTTTCACAGACAGGTTTCTCAGCCACCTAGGTACAAATAATTTGTTTATTTATTTAAGGAGACTGCAAGACAGGAAACACACTTGAGGATATAACACTAGCAATAGCTCATAATGAGAGTTCTACGTACCCGTCTTCAAACAAAACCTAATTTGGGACTGGACTGTCAACTCCAGAATGTATACATTTTTAGCTATCTTTTTACTTGTAGACATAGGCAAAATGTGCTTGATTATCTGCAGATCGGATTTACAGAACCATGCTTCAATATTTAACACTTGAGGTTGTTTCAATGGCTGTTTCAGCTGAAAGTTGGCTCACAATGAATGATCGAGATTCAAGACTAGGAACTAGTAAACAAAGGCAAACAAACACGAGAGACTTAATTCTGTGTTGGTCTGTTCCTTCAGTCAGTTTTCTCACCCGGGTGTCCGTCATGAACCAATACCACCTCCCCTGTTATTGTTATTTCAGAAATGTAGGTGCTCCCCTCAGACGCATCAATGCGGTTGCACACTACCTAGTGGACTTTACAAAGCTTGTTAGCAAATCTAGATACCTACTTCCTTAATGTGCCTCAAGAGCTTCTCTTGAACCCCTGAGTTAAATAGCATGCCCTTCTGCCTAATGTAAAAACCACAGACAGGCAAAAATTTTATTTTATTGTAGTGGTTAAACAAAATGCTCAGCATCTAAACCTTGAAAGTCACGTGAAGTTTGACCCCAACAGCTTGTGACCATAGGTATGCGCAGAGGGGGAGGGCCAAGTGTGCTATGGCCCCACCCCAATGAATCTAGAGAGGTGCAAATTAACTAGGGTTCTATATTTGTTGTGTTACTCAACCAAAATAGAACCTCACCTAATTTGCGCCCCTCTGGAGTCGTTAGGGGGCCATAGCATGCTCGGTCCCCCTCGCTGTGCACACCTATGCTTGTGACTAATAATTCTCACAACTTGTCGTTCTTGGGTCCCCCTTTCCACTGTTCAGGTTTAACTCAAGCAGTGCAACACAACTACGAGCAGTTTAACAAATGCATACCAGCATGTTGCTGGGTCAGCAGACGTCATCCCAGGGTACCAGGCGTAGTCGTAGATGAGGCCACTTTCTTTGCACTGCAGTACAGAGCTCTGAAATGTGAAATCATATGTTTGTTGGCACAACCTAAAAAACACACTTATAAAAATGCAGAATTCTGGTACAATAAAGATTACTCGAGATTTATCGAGTCTGCTGAAAGAAAACATGGAATTTGTGTGGAGGAGGAAGGAAGGCACTGTACATGAACACTGACAAGGGGTCCTGAAACTGATGGACACTCCACTTTGTTGTTCATAACAACTCTACTTTTTTACTTGTTATATATTACTGTAAGTATGGTATATTTCGAAAACATAGAAAGCAAAACATAATATTGGAAGCATCAAGACACGAATTCATGCAGTTCACTCAATCAAAGGATAATCAAAACTTGAAGGACGCTTAAGCTTCGCCTTTAAATGGACACTGACACCCCCGAAAAATTATTTTTATTTGTTAGGCGATTCATATGGTGTCACAAGACTACCCAGTCAATATTTTGCTACAACGTCACATACATTTTTAACAAAGTAAAAAAACGCAATTGCTCGACACTGAAACTGAAACTGGACTGGGGAGGAAGAAGAAATATAAAGAAGGAAAGAGATGGCGGAAGTCCATGGCTGTGCAACTTTTTTTTCAATCAATGTATTTGCAGCTTTTTAGAAGCCACAAAGATGGGTATCATATTTCTTCTCTAGTTTTAATATTGAGTGTGTGCCTTCGATGACCCACAACTTTCATTATATTTGGTGGTTGTGTCTAAACCTTAAAAAACGGCACGCGACCACAGCAAAGACAGTGAGTGCAACTCAAACCGGCCAGTTCTTGATCGGCAGTTCTTGGGGAGCAAAGAAAACGAATTTCGAGCCGCACACTGTGTTCTTGGTACAAATGAAAACCTTGGCGAGCATAAATTCCCTGTCAGTGTCCCTTTAAGAGTGAAACGCGATAGTGAAACATATAAACTCCCGCTCGCTCATTTCCAAGCTGTGCAAGCATGCCTTGCGTGGCCTAGTCAGCTCAGTAGCATGCCTGGCTTGCAACCGAAGGGTCGTAGGTTCAATTCTTGCCTGCAATTCTTCAAATTTCTCTTTAAGGCAAATGAATTACTTTATTAACTGAAATCATTTGAGACATGCAGCAATATTTATTTCACATTACATGTCATGTTTTTTAATCACTTTCATTTCATGCATGACAACACGCTTCACGTGAGCATTGCGGGCTGTTTGAAATCCCCACGCGAGGTATGTGACTGTGACGTCACGACGCTATCGACCAATCCTGATTTTGGAGCAAGTCATCGATGTCGGCTTTTCTGCGACATGAGCTCCTTAAAAAGAAACTGAAAAGAAACAAAAAAAGTTTATTTTAACAGTCTGGATTGGACACGCGCATCAAAAAAATTAACTTTATGTGAAAAAAAAAAAAAAATTTAGAACAATATTGAGGGTGCGAGATTTTAGTTGCATCTGAATTATGTGCGCCAAGTACATGACGTCACGGAATGGTCATACATTGTTTTCCACCTCAACGAGATGGTCATACAAGCGCTCTACCTCAACGAGATGGTCATACAAGCGCTCTACCTCAACGTGATGGCCACAGCTTCTCTCCTCCATGCACCCGAAATGCTGAGGGAGAAAACAAGTGGAAAGGAGGCGACTATCGACTAAACCGCGTCTCGCACCGTCAATATTGCACCAAAAACTTTTTTTTTCACATAAAATTTATTTTTTGATTTGTGCATCCATCTAGACTGTTTAAAATTTCTTTATTTTCTTTTCAGTGGCCTTTTAACGCTATTGCATTAAAAAGGAATAGAAGCAATAGTTGAATTGTTCATTTCAAAGTAAAAAAAAAAGCTAGGACAGCAACCTGTGTCCTTCATTAAAAAAAGGCCATAGTTTGCCCATACTGTAGGATAATAAATGGACTACAAATAGGCTAGTGGTAAGTAAAAAAATACAATATTTATGTCAGTCATGTCAGTGAGAATTGGACACCTTTGAAAGTCTAACTCGTGTCATAAAGTTAAAAATAATTGTAGTGACCTACATCTTCACCAGTTTGGACTAAAAATGTAGACGAGCTTGTGTGTAATAAATAGATCCAAACTTCAAACACAGAATGATACAGTCTCAATTGTCTTTGAATCCCTGTATTCAAGGGGGGTTTAGCATATGTAAGTGAATGATTTTAGAGAGTCTGCCACAATAAATGAAAAACGTAGCTGTTGATGGCCGCACCATTTCTTGCAATTCATTCCAATCGACGGGCAGTTGAAACAGGCAGTTGGGCAGGTTGAACAGCCGCAGGAAGTTGTCATCGCTGCTTGTCAAGATACACGAGCCATCGGTAGACCTTTGGGAAACAGTGAAAGAAAGGAAAACATTTTAAAGAATGAGGAAATATAAAATTATATCTAACAAAAAAAAAAAAGACTTGCAAGATGCGATTTTTAATTTTGCCTTGATAAATCAGAATGTCTGATTGCAACCCATGCAAGGACATCACAAGACAAATTATGTATTGGGGACTTCGGGCGGTGATGTTAGCCCAAAGATAAGTATTAATTCAATTCCCGATAGTGCCCTGTGAGTCACTCTGTATGAATCAATAGTGCCCCAATTTCAACTGTGGACATGAGGAACCAAGGCGTGAGAGCCCCATTGGAAGCTTTGTTCTAGAGACGAAGAAAAACATGCACTGTGAAAGACCGAATTTTAATGAGTGACACTGACAATGACAACCCCTCCTCCTCCTCTCTCTCCCTCCCACCACCACCACCACCACCACCACCACCACCACCACCTCCTCCTCCTCCTCCTTCCCCCCCCCCCCCCCCCCTTCCTTACCGAAAGCGGCCCCGGCGTGTAGGTACAGAAAGATACTGAAATTACCATTTACACCCTTTCGTAATGCTCTTGGATAACTCTGACCATGCGCCACAGACTTGCACCGGTTTGACGCAGTAGTTGCATAGTTCTGTTGGGCACCCTGCGGCGTCCCCCATGCTGATGTCGTTTTGCGAAACATTCGTGCCCGCCACCGCATCATTTACAACACTTTCTTGAACGTCTTCCACGATGTCACCCGGCGGGTCTCCAGCGTTGACATCCTCAGCCGGTTGATCCATGTCTTGACCTTCCATTCTTGGCTGGCCTTCGAAGGTCAGTTTTCCACGTCTAAACACCACAAATATATGAGAAGTGAGCGAAAATTCGACGACATAGCGTATTACCAGTAACTTAACACGCAACAAGCAACCACCACATTCATTTTGATGAAAACACAATGATCTAGGGAACAGTGGACGAAGCATGTTTACAGTGCTGTTAAGTTTTTTTGGGCGAAGTCGCCAGGACGCGACCTAAAAGTCGCCAGTTTTAGCGAAAAGTCGCTGAGTGGTGATGATGATGATGACCTTTTTCGGATTTTTTTTTTTTTTATAATACGTAAAGGTTTTTTTTTTTTTTTTTTTTTTTGTGACGAGACAAGTGAATAGTTGGAGTCGGCCGTCCCATTCCCAAGGACTCGCCAACACCTTGAGTGACTCAAGGCGTTGGCGAGAAGATCCTGGTCCATGAACAAAACAGCGAAAGCCTGTTCTGCTTCATCCTTATCGAACAAAACCCTCGCTTTAACCCGCGTTAAAGCGAGGGAATTGCTTCGGGGTCGGAGAACGTCACCTCACCCACAACCGGATGAATAAAAATTAACAAAAATGAGTGACATCCAGAGCTGTCCCCTGGAAGCCACCGGAGAGCTATCCGACTGACATATTTTCCCCCCGTTCACGTAGCTTTAGTAACAATTTACATAACTAGAAAAAAAAAAAAAGTCCCCAAAAAAGTCGCTAAGACTCCAAAAACACAAAATTGTCGTTAGGACGACTGAAAACACTCTAAATTTAGCGACTTTCTCGCTAAGTTCACACCACTGCATGTTTAAGCGTGGCATTACACAAATTATTTAAAGTTCAAAAAGGTGCTTTGCATGGATTGTAGTTGAGTTCAAATAAATAAAAAGATTCATTTCAACTACTCCTCTTAAAAATGAACTCTAATTTCTTTATGCAACTTTTAAAAAAGCGGTGGATTAAAGGACTATTTTTTTACGCGCACACCGCCACGTCTACCAAAGCGCAACCTATTCCCCAGATTTCCCTGCAATTACAGCGCTGTGTTGGCTGTGTTCTTTAATATTCCCTAGTTGCTCCTCCTCTCTGTTGTTGCGCTCCGCGAATGCCGCGAAGCTCACGGGCGCACGCACACACGCACATACACCGAAGAAGCGCCGAAGCGCTTGTGGTGAACGAAGAGGAGTCAGAGGAGCGCTGTTGGTGTACGCACACACAGCAAAATAAATTGATCGAGAAACGAAAGGACTGCGCGTTTTGTCTAGTGCCGAGTTACGTCTAGCCTCTTCGCGCGCCTAGTAACTGGTCGGCACAGAAGCCGCAACGCCTCTTCCGGCTGCCGTGAAGCCACGGATCACTTCGCCGCAAGATGACCATCATCACCCAGCCGCTGACCGAAAAGAAGTTGGCCAAGTCTCAGCAGGCCAAGCCCTTGGTTCAGCATGAGTCGGTGAGTTGGTTAGGCTTACGACGGTTACCAAGAAACAGACATGATTCGCTGCGATCGTTACCATCATAGGAGCATTCTGCGTCCACGGGCCACTAGTGGTTTCGAAACGCCAAGCTTTGTGTGGTCCAAGCAGACACCTCCGCCTTTATGATGCGTTGCCATCGCGAGTGTCGCGCTGCGGTGATGCGTCCCTTTCGGTTGCGGTGCGCCGTACGGTTACTCGCCCTGCCATGACGCTTATTCTTATTTTCTCTGTGCACTTTACCAAGCTCGGTTCACAAGCGGTTTTGGGTGACTGTTCGGTTGTCACCCGGCGACCGACACGCTTGACCTCGCCCCTTGTTTGCGCGTTGATTATTTCCGGTTTGACCCGCTTTTTGACTTCCCCCTTCCCTCCATCCGTAATACGGATGCGAATGTCTCGGGTTCCGTTTTCGGCTTGATTCGACGCGTATATGTGCAAGTTACGCAACCTGCATATTCTATGTATTTGAGCGTCTGAAGTTCAGTTGAGGCTTTGGACGGATCGTTCGGTACGGCAGGCAGGCGTGCGAAGGAACTGACAGTCATTTGTAACCTCCCCTTCGAGTTCCGCAAAAGAAAAGCAGCTCTTAATGTATTTTAAGAACGAACCCCTAGTCAAACCGGCTAAAACATCGTCGCGGAAACAGCGGACCGCCAAGCGTCGAGCAGGCGAGCTCTCGGAGATTACAGCACAGATGACGCGCACATGAAAAAGAAAAAGGACAACAACAACAAAAAGATTACTCGAGCAGCGAACCAGTGCTTCGCAGCACGCTGCGCTCGCGTGCCAAGATTCTGCAAGGAAGCAAAAGCGCCTAAGAACGTCAGGAAAGCTAGGAGAGCACGTACTAGCACCAACCCGGACAGAATTTATTCTTGCGGAGGAAACTCTTCTTTCCTCGCGAAAACGTCTCCAAATGGTTCGTCCATTGCGGTCTGGAGCACTTCGTGGCGTGCTTGTCGGCTTAGTGATAGCAAGGCGGAACTGCGCTGCCAAGCGGAAAAAAGTGGAGACGTGTGCAGATGTCCCCTATCAACGGATTGGCAGATTGTGTTTCAGTGGCAGGAAGGCGGTGGAAATCGAAGGCACGGAGCGTTGGGTGTCGCCCACAGTGTGCGCATCAAACTGGTCTTGCAAATGTAGTCGGAAAATATTCTTTCTTATTTCCCCCCTTTTTCTTTTTTTATACCATATCCGTTTTTGCAAATCTGGTCTAGGCTGCTCCAGACGTTGCATATCCACCCACCGTCTTGAAGTCGAACCAATTCTTAAAAAATTATTGGTGATTAATATTTTTATTTTTTCGTTTTCATGTCTTAAATTGCAGCCTAACCACACTCGCATTAAGTATACGTGCTTTGCACTGATGTCACATCATCCATTTTGCACCACCCCAGAGAATGGGGGGAAGCTGCATTTGTACGAATTTTGAGTAGCAGGTTAATCCTCGAAAGGGAGAATAGCGAAGTTTGACCTCATCTCTGGTGTTGGCATGAGAGCTGACAAGATGACGTCAGCTGCAAATGATATATAAGTAAAAGTAGTTGTTTTGTGTCTGTGTTTATACAGCCGGAAGTTAGTCAGCCCCAATTGGCAGTACAGCTGCTATACTCCGCGACAACTTTTCTTGGCAATGCAGTGGAAGGTACAGGCCCGCGTCCCCTCTCCCATTTTGAGTGTGCGTGGGCTCTCCTCCTCTCCCTGAAATGGGGGAGGAGGAGAGCCTGCATACACTCAAAATGGGAGAGGGGACGCAGGCCTGTACCTTCCACTGCACTGCCAAGAAAAGTTGTCGCGGAGTATAGCCTGATGTCTTTAACGTGCACCACAGAATAGTGGTACATGGCTGCACGCTGGTACGATGCTCATCGGGACCGAAAAGTGGGAAATTTATTTTTATTGTCTGGCTGATGAATAAAATGTGTACAGTTTACACTATAAATGGAACTGCAGAGGTAAGAAAAGGCCCAAGTCGTGTAGTGCTACCAAAGACACAAGATCATATGCTTTCATTGGACTATTGTGTTTTAAATCCAGGTACCCAAGCCTGTGACTTCCACAATGCTTTTTCGAATTATTCGAGTGCAATGTAATGATAGTTTTTTTTTTTAAGTTGCTGAGAAATTTTGCGAAACGGTATAAAAAATATCATGGTGATATAGGCCTACCATCACAAATAGAAGATTCTAGAAGAGTTGCCACTTGGATGATGGTGGTCACTCAATGTCGGTGTATTTTTAAGGTCTGGGAGCAGGGGGACATTGCCGTAACTCCTGGAATCCTGACAACAAATGTGGGCTCAGTCTGGTAAACATGCATGATGGCCCAACCAAACTTGGCAGTTGTCAGACCTTGCAGTGAGCTCCTCTTGCCTCCTCCTGATTTCACAGAGCTTAGGTACTTCTCTTTTGTTCAACATCTTGAACTCTCGCTACGTAGAAATAAGAAGTTTCAAATTTTGCCACAGTAGTTATTTGCCTCTTTGAGGTTGGTGTTAAATGCTATTGACTCTGGGAGAAGTTTGGCAAACAAAAGTGTGCACACTTTGAATCTTTGTCGTTATTAATATGAATGCAGTTGCCTGTTCTTATTCAATATGAGAGCTTTGAAGTTTTAAAAAGTTTTAGTTGCCCATATATTTAGCACTGTAGTTTATAGGAATGTGGAATTTAAACTTTTGCTCTTAGTTATTTGCTGAAGATGGGAACTGTGTTATAGAACTATAGTCCATTATGGGGTATTTTGTTCTCAACTTTGAGAAACATCTAGAGTCAAGATGCGGGGAAAACTTGAGAGTACATTCAGTTTTTTAAAGGAGTGCCATGTAAAGTAAAGAAGGGCAGGAACAGCCAATATCATTATGGATCTTCGTTAACGAGCATTTCTCTCCAACAAAAAAAGCAACTGCTGGGCGCAGTTGTATCAAAGAAAGAAAAAAAAAAACACTGGAAGCATGCTTGGACAAATTACGGAAAGATCTTCGCATGGCACATGGATGACTCTGAGATATTGTATGTTGTTTGCAGATAAGATTACGCGCTGATATATACCAACGTTTACTACTGCTTTCTTGTCTGGGATCAGACAACAAAGACAAATATCACACATCTACATTTACTACAAAAAAAAAAAAAAAAGCTGTTGGTCTAATGCACAATTTTGCTTGTGACTTATGTAAATGTCACTGATATGTATATTTTGTTATTCATTATATTTTATTTAACAGCGATTCTTGTTAAAGTGTGCTCTGCTGTCAATGAGTTTCATTGTCTTTTTAATATTTCACTTATGTAGGGGTACCAAGGCCGCGTCAGACCTTCTGGTTTTGCCTTGGTATTGCAGACAAAATGTATTTTCTGAACTGACTGAAATAAAAAAAAAAAAAAAAAGTTATGCTGGTTTCTAAAGCAGCAAAATTTTAAACATGCATGAGACATCTGCAATGATGCCTCTGTGACCCTGGCATCATTAAGGTACTTTTTTTAGCTGTTACCTACTACCAGCAATGCCATTGATCTTGAACCCTTGGGGGTTTTATCTCTGTTTACTCACATTATTTAGGCTCCCCACTTGACTGGAATCTATTATGCATTTCTGAATGTTTGTTGAAGTTGTGAAAGTTCTTGGCATTGAATAAGTTCAAAGACATCGATGGTGAGGGAAGTTGCAGCTGGAATCAGTATGCTGCAGCACTGAATCATTTGCTATTTGATGGATGCAGTACCGCAAATAAATCTCTAGAGACATTACAAAACGTAAATGAAACTAACTGAGCCGATCTCACGGTTTAAAGAAACTAGATATGTACCTAGTACTGTGATTAAAAGTGCTGCGCCATTTGTGCCAAATTGCATGATGAAGGCAAGTCCGCTACTTAGTGTCCCAAAATGACATCCCAATTGCTAAGAATTGCACCACCACACCTGCACAATAAGCATAAACAAATTTTTAAAAATTTTAATGGTGGTAGACACTAATGTCAAACAAGTAGAAGTTAAGAAAATAATACAAACATGTATTCTACGACGTCTCTACTCACCCTAGCTAAACTTCAGTCCCCGATCACGCTGGCCACGTCATCGTCTCTATAGTCGGTTACAAGTCAAGAAGGTAGGAGAAGCTCCTCCCACAAGTGTGATGCGCCCGTTTCAAATCTCTCCGCAGTCGAAAGAAGAGTTCACTGGAAACGCTCCTTGTTCCGCTTCAATGAATTCCCACTTGTCTCCGATCCCACTTTTTAAGAAAGCGACCTTTGTATTCATCGGGGAGGGAACCGAGCCCCTGAAAGCAGCCTTTGTATCCATCGGGGGGGAAGCTAATCCCCGAAAGTCGTCTTTGTTTCCGTCGGTGGGGGAGAACTCTAATCTCCCTCTCGTGGCTTCCACAATGCTAAGTCAAAGTCGAAAGATAAAGCAAATATGTACAGAAAAGCAAGACCCTCCTCGCGCGTTGGCCGCGACGTCAAGGAAACGGTGGGACGCTATTGGATGCGGAGGTGGCGGAGGGATATCTGATTCCCTTTGAGGGGCATTTGCCGCTACCTTCTTAACCTGCAACTGACTATAGACGATGATGTCGGTGACGTCACAGAGCTGAATGTCACAATAAAAATTAGTGAAATGGTGGTATGGCGGCTGCTGTGATATTACAAAACCAGTGTCTCATACTCCTGATGATATCACTTGATTATAATCTTGGCCACATGCCTCCTTCACCGCTTCGCATCGGTGTGCTAATAGCAGCAGTTGACGCGGGGGGAAAACCATAGGCTTGAAAATTATGCTCAGTACTGTTACGGGTCAACTTTCTTTCGTCTTGATTATAGGTCGACCTCTAACTTCAAATAGTGGTCCCTGATGCATACTTTTATTTGAATGAAAATGGTAGTCAGTAGTTCCTGCGCTCCAGCCGATCGAAAGGGCACCAGACTTTGACTCGACTCTGGCTCCAACGCCAATAGCTCTTTCAAAGTTAAAGGAGTGTATCTTATAAAGCACAACGCTAATTTTTGGTAACATTTGGGGGTGGGGGTTTTTGCAATTTATGATACAGTAATGTCTCGTTCAACACCTCCCCCCCCCCCTCCCCCCCCCCAAAAAAAAAAAGTCTATAATGTGGGTTCTTCATAATAATGGGACAAAATGGCATGCATTCACCCAGTTTGTCCTCAAAGATATGTTATCCATATAGTGGGGTATTCATTAACGGGGTCCCTATTCTACTCTATTAGTGTCTTGAGTTTGACAGGTTCATAAAACTTGATGATAATGCAGTTAAAGGGGCAGTGCAATGATTTTACGATTAAAAGAATTTGCATCTTATCATTTGTACGTTGTTTATCGTGTCCCGGAGGATAGAGAAAACGTCACCTTCATTAAACATGTCGCGATTCCGCTGGATAATCGCAAGGCAAAAGTCTAGCTTTTCCCCCACCTGCAACCCCAAGTGGCAGCCGAAGGAACTACAGTGAGAAGATTACGTGACCTTGCTCAGCTCTAAGCTGCAGCCCAATGCCCGCCAGTCTCAGCAGAGAGAGGGAGAGGAAGCGTCCTCCGGGATAACACACGGGAAGCTACACGGCACTCCGAATGACGTCGCTAGGAGGGGGACCGGGTGTGACCCTGAAGGCTGGGAGTGAGTTGAGGGGTGCCCGAAATGCCAATCTTTATCTTCTTTTTACGCAACAACTAGGACACGGAGGCCAAATCGGTTTTCTGTTCTTTACTTCAGAAGTGTCAGAGGGCAACTTCCAGAAATCTTCGACCGAAGTCCAGAAATCGTTCACCCCCCCCCCCCCCCCCCCCTTTAATACAAAGGCACATGTGAGCTGGACAAGAATGACAAAAATAATCCCTGGTTAGCTCAGTTGGCAGAGCGCACCACTGCTAATGGAGAGGTCCCTGGTTCATTACCAAGACCAGGCGGATGTTTTTGGTCGTGCACCAGTCATCTAGCTGTGTTTGGAGATTTGTGCTCGTCCCTTGTTCCCCTTCTCCATGGATTATTTTTGTAATAAATCTTGATGGAATGTATTTTCATCAACTGGCATTTGAGTGTGTATTCTAGTTTTTTGCCGGAGTTTTTCATAAATGAGATTGACATAAACCAGGGATGGGCAGTATTTCAAATACAAGAATTTGAAATACGTATTTCAAATACTTTGTGTATTTTGCATTTTATTTAATTACAAATTGGGTAATGTATTTGACATGTGTATTTATATACTAAAACGTGGGTATTTCAAATACAATTGTAATTAAATACAGTTTTGTGGGTGAAAACACATCCCTCAAATTCATTGTCACTGTCCAGAGCAGGAAGAAAACTATGTTCTGCACCGAATGCAGTGTCTCTCAATCAGGCACAAGCGTTTATTGACTTTGTGATCACGGTGCTAGTCCAGGGCAAGAGTAGTGACAAAATCGACGTTCACACGACGACTGGCTAAATAAGTGCCTTTGACGACTTGTGATGCTTTCCAGCCTGATTTCCATCCATATTTTTGCCTGGAACATTCTAAATGCGTGGGTCGTCCAGGTTTTCGTAACTGGTGCGAGCTGCAACAATAAAGAATTCTCTAGCTTGCGCTGCGTGTCTTGGTTGTCTCGGTTCTTTGTTGGTCTATACCAAAATGTAATCGACAAGAAAAGCTGCTTGAAGCTCTGTACTTTTTTCGCCGATTACGTCCAAGCTGATTACATTTTTTTGTGATTATATTTCTATTACGTTACTAGAGCCTCGCACACTAACTCCCGAGTGTGCGATGCAAAATGAAAATGAGATACCCAGAAACCCGTTGCAGGTGCCCTGAAGTCGCTGACGCAAATTTTGAGGAATGTATTTGGAAAAGTATTTGGAGGAGACCAAATACATTTGGTTGTATTTGTGTCTTGTACTTAAATGCTTTTTTGGAAATGTCATTAGGTTTGTAATTAAATACATTTTTGACAAAGTATTTTGTATTTGTATTTCAATACATATTTGCACGTATTTTGCCCATCCCTGACACAAACTGAGTGTAAAAGGGAGGGTGCATGAGAGCCACATTATTTCAACTGAAGGAAATTGGTCAAATCATAGCACAACTGTCACAACAAACCCAAGAAAAGAAAAAAAGTGAACTAAGTGATACCGGGCCTTATGTTTGCTGTGGTGACTATACTCCGCGACAACTTTTCTTGGCAATGCAGTGGAAGGTACGTCCCGCGTCCCCTCTCCCACTTTGAGTGTACGCAGGCTCTCCTCCTCTCCCCGGAAATGAGGGAGGAGTTTTCTGCTCTGTGACAGTTGTAACACTTGGAAATGTTACGCAAATTTAATCTTCTGTGCATTACTAGAAAGTGTAGGCCGTTCTTGTCTAGATATACCATAAATAGAAGTCGTATTGCATGTCAAGTATCATAGTATACCTTATAGAAATCCATTCCTACGCTAAACATATTAAATGCTGCAAAACTGCTAGGGCAATGCATATCCTGAAAGTGAGTCGAGTTAAAACATATTTACTAATGACCAAAAAATTAAGCATCATTCTAACGATTGTTTTGGAGACAGACAGATATGCTGTATGTAGCATATATCAGGTTCATCCTAGAGTATGTGAATGCTTTATGGGGTCTTTATCAGACCTACCTAACAGACAAAAGCATAAAAAAATTTAAAATAGAGCTCCCACATTTATATTAAGTAGTTAGGTATATATTCCTCAAGCTCAAGTGTTTGTCTGATATATATGAGCTCCTGTTGCCCGAAAGGGAATCTGAGCAGAACATTGTGAGAGTCGGAAAGATGTTTGAAACTGACTTTTTTGCATGCTTCTTTTGACATAAGTGTTCAGAAGACCCAAACACAGATTTTTGGTATAATGGTAATGCTGCCAACACGAATCCTACAAACGTAAATAAAGACTCAAAATACAATTCTCGTTTTTTTTTTTAGGGCTTGCAGGAAGTCACCAACTAGAATGATACACCACCGTCATTTTATTGATAGCTCTGGATAGATCAGCTAAAATTAGACGGGGAAAGTATGGTGAGGTAGTCAACCAAAACACAGGAAAGAGTTGGGAAATTCAGGAACTTAATATCAGTAGGCCCTCTGCCCCTAAGGTCACGAGAGTGTGAAAATGTTTGCACGCTTCTTTTATTGTGCTAACCTCTCGGTTTTTGATTCTTTCTTCCCTTCTGCAGGGTGGGGAAGGAGACGTGGAGGGCAGCCCCATCATTGTCACGATGCGGGCACGGCGTGTGAGCACGACCACCACGCTATGCGTCTTCATCACCGCCTTTCTGGTCCTGGCCACGGGAATCGTGGGCGGCGTATACCTCTATCGCCAGTTCACTCATTACAAGGTGAGAGGATGAAGGCTGCGTGCATCACTCTGTATCGTTCGCCCACAGCTACGCACTTGCCGGACGGATCAACCGCCTTCTTTTCATCACCTGACCCAACTCTCTGCTCGTGGATATGAACGGGAGTGTCCGCTTAGGGGTGAACGGAGTATAGAGCTGTTTCAGAGTCACTCTTGGAGCATCAGTACCTTTTTCCTCATTTATTCATTGGCGTCACGTGACATCCGTTTGCGTGCTAACAAGTCGTGGGTTCTGCTGTTATAGTGCATTTGATGGTAATGACAGCTCGTTAAGTTTTATTTTCCACCATGTCGTCTATTTCAGCTGTGAGGGAATTGCAGGGGATGATAAGGATGATGGGCTCTAAACAAAGGAACACTTGCCGTTTTATGTTTGCCCTTCTGATTGTGATGCTTTCTTATATATGAGATGGTCCTAAAAACGACCATCTGTTGAGGACTGTAAACGTGAGAGGAAAGTTGTATACATTTGCAGTCGCTTTGACTTCAAGCATGCCCCATCTACGAGGACTTGGGTGTGTGAGTAAGCTCACTAAAGGGATTTGCTTCTTGTGAACCACCCACTAGCTCAAAGTGTCACTCATTCGCAAGCTCAGTATGCAAGTCTGCCAGTCATACAAATGTTAGATATTGTCATGGATAAAGGGGACGAGAAGACTGAACAGTGAACTGAAAATAAAAGGTTTAATGGGCGAATTTGTGCCAGGCAAAATAAAGAGCAAGTGGCGAGACAGCAGAAAAGCAGGCGGCGATTTGGCGGCGGCGTAAGAGCAAGCGAGAGCAAGATTGACTCTACAAGGTCGCGGGCCGCTCCTTATCTGGAGTGTGTCATCTGGAATGTTTGGTAAAGGAGCTTCAAGCATCACGGGCTCGGGGCGAGAATGAACAGGCACTTTCTAGAACAAGAAGCAAAGATGAAGTGATAAAAGTTACACCCCTAGTAAGAATACACGAGAATCTTCTAGAATTCCGTGACCGAGCGTTGTTTGCTCTGTCCTGAGCGCGGCAGAGCGAACAACGCTCGGTCACGGAATTCTAGCGTTGGTCTTCTTCGGCAGTGTACCGAATTCCGGGAGCAAACCTTGGACACGGCGGCTTCTGAGAATCAGTGGTGACTGGAGCCATCATTTTAGCTCGTCGAATGCCTGCTGTTGTTCTCAGCCCCATCCGAAGTTCACAGCGTCCTTTGTGAGGTGTGTGAGCGGCGCAGAAAGCTTGGCGAAATCCCGAAAGAATCGCCGGTGGCATGCACGAAGTCCCAGGAATCTTCGGATGACCTTCTTGTCGGTGGGCGGTGTAATGGGGGAGGCAGCGACGGGAGTCTCAGTTTGCAGGCCCCAAGAGTTCATAGTTGGTGGATAATGCCGCGCTCAGGTTCAGGACAAACACCTTCGTTGCTTACAACGTGGCCTAGGAACTTCAGTTTGTCGTAGGCAAACCGGCACTTTGTCGGCTTGAGGGAGAGTCCTGCGGTCCTGTTTGCCTCGAGAATGGCCTGAAGGCGTCGCAAGTGCTCATCGAAGTTGGCCGAGAATACCACAACGTCATCAAGGTAACGAGACGGCTCTGCCATTTGAGGCCTGCCAGGACGGTGTCCATGACACGTTGGAACGTTGCCGGCGCTGTGCACAGTCCGAAGGGCATCATTTTGAACTCATAGAGTCCTTCAGGCGTGACGAAGGCAGTCTTTTCTCGGTCCCGTTCATCGACTTTGATCTGCCAGTAGCCACCCTTAAGGTCCATCGACAAAAAGTATCGGGAGTGGTGCTGCCGGTCCAGCATGTCGTCAACGCGGGGAAGTGGATACGCATCTTTCTTCGTGACCGCGTTGAGCCGCCGGTAGCCAGCGCAGAATCGAAGCGTTCCGTCCTTCTTCACTAATACAACTGGAGGGGCCCACAGGCTACCCGAAGGCTGAATGATATCGTCGTTGAGCATCTCTTGTACTTGTTCATGAATGTCCTCTCTTTCCTTTGGGGAGACCCTGTACAGCGGCCTATGCACAAAGAAAGAGCGCATCCTTGTTGGTAACGATGCAATGTTTCGCAACTGTTGTCTGGCACACTTTCGACGTCGTCGCAAAGCAGTCGCTGAGTTTGGAGAGGAGGTCTCCAAGCTGTCGTCGTTCCGTGGCACTGAGCTTGGGGTTAACGTCGAGCTGCGGCGGCTGACATGTCGAGGGCTTGTCGGAGATCGCGATGATTTCGGCCTCGGCCCGGAGTTCCTTGACGTGTCCTACAGCGGCACCTTTCATGAGGTGCTGCGCCTCTTGTCGGAAGTTGGTCGGGAGGACCACAGTGCGCCCATCCTGCAGCTCTGCTATGCTCTTTGGGACACCTACTTCTCTCCCAAGGAGCAGCTGGACGTCGCCTTTCAGAAGAACTTTCCCGCAGGCGACTGCATTGGTCACAATGGGCACCAGAACACTCAATTGTGGCAGCAGGTTCACGTTGTCCACAATGACTCGGACGGCCACTCGCATAATTTTGGATCCCTCCGGAGTTAGGACAGGCTTTTGCAGCGTCAACCCATTTGCTCCTAAGTCGATCACGGCACCGTATTCACACAGGAAATCCATGCTTAGGATGACGTCTCTTGAACGGTCCTTGAGGACGACGAATTTCACTGGACAGGTCTCCCTGTGGATTTCCACGCATGATGCGTGGATTTCCACGCACCTTCCCACTGGTGTGATGAGATGTCCGCCGGCGATTCATATTTTCGGGCCATCCCACGGCGTCATCACTTTTCGAAGGCGGCGAGAGAGCTTCCCACTTCAAGCCGAATAGTCTGCTTCGGTGTCGATGAGTGCCTTCGCGTCGTGGCAGTTGATAATTACGTCGAGGTTATTTGACATCGTTGCAGATGCGTCGTTCTGGTGCGTCTCGTCGCTAGTGTGGGAGCTCTCCGACGTTTGTAGAGGATATTGCTTTCGTCCTCAGCAAAGCCACCTCCCGGTATTGCCGCACTTATGGTGAATTCCACTCGCAGATCTCGAACGCTCCAAAAGCGCTCCATTTGGAGTGCACATATTCCACTCGCAGATCTGGCTTAAGCTGGTCATCTTCCGCTCGTAGATATCTGGCAACGCCCGCTCCACGGAGCGCCTCAAACCCTGCCGAACTTGCTCTGCAGGATTTCACAGATCTTTCCGGAAGTTGACAGAGCGGCCCACGTGATTTCCTTCTAAATCGGCAGTGCGCATGCACGGCGAGGCAGGAGAGGTTGGCGGGCCGGTCGGGCCATCGAGTTGGATCTGTTCGGGTGCGTCGGTTGTTTATGCGGGATTGTGACGGCTTGAACGCTTCTACCTCGCGTAGATCAGGGATACAAAGCCGGGACTGTGGAGCATGGTAAATTTCGCCAACATCTGATTGTGAAAGGAAGAACGAGAAAAAGAATGACAGATAAGCCGGGGGCAGACGCAGGGTTAGGCCTGTTCATTCTGCAGCCAATGATTGTTTACCTTTTTACACAGCATTCCGCCGGCATTTTCCCATGCAATAAAGCAAAAAGAAGTTAGGCAACAACCGTGCAAGTGATGGTTTGGTACCTCTTTGTTTATGAAAGTTGTACCTGGAATCTGAACTCCACCGCTGGCATTGCTGTCCGTGCTCCGCCGCTTCGAGGCAGCCGTAAGGTATGTGACGGTGCCGAAGGCGGACGTCTTCGTTATTTGTGGCATAGGCGCCGTGGTGCGTATAATTTCGCCTGGCCTGTGTCTCGTGTTTCTGCAGCTAAGCAATGGCAGTTGTCACTGGTCGTCAGAAAGATCAGTCGGCCGAGGCATTGGTGGGCTTGTCAAGTTCGAGCAGCAACCGTTTTGAACGGCAGAGGGGGATGAGGTGGGGAGGGGTGGGGGGGAGGTACCTCCAAAAATGGACATTTATCTTCCCCTTGTCAATTCGGAGTGGGTCCTGCGGAGCGGAATTTTGCCTCCCTCGTGGATTTTGGAAAGCGCTCCGGATCTACGAGTAGAATTCACCTTTAGTTTTCCCGGAGGGACACGGGAGACAGGCTCTCTCGGCGGGACTGATGGACAGGTGATGCAGGACGTTGAGGTGAAGACGAGCGAGCTCTTCACGTTGCAGTGGGTGCAGGAGACCCTGGACGGCGAAGATACTTATCAATGTCTCCTGGGCGCAGGTCGGTCGGGTGAAACCCGCAAAGCCCGAATTGTCGGTAGGGCCATCGTCGATAGACATGGTCGGCTTCCCCGCAATAACAACAAAGCGGTCATCTTTCGGTCGTTTGCCACACGTCGGTTTTTCCCGGCAAGGGTCGCTCTGGGCAGACATACTGTACCTGTTCTTCCCTACGTCGGGAACACTGCGGTGCTGGATGCTCATGACATGGAGGCGCCACATTCTGACGAGCAGGCGGCGGTAATCGGCGGGCCATTGCGGCATAGGACAGCGTCGGTTTCTCGGGGGTTGGCACATCGCCAGGAGCTTCAGACTGCAAGAACCACCTACCTCGTCGCGCACAACCTCAACGACTGACAGCGACGTTGGGCGCTCGGCAGCGGGAAGCAGCTTTCGGAGCTTTTTTTGGACGACGTCTCGGACGATCTCGCATGTGTCCAATGTAGTGGAGCCCAAGTAGCAAGTTGACGACACATATGCAACAAAGCCAAGTAGTCGTTGGTAGTGAGAGGCTTGTGCCTGGAGAGCACATTCGATATATGTGGCCTCCGTCACGAATAGTTTGACAATTGACGGTGGGTGGCATACAAGGCCTTCAAATATGTTTTCCTTAATGCCACGCATGGGAACATTCAGTTTCTTTTCCTCCGTCGCGTGAGGGTCGGCGCGTGCACTTAGATGTAGCACATCTTCAACAAAGCTGTTTACGCTTTCGTTGGAGGCTTGAATCCGTGTTTGAAGCTGGTTCTCCTCCTTCTGTCACCGGTGTTGGCTCGAGAAGGTCCGCTTCAGCTCGGTGGTGCAGATGTCCCACGAAGTGAGCGAAGCCTCGCGGTTCTCGAACTAGCGCCTTGCGGTGCCTTCCACCGAGAAGAAGAGGTTCTGGGGGCGTTGCTCAGTATTCCACCCGTTATGGCGGGCCACACGCTCATAGTGTAGAATCCACTCCTCGACGCCTTCATAATGTTCGCCGTGGAAGGGCATCGGCGTTCGAAGGGCGACGGGCAGGTAGACAACGGGGGCGGCGGCAGGGGTCTGCGACAATTGGCTGCTCATTGTCGGCTTCGTGGACTGGTGGGTCTTCTTCGGCAGTGGACCGAATTTCGGGGGCAAACCTTGGACTCGGCGGCTTCCTCGGGTCCCGGTCGATTCCACGGACAATCTTCTCAAGCCGGGGACTGGGATTGCACTGCGAGGCCACGGAGGGATACGCTTCATGGGCTGCGCAACTCCACACCTCCACCAGAAATGTCACGGATAAAGGTGACAAGAGGATAACTAAAGAAGTGAAAATAAAAGGTTTAATGGGTGTACTTGTGTCAAATGAAATAAAGAGCAAGTGGCGAGAAAGCGGAAAAGCGGGCGGCAATTTGGCGGCGGCGTAAGAGCAAGCGAGAGCGAGACTGACTCGACAAAGTCGCACGCTGCTCCTTACCTGGAGTGTGGGCATCTAGAATGTTCGGCAAAAAAGCTTCAAGCGTCACGGGCTCTGGGCGAGAATGAACAGGGACTTTCTAGAAAAAGGAACAAAGCCGAAAGGATAAAAATTACACCCTGAGTAAGAATAAACGGAAATCTTCTAGAATTTCGTGACCGAGCATTGTTTGCTCTGGCTTAGCGCGGCAATATTGCAGTTGACAGTCGTTGGTTTGGTCTTCGGTCTAATTGGTTGACAAGGGGAATGCAGCATTACGGCTGTCAGATATACAGGGTGTTCCTTTTCAAGCTTAACTGATTTGTTTAAAAAGAGCCGTGAAGGCTACACTAACGCAATTTGTGCAGATGAGTTATATGGCCAGGGGGACATAATATGGGGGCTAGTTGTCACGGTAAATCAAATAACTAAAATTTGGTAATTATATTTTTAATGACGGAATATAGACATATGGTTTCGGTTAGGAATTCGCTGAGCTCCCCCGGAAACCACTAAATCGGTAACTTTTAGAAAGACGTTGAGTGCTTGGGAAGCTCAGTAGTTCGCTAAAATCGCCACTCGCGCAACAGGCACGAGGCTGATGCCATGATTAGACACTGAAAAACTGCGCAGGCGTGTTATTGTGCCGGTAGCATTGCTCCTGCTGCGCGATATGCAACTTTAGCACTCAGCCATGCTTCCTACGTGCTCCAAGTCTTTCTAATATTGGCTGATTTGGTGGTTTTTGGTGACACTCGGCAGGTTTCTAATTGGAACCATATGCCTATTTTTAAAAATTCAAATATTAACATAGTTTAGTTACTTAGCTGACGGATTGTTACGATTAGTCCCCAATACTATGCTTTCCTGACTGTATAACTCGCCTGCACAAACCGCATTAGTGCAGCTTTCGAGACTTTTTTTAAACAAACCCGTTAAAGACATCGGTCAGTGCCTTTTCTAATGCTATTTGGGGCGATCCGGCCATCCTCGAAATCGACCATTTTGTGGAGCACTGCCCTATATCTCTGCTATCACACCGCAGTTCGACGGAAGATCCTATTCCGACCTTTCAGAGAGAAGACTTGTCCTTTAGGTGTCGAGTCCAGAAACATATTCAGATTTAATGGAGTGTAGAGTTCAGTAAGAATTGTTTTGTTTGTTACCTGCCCAATTCGTATTGTGATGCTGGTAAGAGCTCGCTCATTTTTGACGAACAATATTCTAACAAATTTGTTGAACTTCTAAATATTAGTTGACCTGTGTATTGTAGCTTTTCCATGGTGAGGCACCCATGGCTCTACTCGTAAAAAATAAGCATTACCATCTACCGTCGCAGTGCTTTGTCGCGGGAGCGCCCCATATTGACGGATTGTTGATTTGTTGTTGATTGCTCGTCGTCGTGCAGCTCCGCCACTTCCGCGGCTGGTGCGGAGTGCCGTACGTGTCCGACTCGGAAAAGTCCGGCCGCGTCCACGGAGCGGACTTGTTGCGAGCCCACGACGGATCGCTTCGGCCCGAGAGCTCAAACCCCATCATGGATTCCGTCAGGGACAACTTTTTCCAGGTGGGTGGCTTGCGTCTCAAACCCATTGGGCCGCAGTCGGACTGCAAATCGTTGCGCAAAGTTTTGCAGACACTGTCAGAGGCGTGTTTCTTCCTTCTAAGACGGTCCCGTCGCACTGGTCGTACAAAAACTCTGTAGGCACGTCCGTAGATAAACCTGATGTCTGCAGGCCACGTCTTTTGTATGATATACGAGCAGCGTGACGGCGCCTTAGCTCTACCCTTCGGCGGTCGTGGTAGACTCCGATCACACATTTCGTGTCAAGGTATCGCCAGTGATGTCTGTTACAAAAGGCTAAAACTGTGTAGGAAAAAAAAATGGGACAGGTAAAGGGAATACATAGACACAGTGCTGTTGTTTTTGTTTTTTTCCTCATAAACGGGTTCTGACTTGCCAAACTACAAACACCGCTTTGGTGGTTTTCGGTCGTATTTTATTTTCGTTGTTTGGTCCTCATTTCTTTGAAATTGCATTGTTTGTCGTGTGATGACGTATTGTCATTATAATGTTTACAGTGTTAGAGTGGGCGTTATCTTTGAAAGTTTTTTTCGTTTCCCTTAGATAGATTAGATTTTTAGAAAGAATTAAACGTATTCCGTTGCATTGTGTGGATATTTTCCGAATCAAATTATGTACTGATAGAAGTGCCAGTTAATTCCGTCTTTTCCGTATTATGCTGATTTAAAACGGCTTTAGCTTGTGGAGCTCTTGGTTGAAGCATTCTCATTAGACAAACTTCTTGAAGAGCCCTTATATTGCACAATTTTTATTTGTTTGTTTATTTATATAAGCAGGAAGGAAGGCATTAAAAAGGATGCAAACAAGCACTATCTGCTCATGCTTCAGTAAGTGAGGAGGAGGCCAGAGCAAGTAAACAATGACTGAAATGATGAAAGAAACTTGCCATATAAACAAAGAAAGATTGTCTATGCAAAGGAAGTGGTAAGTGCTATTGTAAGTAAAGGCATTGTAAGTAAAGGCCTGTTCACACATGCAGTGTAGTGCTAATCCAGCACTATAGACACAGTGCTGACCCTGCCCTTTTCTGTTTACACACACAGAACAGCAGCAACTCATTGCTGAATCAGTGCTGACACTGGCTCTGATGCAGCGTTGGCTTTGCACTATCCGAGCGCTACACTGGAAGTGTGGACCAGCCCTGACCATAAGAAACGGGTGGCAGTGCACCGCACTGCTTTTGAAACGACGACTCGAGGGACGCGTAAACTTGCGCAAGCTTTTGGCACTTGTTTTTCCGTCTTCTCTGCAGGAGCAATTTGACCTGGACCTTGAGTTTGAGCAGTACGAGGAGATTGAGGTGCCGGACTTCACGCACGGCCGGCGGGGCCGCTTTATCCATGACTTTGCGGTGAACAAGACGGGCATCGTGGACATGGACGGCCAGCGCTGCTTCGTCATGCCCCTCAACCGCACCCTGGTGCTGCCCCCCCACTCTCTCTTCGACCTGATCGTCAGGATGAGGGTACGTGCCTGCCCATCTGCGATCAGCCCTTCACGTTTAGCTAGGTTGGGAGTGGGGCGGATGGACGGTCTTACGGGTCCTTGGATGAGCCAGATTCAAGTTCGAATGCATTGCGTGAACAGACTGTGTGTGTGCGGAACTGATGCTTTGCCATCTATCTCGGCTGTACTTTAAACCGACACCTGAACCCCCTCAGGTCTTGGTTCCCCTTTTGAGGGTAATGCCTGAACATTACCCTCAAAATTTGAAACTTGGGAACTTAAGTATTTGGGAAGTAAAAAGAAAAAAACAATTTCCAAAAGCCAAATTATTTAAAGCCAAATTTGAAGTTCCCGCTCAATCTGCGCAATTGCAGTGAAGTCAAAGATTGAGTCATCCTGCAACTAGTTTCTCTCACGCCTCCGTCCCGACCCAAAGTGTCTCGTTTGCCCGCATCCCTAGATCAACCACTCATCGAGACTTCACTTTCGAGTTTAAGGTTCTTTTAGGGCCCTTTCAACGATCTACAATTCTTTGAAACTGTGCGAGATCGAAGAGAGTGCGCAGTAGACTTTTGTGAGAGACGTGGGGAGCCATGTCACACCGGTTCTGCGCAAAAGGCTGCCCGGGCGGAGTCACAACCGAAACTACGGTATGCCAAACTTAAACAATTTTTTTTTTTTTTTTTTTTCAGTCTGAGAAGTTGTCAGGCATTTAAAAAAGAGCTTCGTCTGATTCTCCAACTCATCAGTCATCCTCAGTGCTTCATGTGCCAAGCACTGTGGCGCCGCCATTTTTTTGACTGAGGATAAAAAGCCAGAAGGCGACGTCTTTCCGGACTGATTTTCAGTATTTTAAAAAGAATAGCTGTAGTGTGTTTGTAATTGCGTTAAAAAACATGTTTTCCGAATGCCGTTATTAAATATTATAAAAATGTCTTACTGAGCTTCTAAATTTTATAACTTTTGACTCTGCAAATAAAAAGTGGGGAGGTGAGAAGAGGGAGAGAAAAGTGCCAAAGATAAGAAGGCGTCTGCATGTGGGGAAATCTTTTTTCGCGTTGTGGTATTTTTTATGCATGTCTATGCATTGTTTTAAACAACAAAAATAAAAAAAAATAGGCCTTTGGGGGTGTCAGAGTTTGTTTAAGGGCTAGGGCTGTAATGTCTGAGGAAGGTGCGATTCAACTTCATAAACCACACTCTTGGCAAATTTAGCAGACTGTGTTCACATGATGTCATCGCTAGTCGCACAACATCAACCCTCTGCCCACGTCGGGTGACATAACGGTTTTACGTCATGGTCTCGCGCGATGCAGTGACCTGCTCTCAAGTCACATGGTACTATCAAGTTTGTCCCGCTAAACTTGGGTCCGTGTGAGCGCAGCTGAAAACATGCTGTGCATCCTGTTGCCCTATTTCATCTGTACAATTAAGATGCATTAGTTCTTAGTTCGATATGCGGTGCTCACGAATTTTTGACATGCGAGCATATTTCACTTTCGAATACTTTCAGCGTGATTTTGTACCAATCCTAGCGTATAAATAATAGCTGGAGATAAAGTGCAAAAGTTACGTCGGCTCAAACAAAACCAGTTTTTACCCCGTTTTGTGGGAGCCGACTCGGGTGTGCGAATTGCCCTTTATGGTGTGGTTTTTTAGTCGGGCATGCAATAGAGGATTCATGCTGAAATTTTGAGTCAAGCCAGACCGAAGAAAGACTGGTGTGTGGAGGCACGAATTAGGGTGGTTCTTGACGTTTGGGCCTCGTTGGGTGTTGCAGGCCGGCTACTACGAAGTGGACACAGAGATAGTGCGGGAGCGGATGAGAGTCGTGACGCCACCCATCCTAGACTTTCGGGACCTGGGCTACTACATTGCCCGCGAGTGCTCATCCCTCCCCACCTACCGCCTGGAGAGGATGACTAATGCGGGTAAGGACGCTTTCCTGCATCCTGATTGCTCCTAGCTGCTTCATTGGCTTTGAAGTTTGTGTCTCCGTGCAGGTGCTTGCAATCTTTCACTGGAATGCTGTGGTGTGAAGCCTTTTGATCCTCTTAAGCTTCTGACCCTCTAAAGCTAATCCCCTGAAGCTTTTTATCCTCTTAAGCTGTTGCTGAGAGTAACAAAGGCAAAATGTGACAAACCAGCCCTGGGGCCCTAAACTCGTCAAACAAGAAGTTGAGGCCAAGTTGACGGAGCGCACCGATTGGACAATCACGACGATGGCTTCACGTTTTTGTCGCCGACGTCCCATCGGCGCGCTTCACGAACTTTAGGCTCCAACTTTGTGTTTGAGGAGTTTAGGGCCCCAGGTTTCAGTCGGAAGTTTGCAAAGCACTGGCCTTCCATTGCAAAAACTGTACTGCCTTTGTAACTGCATTAAAGAGCTCGGTACAGCAGTTATAACTTTTACGAAAATGCTAACGTCGTAGAGAGAAAATCTTCCAGCTCTGAAACTTTTTATAAAAAGCACTGCCCTTTTAATGTGCCTTTTTATAAAAAGCCCGCATTAAAAGGGCAGTGCAACAATTTTCGGACTTTAGTCAATTAACTGCTGGAATTAATCTTAATCACCCGTAGCACGAAGATCAGAAAACCATTTTTACTTGCTCAGGCTAGTTTTTATTTTAAAAATGAGACGAATCGAAGGTTAAGGTACCCCTCAACTCTCATGCAGTCTTTCGAGTGATGTCATTGGGGGACCACCTGGTTTTCCGTTAAGTTCTGTCTTCAGGGCCCCCAGCTTCTCCCCCTGCGATTGTTGACTTTTCAAGCATTAGCATCGCCGAAGGTGGTGGCGAGCATTCGAGTCAAAAGTCAGTTCGGCAAGGGGCTGACGGCAAGTGTAGCAGCGGCAAGGGATGGTTTTGTTGACTTCCGTGTACCCCTTTGACCTGACACCGTAGTTCCAGAACCAGCACATGCAGCTGCTAATCGGCAAATAATTTATTTTTTTTTCCTTTCTGATTACGCAGCAGAATGGCAATTTTACTAACAAGGTGGCGCATTTTTTCTCCCTTGTGCCTAGATAAACAATATAAAAAATACAAGCTTCACTTTTCTCAACAATAAAATCATTGCACTGCCCCTTTAAAGGATTAAATAATAGCTTCGTTCGATTCACCTGCACCTCCTGCACCGGTGCAGGAAAATGTAGGGCGGTGTAGTAGTTCCGATTGTATCTCGATACACATCCCGGAAGTGCGCTGCCCTACATTTTTCTGCAGAGGTGTAGGAGGTACAAATAAATATGAATGAAGCTAAGGCTGCAAACTCGACGACTCGATTGTTGGTATGATGCGAGATTCTGCAAGCTTGTAAAACAGAGCAGGGTCTTGATTAAAGCGGGTTTTTCAGGCTAAAAGAGGTGAAAAACCGTGGAGCTGTAAAGGAAACTGAAATTGGGGTTTTGTGACTGCATATCTTTCTAAGTGCCTGCTTGCTCTGCCTTTGTCAACTATCTGCCAGCATTTTTTTTTTTTTTTTGCCTCATTAGTGGGGGACTTTATTTTTCCAGTTTACAAGCGCAGCCTGGACGCAAAGCACCATGCCACCTTTGTGGAGTTTGCCGGGCACAATATTGTACAGCTCGACATTGCCAACATTGAAGCTGCTGTCGGTGGACCCAGCCGTGCTTAAAGTCACAAAGGCCCGACATGTGAAGGTGCTTGACAAGCAAAGAGCTCCGACTCCCTTTGTTAAAACACCCCCTATTTTTTCTTTACTCTTTTTTGTAATGTTTCATTTAAAAAATATACACTCTTAGATATAAAAGTGTAGTTTGGGAGTAAACTGTTATTTTACTCCATCTCAAGATAAGTACCTTGTAACAACTTCCCAGTAAGGGTGTAAACCATGCATTCTCTCCCTTATGAGGGAATCTTATACATAGTGGCATGTGTCTCGGGGGTGTGAAAAATCAGACTCGCGGATACACGTTTGTAACATGTTCCTTTTCTTCTAAGAGTGCAGAAAGTCATTTTCTCCTACCTTTATTTTTTTCAATGCTCATCGGTCATTGTGAGCTTGCCACGCATTCTTAAGGTCCCGCCCGACGGGTCAGGGCCCTCTTGTGCCATGCGTACGTTTTTGGGGAGTGCCAGGGCCCCGTGGCAAGGACAGTGGCGGGGGCAACCGTCGCTCAAGCGCCCTGTTTGTCGGTTCTGCCCAGCACAATGCAGAACGCTTGTCCCCACCACCTATTCCACAGTCTGCTACTCCGGCAGATCTAGTCACTCATTTGGCTAATTACTAAGGGATGACGATCCACTTTTGTGCACACTCAACAAACACTCCGTCGTTTCATGAGAGAAAAAAAAAAAGCGCCTCCGTGACGCATACAACTCTTGGTCGTCGTAAACGCGAGCTGCGATGAAAGCACTCGTTTTCTTGCCATGTTGGGGGCAGCACTGTGAAAGGTGCGAGCATGAGGCATGGAGAACTTTCGAGATGCTTTTGCAAGAAAAGCGTTTCTCGAAGCCTCGTGCTCGCAACAGTGCCTTTCGTAACACTGCGTACACCTCATTAAGCGGTATGTTTCGTGTTTATCGCTTTGACGGTTTGTGGTACCTCTTCGAGCAAGGACATTCTCTGCTCCAGCTATGAATGCTGTTGTCGTTCTTGAGCTCGTCTGGTTTTATGACATTGCCACTAAATTTTTGCATCAGCCGTAACAAAACGAAACAAATATTCTGCCAACATTTTATTAATGTTGGGAATTCTCTTTCCATTTTATTGCAATGTTTGCTATGTGTTCATAGTTAGCCTACATGTGTTGGGTTGGCCAACTCTAGTGTTCGACGAGTACAGTGATCCAACTTCTTGCCCGTGTGTTCTGTTTCGTCTCTGCATGTGCACGAGAGTAGTGCATTGTGTCGCCTCATCGCCGCTTTCCAGTAAGCCTGACGTATTTTCAGAGCCATACGCCTGACCCCGCTTTCCTTGTCGAAACTGTTATCATATTGGGGAGCGTGTCAACTGACGTCTACAAGCGTGCAGATATTTTTTGCTGAAAGCTGGCTCGCAATTCTTGTTTCTTTGTGTTCCCACATCAGGCACGTAGCTAGGGGGGGGGGGGGGGGGCCCATGGGGCCCGGCCCCCCTCCCCCCACCCAAATCTTCCATTTTGTTGGGACCTCCTCTCCCCCTCATCCACATTTTGTCATGGGCACCCCCCCCCCCCCGCCCTCCGAAATAAAATCTTGGCTACGTGCCTGTCCCACATGGAAAAGTCGTGGATATTAAAACACCAAATTGTGTCTAACCCATTTGAAATGAGTGAGAACGTTAAAATATGAGATTTGTATATCTGTACAGTTCTGAATCTTGTTTAGTTCTATTTTATACATTTGTTGTTTTTTTTTTGTTTCCAGCTATTAAGGTTCACAATTGTTGAGTTTTTCTGTGCAGATCAGATTTAAGTACACCCATCTTCCTATTAACCGTACTGGCCGCAGTTTAACTTAGCACAACCATACGCCCCAAGATTAAGGAGAAATGTGTCGTTGGAACAGGATTTGCTTCGTTACGATTGAATCGTGCTACCAGCAAAGCTTTAGCATTGTCGAAGTGAGGTGCTGTATGTACTATGTACCACGCTAGGTCTGTCTGACCAAAGAACGTCTCTTTCAAATGTGCATACCCGTTTCTCTCAGTTTGATGGTTTTCTGCTGTATCCCTTCGTTACCACACGCATGTTTAGCCTGTTTAGCGGCGAGTGAACAGAATGGGAGGCCTGGACGATACGCGCAGGACACGGGTTCACTGAAGCACAAAGGAAGCCATTTTGTCGAAACCGCACAGGCATTGTTGCTAGTGGGCTCGTTTTTTCTTCTCCGTTGTATCGTCCTTTTTGGGATTTGGTCAATAAAAGAGGTGGAGAGACGTAGCCCTACGAGTCTGCCGTTTCTTGAAGGATCTTTACGATGCTGTTGCGGATGTCGAAGCGTAGGTAGCGCGTGGCTACCATCACGAAGACGTTGAATGCCAGAACTAGGTTGGATAGGAATACCATGATCACTGAAAGGGTTGCATTGTACCTGAAACAAAAAAAACAACAAAAAAAGCATAAATGAATGCCACAATAATGCTGGGTGAACTGTTCCTTAGATAAAGCGTAACAGCTCATGCTGGATACCATATAGACGCATTCAGGCAGCGTGCATGGGTGCCGCCATAACTGACCTTCAGTTTTGTGTTTCTTATTCCGTTCAGTTCATATAAATGCATCATTACCAAAGCAGGACAGGTTATTGCCACTCCCAAGTGCTACTGCGTCCTCCCCAGCATAGGCCTCTCTGGAGGTTCGTAAACGCCTTCTTCAGTGGCTCGACATCTCGGTAAAACAAGGGAAGGGGCCCTAATCTGGACACTTTGCGAAAAAGTCGGCAAGAAATCTGGCGGCCGTGATGGGCCAACTCCGTACTTGACCTTGGCGCCGGCCAATCAGCCGCCGGACTTCTCGGCGACTTTTTCGCCAAGTGTCCAGATCGGGGCCCAAGGTCGGCTATGGCGGCTCGATCTGGCGCGTGTATAAAGCGTCTATAGGAAGTATTTACTGGCAGCCATGAATGAGGCCACTGCTGCCGAGCGTGAGTTTATAGTGAGCTTCCACAATGTTCCTGCAACGTGCATTCCACACAAACAAGGTTGTAGTTCTTGGAAGAGGGGGCTCTTTTTAGCAAACTCTGAACGTCGCATCCAAATATGGCATTTACTGAATTCGCCAATGGTAGAAACGTCCGTTCTCACGGCAGATTGTCGTGCAATCTAGGGCAGGCAAAGATAATGCAATATACAGTATTAACTTCCACAGGAACTTGGCACGTCTCATGTGTAGAGGTTTCGCGATCTAATGTAGGGTAGTAACTTCCACAGGAACTTAGCACGTCTCGTCTAGAGGTTTCGCAAGGTAATGCTAAATGAAAGCGTTCTCTAAAATGCGCAGCCCCACCTCTCCTCTTTTTTTTTTTTTTTAGAGCGCAGCTCTTAGGCGCCCGTTTCCGGCTTGAGCGGCGTCCGCGTTACCGTGAGGTCACGTGACCCCCCTTAAATCACGTGATCCCGAGGTCACGTGACCTCGGGGAGTCGCCTATTAGCGGCGAGATGTTTTGGTGGCGCCCTCCTATGGTTCCCCCTTGTGACGTCGTTACCTTGCGAACAACGAGTTCGATGGTGTTTGTAAATAGCATGGTGGAAGCCTGAAATCATTGCGCTCTCAAAGCAACACTGCCAACACCGTCGAAATTAAAGTTCTTTCATTCCTCTTATTTCCGTCGATGGCATACCCTTTCCGACGTCATAGTCAGCTTTTGGGCCAATCGTGGAAGGCCGATCACAGCGACGCTTTCGGTCGCGCACGTCGCCAATCCCTCTGTACCCTTCCCTCCTCCTCCTCAAGAGCTGCACTCTAATCCGGCGTTACAGGGAATTGTAAACGGCTTTCTTTTTTTTTAGCGAGTTGAGAGCGCAAGGACGTCCGGGTTAGCGTGACGCCATAGTAGCATGTTGATCGTCATTGCTCTCGCTGCAGAAAACGAGTTTGATGCTGCATGATGTACGCTGCAAAAGGTACGTCCTCTGCAGCAGGAACCCGATAATGGCAGCTGATGTGACGTCGCTGCAAGCCGCGCATTCTGTTACGTACCTGGGCTTTGCCGTCTGTATGATGGCCAGGATTCTTCCCCGCGGAATGCAGGGGTCTTTCTCCTGCTTGGCGAAGACGCTCAGAATACGACCGACCACTTCGAGCTCTTGCTGCCGGCCGCCGGCCTGCACGTCCTCGGTGTCGTAAGAGTGGACACTCGCGTAACCCAGCGCCACCAACAGAAGCAGCGCTGTGCAGAGGCGACCGCTTGCCGTTGGCAAGACGGCCATGTTGATTCCTGGCGCGAATGCCTCGCGCGTTCTCGGATTTACCGTCGTTCGCTCTTGTCAGTGAGTGAATCCCGATTAGCTTCGGGACTCATCGGCCTGTCTCCATTTCAGAATTTATGAAAAAAAAAAAAATGGAAATTTTTTATGTTATCCTGCGACGTTGGGGAAACGACACTGAGGTACCATAATAGAGAGTTTTAGTAGATCGTTCCGATACCTCCGATAGCACCGATAACGATACTATGCACGCGCAAGGGAGGCGGTGGCGGAGTATCGGGTATCGTTATCGGAGTCATGGGAACGATCTACTAAAACTCTCTAATGCCGGTCGCGCTTTTAGTTTCGGTTTCATGTTTAAGCGCGCAGCTCACTGCTCATGACCAGATCAAGCTCCCGCGTACATGCCGTTAAAAAACTTATTTTTTTCTTTTTTTTTTAATGGCGTGTTTTTATGTCGTTTGAGCGCGAGCAAGAAATACACTGGGCCTTGACAATGGACGAGCAAACGGCGAGGGAGTATGGGTACAACCGGATAAGGGGGGGGGGGGGGGGGGGGTTCTTTCCTTCTTCTTACTTTCTCAGAAAATCAAAGCGACATATACGTTAGTGTTTAGGGGGCGCGAAGTGGATTTTCTCGTGCATGGCGTCGCCTGTTCACGTGACAAATTAAGCCAGTGCAGGAGATATCTTCTAGTTGTCTTGACAACCGTCACCATGGTTACAGCTGCGGCGTTCAACAAATGCAGAATGGCTGTCAGTACGTACGCGCTGCGGTTGGCGCCCGACCAAAAGTAAGTTCTAACCGATTGACCTCGTTGTTGTGGTTGTTTTTCGTGTCTTTATGTGGGTACTTTTATGCCAGTACCGGCGTTTGACTTGTGAGATGCGCGATCAAGGCTATGTGGAATTTCTTTTCAGGTTTTCTCCGCACGCCGCCAAAGAGTGCTTACGGAGCGTGCTAACGAACGAATTTGAAGACAAGAATTACGACAAGGATGCAGTTCCTGACTGGACGAGGAAAACCTCGGAGAAAATATGTGGCAAACTTCAAGGTGTTTTTTTTTTTTTTTTTTTTTTTTTTTGTGAAACGTTTTTGTGTGCCCAGTTTCCTAAACTGTCTTTACATATTTGTAATTAACATAAACTCGCAGTTAAGAGTGTTATCCACATATAATATAAGAGTTTTGTTTTGAAAGTTTGGCGATAGAAATCGACCGGAACTTTCAATCAGACCAAAACGCGCGCGCACGTTCACGTGAGGAGGGTGTTTCTCCTTGCACACCGCAGCATTGCGGGAAAGCGACAGAACGGGAAACCAGCTCGCGCGTGCTGGTTTCCCGCTCGGAAGCCAATTTCGATGCTCAGAAAAGCGCCTGTGCAGTCATTATAGGAGTGTTACGCCAATAAATATAATTTATTCGGCGCTAGAAGTGGCGCTCCTGTGCGAATGTAGGTTTTTGTTACCATGCCACAACTTCAACTCTGCAGCTTGCAAGTCGCTCAACTATGCGACTTAGCTTACCCCCGACTTCGTGCGTGTTCTTGAGATGTGCTCTTCAAGATACCAGTTACACTCACCTGTTCCTTTCATTTGCATGTATGGCGCCAGCACCCCCCAAAAAAGTATAGATTATGAATGTTTTTACTTGGCATTGCACAGCTGCTGCATCTCATGATTTAAATAATTCTGATTGTTCCTGATTAACTCTGCATTTCAGAGCTAGGCTTTGAGCGGTACAAATTTGTCGTCCAGGTTGTCATAGGGGAACAGCGAGGTGCAGGAACAAGGTATAGTTAATCTTTTGGGTATTGAACACAATTCATGAGATCAAACTAGTCGTCTGGCTGAATTGTGCAGGATGGCTTGCCGATGCATCTGGGATTCTGACACAGATGTGTACGCTTCAGAGTTCTTCAGCAATGTAAGCAAATGATATGAGGCCTGTACCCCGGGAGGTCACGCCATGTATCTGCGACAGTCATCTAATTCTCTCCATGTTCGACCACATTTCCTTTTAAGAGCACTCTTTTCTGCGTCGCTGTGGTCTTGGCATCATACTACTATTGAGGTGGGTTGATTGGTTGATTATTATGATTTCTAAATGAGCCGACCGCAAGCAAGCTGAAAGTGCTTTATGTGCCAGAAGCCTAGTAACTTGGGACACCAGTAAGGAATTTCAGGATTTTAATATATCTGATATGTAAGCATGCTTAGGGGGGCCCCAGAGATGTAATAATGAAATAGGACGTTTGAAATACTTACTATATTCTTACAATATGTATGTCTACAGTTGTGTACAGTAGGTGGTTTAAAAATATTACTAATTACTGCACACCTTTCAGAGTTGCACATGAAATTTTCGTTATCACAATTTCAGTATAGTCACACATACTAGTATAACTGCAGTGCACTGACCTAAGTTAACAATATATGAGTGCTATGGCCAAGTCAATCTCATATGCGCGGCGACTCCTGCGGAGCAGTGAGTGTTCATCTGACACTACTTGGCGTCAACTATATTGTTGTTGAGGCTAGCGTAGCTTCTTTGGTGCTGCCACAGTGTTAACATAATAATCTACAGGGAAAGATCTCATGGATGGGGACTGCTCGGGAATGGTGGAGCACAGACGCAGACATTGGCAGTCCCAGTTGGCAGTCCCGAGGGGCCCACATCGCTGGCGACGCCTTAAAATGCACAGAAAAGCAGCAAAACATCACCTGTAAGCTCTGTACTATTTTCTAGTTTACTTTGTAGGAGAAAACCGGAATCATGCATTGTGTGAAACTAAATGAAGTTGAAAAGTGCTCGAGTAACTTTAACTCGTTCCGGCCAAACGAACACGCATAATGAGGAGCGCAAGTTTGTCTGCTTCTTTTGCTGAGGTTGTGGCGACGTCAGAGCGACGCCGAGCTTCGATTGGCTCTGATTGAGGGATAGTGGGTAGACCTCGAAACAAGCTGCCTTCAGGTCTACCCACCATCCCTCAATCAGAGCCAATCGGAGCTCGGAGTCGCTCTGACGTCACCGCAACACCTGTGCAAGAAGCAAACGACTTGCTCTCTGCATAACCTTTCGTCTGCTTTCTTTCTCCGTTCTTCTGTCGAACGCCTTCCCGTTCTTCCTCTCGGGACCGCCGATGTCAGCGCCCAGGGTTTGCCGTGTTCTGCTCCCGTCTTTACTCCTCTAGGTGCTGCGCAGCCGCGCTCTGCTGCGATAGTGCATGTCACGTGACCTCGTCTTGCGTCTTGTCCGCCTGTGCTTATGCAAGGAGCTCTGACAACGTTGGAGCACTGCAAAAACTACGCTAGCCTTGACAACGTGGTACAAAATAGTTGACGCCAAGTATGGGATTTGTGTTCTGCAACGACACAACCTTTCACGCGCGTCACAGGGGCCTCATGGTGGAGCGAGGCGCCATCATGCTGACGCGACGATGTCCTCTTCGTGTGTTTGCAACAATGCGGATGATGCAAGTGAGTCGTTCCTGTTGCCGAAGTTGAGACGGGCCTTGTAGATGTCGAAGACGACGACGTATATCAGGATGCTCGAGAAGGCCAAAAGGATGATGCTGAACACAAGCGGACCCCAGAAATAGTCCGGACTGAGCTCTGAAATGTACGGACGACAACGAGCACAACGGCACTGTGATTTGTGATTATTTGAATGATTTTATTGTAATTGAATATAGCAATACAATTATACTTGTTTATTCATGTCTGTTGTCATTACTAAATATATACTTATATGGTGCAGCGATGTATGATGGGTCAACTTAATATGAAACACACCAAAGGAAGCTAACTATAGAAGATTACATATTCTGGCTATGCTAACAGAAGTAGGAACTGTCTAAATGCATTGAATAGAATAATCTTTTTTGCAGTTTTTTTTGCATGATAGCATATATGTTATATGTAGGATTGTGCGAATAGTGAATTTAGATTTCAAATCGAATTCGAAGTGAATAGTGATTTTGGCCGAATATTTTCGAATCGAATATCGAATACTTGCTGTTCAAAAATCTTGGCCACAAAGTGGCATGCAAGATAATTATTGCAGACGTGCAATTATTAAGTGAGCTGATTTGTGAGAATGAGACCTTAATTAATTTGTGTATGACTTATTTATTGGAATACAGGGCGCCAAAATCGGCAAAGCTAGCACAGGCGTTGCTGGAGCTCATTGATCGGTTTCTTTTGCCCGTTTTTAAACAAAGTTGATGAAATGACTACGATGAACATATTTGAGAGTTCCCACCATAATATTTGTACCGTTTTGCCGAACGTGCGAGTATATTTCTGATCTTAGAATTTGTTTCTTACATATTTTTAGACAGTAAACAAACACGCGGATCGAGGTTGCCAAGACTTCGAAAAGCGTGAATATTACAACTGCTCTCGAATCGAATATCGAATAGCGTAATATTCGAAACTACTATTCGAAAATTCGAATATTTGCACAACACTAGATATGACATAACTTTTGTTGTATAGGTTAAGTTTCTTGTGAGACACAGTGCATTGCCTTTATGTTAGCCATAGTATTGCAATACGTAAATTAGACAACACTGAGCTTTAACGATGCCATAAAATCCTGAACAACCATAGAGCCAGAATCATAGAATAACTTAAGAATGCTCATAAAAAACATGCATATATATAAAGGACTTGGCAGTGAACGTCCTTAAATGGCTTACGACAAGGTTCAGCGCTGAGGTGTCGGGGCTCGTCACTGTTGTCGCCGCAGTTGTTGATGCCGTTGCACGTCCACTCCTTCGAGATGCAGACACTCTTCGCCGAACACATGAACAGCTTGTCAGAGTTGCAGGCATCACCTTAACAGTGAGCGCAATATGGGCAATGAACTCGGATGTCACGAGCACATGCTGTGCCAATGAATTGACAGTGACAAAAGTAGCGTGCAACATCACTAGCAATAATGTCAGTATTTTGCATGCTGCAAATGTCTGATAACCATGGCATTCTAAAAGCAGGAAGTCTGTTTTCCTTTCTGATCTTGTGTCCTTGGACCTCATATCTCAGTGGGTAAGTGAATAGTGAGACCAATTATATGTGCATATTCACTTATATGTGCAACTCACCACTGGACTGCTTTCAACTTTGCTCTTATTCAAGCGAGGTTGGAGGAAAGTTATGTATTTTCGAGAGTATGGGAAAATGTTGCGTACAATGTAGCCACCGAGCAACTAATGGATTGTTTTTCTCTTTTTCTAAAAAAAAAAGAAGTTCAGAAGCAATTCACAAACCACCATGATCATCAACAGTTTTTACTGCAGTGCATCTCTGTCTTCAATCCCAAACGAACTGGGAAACATTTGTGGGGAGTTTTTGAATATAGTACAAGGCTTCCAGTTTGGTTTCTCCCTTTTTTTTTTTTACATTCAGCTATATGTAGAAGTAAGAATTTAATCATCAGTGTCTTTATAGAGAATTCATTTCATTTTAATTTATTATAATGAAAAATCGTAAACATGACAAAAGTGTCAATTAATTTATGTATGTGACATAGAAGAACGTGACGTGACAGTTGCGATAAATTTTGATCAAGATTGGAATATAGAAGAAAAGTGATAATGGTGCATACAAATGGAAACAATATGACTTGCACCGTAAAAACAGCAAACGCACCCCTCTATTCTCTTGCTGACTAGTGACGTTACTTGAGTTTGATCTTTTTTATAAAAATCAAAGACGTTTACAATTCCCTGTAATGCCGAATTAGAGCGCAGCTTTTGAGGAGGGGAAGGAGAGGGTACAGAGAGGAGGGTATGCCCCTCCTCCCTCCCTCCCCCTAGTGACGTCACTCGTGACCCTCGTCACGTCACTAGTGAAGGTCGTGACCTTTACGGGTGAAGGTCACATAAAGGTCATGACCGTCACTGTGAAGTTCGTGACCTTCATCGTGACGTCTCGTGTGACGTCATTATGGGAAATGTTCCACAGTGCAACGCGGGGATACACCAACGGCGACGCCGCTCAAGCCGGAAACGGCGTCTAAGAGCTGCGCTCTAGAAGAACATTAATTTGGTAGAAATTCATAGCCATTTTTTGTTTATAGACACATGGCTCTACGGAAATAATACGCATCTTTCTAAAAGTGCCTACCGAAAGTATACATGCCAAGTGATAACTTGGCAGCCAATAAGTTATACGGGACAGGCCTTTTCTTAAATGGGCACGTTTTCAAGTGGAATCGGGGCACACCAACCCTTGTAGTATGTAGTGAAGGCAATGTTGAGGCCCGTGTACCGCCGGTGGACAGGTGGCGTCACCGTGAAGCGCACCGTCACGGGGCCCTCCACCAGGCCAAAGGCAGTGTCATTCTTGAAGAGCTGGCACCGGGGACGGTCAAACAGGAAGGGCTCGCCAGGGCCCCGCTCAAACTGCATGAGGCGTGGATGCGCCGGGCTGCAGAATCTCTTTCTGGACCTTAAAGGGATACTACAACGAAATTTCGGCGCTCATTTTTTGGTCTATATATGTTCAAAGGAGCAGTATCACATCGAACACACCAATATCTTGTTAAAAAAGTCTCGAAAAGGAATTTTAAAATAAATTAAATGATTAGCAAGGAGCACCTGGTGGATGTCGCTAACGCCTCATTTATAATGCCGGTCTAGGAACTTGACAGCTAGTGACGGTGAGTGTCTCGCCTCCGGCCACGACAAGAGAAGAGGGAAAGGAGGAACTCCCCTCTTCCCGAGAATGCCTTTTGTGTGTCGCAGAAGTTGCTATTGTCCCCCTATAAGATTATAAAAGATTAACCCGTCACTCAAAATTCGTACGAAAGCAGCCGCTTCAGTGGCCGTAACGACTAGGCCATCCTCTCGACGTCAGCCTTGCGCAGCTTTGCTCGTCTCGAGACGACCTACGTCACGATTGCGTTGACTGTCACGTGGTCTCTGCTGGGCCTTCTCCGAGCGCTTGCCAGAGTGGGCTGTTTATAACGAAAAATACAGCCATCAGGCTCAAAATACAATTGTGCGATTGTCATTCACGGATATTGTGGACCATATTCAACCTATTTTTGAACACGACGGGAATATTTCAAATTTCGTTGAAGTATCCCTTTAAAGGCCGGTTCGTGTGATTTTTCATCAAAGACCGCTCTGACCGCCTACGACCGGAGAATGTGCTAGCGCCATGTATTAGGTACGAGAAGGGGGGAGGGGGGGGTCAACTTTGTTTGGAAAGCGCGACCGCCCCCGTCGCCCCCCCCTCCCTCCCCTTGGATCTGCCCCTGACCTGATCTAGCTTAACATAATGAGAGAGCACCGCACAACGATGATGAAACAAGAAGAAACAAAAGTGAAACGCTGCAGTGTTGACGAAATAATCTCCCAATCAAGTGTTGCTCGAAACATCGATGAACTGATCGCCAACCCCTCTTCCACGTTTACCCTGCTTTGGCTTCCCTTTTACATCATGCCTAGAGTACTCTAGCTAGCAGGCTGTGGAGGAGTGCAATTGGATCCTTGGTGCATACAACAGACACATGTGCCTCGCACAAAGCTAAAAATCGACAGAAATAGGGCCCTGTTGGAAACCAACCGGCGACACCATGATTACCTTGACGTAATCTTCACAGCCTGCGTCGGTACGCTTGAGGTTGAGCAACCGAACGACAACAATGATGGCTTTGTTGTGGCTGGTCACCGTCAAGGTGCAGTCGTGGGCCTGGGAGAGCGGGTACGCAAGTCCCACCACTGCCGAAGACTCTCGCTCGCCGAGGTGCAGGATGCGGGAAGCATTTGGCAGACACAAGTCTTGGAAGAGATCTGTCAAAGGAAAGCCGAAACACCCAAACAATCACACATGCATACGAATGCCGAGTCGACGGGTTTGAATTCCTGCCGAGATGCCCGCAATTTGCCTCAAGTTCGTTGCGGAGAAGGCAGCACATAGCTCAGACTTCACTTACCCATCAAAAGAGTCCCAGGTGGTTTAAATTTAACCCCCAGTCCCTTGCTGGGGCAAACCAGATATGTAAACCACCAAAGTTTGCTTCAATCTTTTTTTTTTTTTATGCTAGCTATGATCTGTTGTCACACAGGTCAATGCTCTTCAGACTTGGATTTACTAGTACAAGACCAAAGAAAATACCAATATAAATGATGCTCGGAACGTTCATAGCTGCTTGGCGACTTACGTGTATTCTCCCAAGCGAAGGCAGGTCGCAGTAGGAGCCACATAAAGATGTAGAAGTGCGAGCGTTCCATGTGCGAGATTCTGACCACGGGTCGATGGTTGTGCCGATGACTCGAGTGAACAAGGAAAATGAAGTTACAGGCCATGTCCGAGGAAAGAAAAAGAAGTCCATCTCTGTCAATGCCCACCTTGAACATTTTATTTCACTAAAGATATGTTGTTCCCCTCCGTTCTGCACAGAATCAAAAGGACTTTCTAACCTGTCTGTTATAAACCCATATTTAAAAAAATATACATTTTGGAAGTTCTCTTTTTACCAGTTTTTCTAGGCATCTTTTGCACTTGCCACAGTGCAGTGTTTTCAGAACTATGTATTCAGAAAAAAAACAACCTAGAAAGTCTGAAAACAACCTGGCTTGTTCGAACCACAGCCCGAGGTCATTAATGTAGTGACTGAAGTAATTTAATACTGCTTGCATTATTGTTCTCAACTCGATACATGGTGTGTAATAATTATCAAAGGGCAATCACAATTCTGTCCTCGCTATATAAATATAATTGGTTCATAACAATGAAGGTTGTTTCCTCTTTTGTTTGCTATGATGCCATTCTGCCTACCCCAGCCGGAATCATTACCTACATTAAAAGACCAATCGTGGAAAGGCTTATTGCGTGTGAACGTGATTTCTGGTCTCACACAGTCTGAAAACAAATACACTTTCTCTAATGGAAAGCCTTCATTTCTCACCCCTACTTCAAATGTACAGCTCAAACAAAGCAAGCCATTATCTGCACAAAGCATAAAATGAAGCAGCAAAACCGGTCTTTACGAAGCCCTAAAACACTCCACAAGCCACAATACAGAAAGGAGGTCGGGTCAGTGTTCTCTTTATTTACAAAACGATGGAAGCAGGCTTTGCCTCCCCGAGTCGGCCCGAGAATTAAAAAAAGGAAGGTAAAGGGGGCACAACAGGTCACTCCTCTTCCTCTTGCGCAGACAACGTTTTGGCGGAGGACGATTTTGAGCCTGTGTTCCGAGACGACTTGCCGGACGACGGAGTGTCGTCTTGCGACGAAGAGCCCGGCTTCTGCGTCGTCCCCCTGCGCATTCCGGGTCGGTAGATCTCGATCGAGGGCCGGTCCTGTCCAGAGAGATAAGCAGGCACCGCTAGAGTACCCGCACGGGCCGTTTTTCGAACACCGTTTGGGTGTAAAAACTTTGTGTAAATAAACCAACGAACTGATTGCAATTAAAATTTTCATGAAGGTGTCTTTAAGTGGAGCATTTATCCTACTAAAATATTATAAATAAAGGTTTTGGTGAAAAAAAAAAATATTAAGCCTTAAAAACATTTTTTTTTTTTTTGTGTACAGGGAGGAAAACGGCAAAAACTGTCCGGGAGACGCTGCTCCTCTAAATGGTACCACGCATGCTAGGATCTGCCGAATCTGCTTTCGGGTAGTAATTCATCTCAAACAAGCTTTCACGTTTTCGCTTTGTGTTCTGCCATCTATGACAGACGGTTTTGGCCGTTTTCTTCCCTGTGCCTGGGAAGAAACAGGTTCTTTTAGCCTTAAATTATTTTTTTTTCTGAAACCCACACTTATAAAATTTGTGTAAAAAAGTTTCATTGCACTCAGTTTATTGGTTTATTTAAACTACAATATCTTTCACGTCCTAAAAGTACTAGAAAACTCCCTGTATTTGTCAAGGTAAATCCTTAGGCCTAACTGTGAGTTAGGCCTAGATGGGTAAGTTGCCCGGGGTCACTAGGGCCATACTGTGGGCCACATTACCTGCTCGCCAACCACTATACTCCATTTCACTTCAAGTGCGAGCGTAGCAGAAGCTACAAGAATGAGCTTCAGGCTTTGGCATCTTTGCCAAGCACGTGTGGTCGTGCAGTGCAAGCATTATTCGGGGCACCATGCTTGTACCTTCGGCTTTGCAAGCGCATAAAGTAAAACATAATATAGTCGCTGCATATGCCCCAGAAGAGGGCAAAGTAGCGTAAACTCGAGCACCATCACCTGGTGACCAGTTCCAAATGCAGCTAAGGCCCTAACTCGGCTAGCATTTGACTTCGTGAATGGACAATGAATGGTATAAAAAGGAATATGTATGTCCCGTAAAAAGAGTAAAAAAAAATGGATGTGGTCTCTATTAATTAGGTTGACTTAGGGTAGGATAGGGTAAGGCAAGTTAAGGTAGGATAAGGTGGGTAGGCACATACCTTATTCCGGATCCTCCGCTCTGCGCGTGGATCCTTCTGCTTGGAAAGTGATGTTTCCTCGGACGTGGACGCCCTGTCCCTGTCCTTCTCTGTGGCTCTGCTCTCGGCAGGTGAACTCCAGGAACTTTCCGCGGAGGGCCGCTCGTCGTCCGCGACTTTGACTGTGGAGGAGGACTCCTGACTCTGTGTTGTGCTAGAAGACCCTGTTGAATTTTTCCTTGCAAAGGAGAAGAAGAAAATGTAAGGCAACCATAATAATTAGGTGCTAACAAGGGCTACATGAGCATGAACAAACTAAGATTGGCCTGTAAAATCTAAATTCCAGTCACCAAACCGAGAAATAATGCCAAACCGAGAAATTACAAAGTACAGATGTACAGATTAAATCAAGATTGAATGTTTGCTCTTATATAGACAGGGGGGCAACAACTCAGACATGTCCAGATATATGAAAGTTTAGGATACCCATTTGAACATTGGAGTACAGTAGTTGATTTAACCAACAAACAGTAGTATTGAAAATCAAGCTTGGCGCAGTATGGCCATAGCAGCTTTGCACCATAAAGCTTGTAATCAACAACAGTAGTATTGAGTAGAGTAGTATTGAAAAATTTTGGATGCTTTGACTTTGAATACGGATGTAATAGACCACCTGAAAGAAATGTCCAGTATCAAGGTGCATGCTAGGTTTGTAGTTACATGCACTGTACATTCTGGCATCTGCAGCAGTCATTTCATAAGGCGAAAATAAAGAAAACTTTCAGCCTTTCGACTCCGGTGAAGAAGGAAGACCAGCGAAGCTGTACTATGATGGGACGACCTCAAGCACGACGCCTAGAGGAAGACGTCTAGGACGACCTCAAGGACGACTTCTAGGACAACCTCCAGGATGACCTCAGGGACGACGTCTAGGACGACCTCAGGGACGATGTCTAGGATGATGCCTAGGACGACCTCAGGGACGAAGTCTAGGACGACCTCGAGGACAACCTCCAGGACGACTTTTAGGACGACCTCGAGGACAACGTCTACAACGACCTCAAGGACAACTTCTAGGGCGACCTCAAGGATGACTTCTAGGACGACCTCAAGGACAACCTCTTGGGCAACCTCAAGGACGACATCTAGGACGACCTCAAGGACGACTTCCAGGACGACATCTAGGACAACGCCTAGAGAAATTAAGCCTTTCCACTCTGGTGAAAACCAGAGTGGAAAGGCTGGAAGGTTGCCGCCATCTATGAGCGAGGCCGACAAGCCGGTTGTCTGGTTGCCGCCATTGCTCACAGATGGCGGTAGCTGTCCAGAGTTCTGTGTCGACAGTTCTTTGCGGGGGACACGATCCTCGGGAAACTAGCCCTTAACAGCTCCACTGTAAAACAAATGACACTTTATGGGTGGAACCAGCTGAACATTTAAGGAAGGAGAAAAGACAACCACTCCTTCCTTAAATGTTCAGCTGGTTCCACCCATAATGTATCATAACCAACTAGCTCAACTCATTCCGGTAGTAAATGACACCTTGCACAGACTTTCAGCATCACCTTATTTTAGTGACTTACTTGGAAATTTTCTTTTTTAGAATCAAGGCAAGTACATGGACCATCTGTAATTACACTTCTAAAGTGCTCCTTGGAGCTGGGAAATTCAGATAAGGGTCTATTATTTCTTACAAGTCTACTTTAGCTTTGTTAAGTAGGCTTCCCCCACAATGCAGGCACACAGTGGCAAAGCCACAACCACGGCTGCAGTGTTGCGTTTTCACAGCATATCGGTGCATGTGTGGTAACTCTCCTTCCAGTGGCATCAAGTAAAAACAAAAACTATGATTTGTTATGTGGATGTTCAGACATCATTTAGGTAGTCTGACTTGATATGGCATTTAACGTCTCCACTTTCTAATTTAATTTTTCTTTAAGAAGTAAGTACTGCACTGCAACTATCATGAAAGTGTGGCAAAGGTGATTTTTGGAATAGACAATATACAAACACAAAATATGCATGTTAGAATCGAGGACACATTCAGAATGGCGAAAATCGGGTACCACTCTTTGGCAGAATCGTTGTATGGTAAATTTGGTTGGCCCAAACAAACTTTTTAGCCTATTAAATTCAACATACCTCGTACCCCTTACTACATATCTAACCCAAGCACAGCTGTGCCAACTGACCACCGCCAACCACAGAAAGATGCCATCAGAGACCTAAAAAGCAAGCAATTATTGGATATTAGAAGGACATCCAAACACTATTGGGCAAGATGGAATGAGGCTTGCTACCTAACAGCCATCAAAATACCATCTCATTTACATCAAAGGTCCTACTGCCCGTCTCAGAAGAACTTGCAAGAATGGCCATTTTAATCCCTGTGGTTCCTACCTGTGGACCTGTTCGGACTTGTACTTGGGACCAGAGTATTCCTTGTGCTCCTTGGAGTAATCCTTATGCTCCTTGGAATACTCTTTGTACTCCTTGTGTTCCTTGGAGTACTCCTTATGATCCTTGGAGTGGTCTTTATGTTCCTTGGAATAGTCCTTGTGCTCCTTCGGATACTCCTTGTACTCCTTCGAATAGTCCCTGTGTTCTTTGGAATAGTCCTTATGATCTTTGGTGTAGTCCTTGTGATCCTTGGAGTAGTCCTTGAGAGGCCTGGAGCTCTTCGGGCGGTCCCACTCCTTGCGAGCAGTGCTGCTTGCCGTCGTGCTGCGTGCTGCAAGCTTAGAGGGTCCCGGTGTGGATGCAACCTTGGGCACCACACCGCTGTCCTTGGAAGACGGCGGATCCTGCTCTCGGACAGGGTTCCTCAGCACCTGCTCAGAAACATAAGAGGTCAAGGGCAACAACATGAGAAGGTGTAAAATGGCACTCAAGCGACTTTTCCATTCACACCTAAACACAAGTTTTTGTAGATTGTTTTTTCCCAAAGGTTTTGACCAAAAGTGAAACAAGTTAGAAAAATTTTCACTCCATGGATATAGGCTCCACAATCCTAGCACTAGTGGAAACGCACATCGCAATGTCCTTAGAACACTCGGGCGGTTATTAAAGGAGCACTTGAGTGCTTTTTGTTGAAGCTCGTTTTTGATGGCATATTGCTTGTCGGGCTTTAGTCAGTAAAAACGACCAGTTCTACATGGCAAGACATCCCAGTAAACTCACAGCAATTGAAATACATGGGCACCATTTTTCTTAGGGGGCCATGCTCGGGTCGCAACTGCCTCCACAAAATTTTGACCAATGAAAATAGTTTGTTGCGTGGAGATTCCAATTGTTACTACTAGTATTATTGCTCCTTTTAGGTGCGTTGTACATTATATTTTTCCAAAAAACATCAAACCCTTTGGGTGTAAGAGACGTCATACAGCAATCATTGTTCGAAAGCACCTTCTGACGGCACCCCCTGGGGCCCTATGTTGCACGGCGGGATCAAGCGGGACGGGGACAAAGCCGTCTGCTGCGGTTGGTCAGCGGCGCAGCGGTGACCAATCAAAGTGGACGGCGTTGTCCCGTTCCCCTTGGTGCTACCGTGTAGCTTAGGGAACCTGGTTCCAGCTACAAGGCGCAGAAAGAGGGGCACGTCACAAGCTTCTATTCGAATTTTAAATAGAGAAATCGGCCACCGACGAGTTTAATTTTGGGTTTTTAGAATGCTAAGGGCCCGTAGATTACGTAGATTTCAGAACCCACTTGGGGGTGACCCTTTAGCAGAGCTTCCGACTCACAAAGCTGTACAAAGTAGTACAAAAACGTGCAGTTAACGGAAATTACTCTGTCCCTCGCAGACACCTAGCCAAACCCATAAAAACGGGACTGGACGTAGCAATAAATATGCATTACTGCACATCCAGCAGTAAACCACATTTTGCAGTCTATTTTTCAGGTCTTTGCACTTTTTATCGGTAGGTCAGGAAACCCTTATACGTACTGGTTGGAAGGAACCCCTAAACATCTCAGAAACAGTTGACAAACTGTTTGCAATGGCTAAGAACGTAACGGCTACAAGTCAACAAGCCTTGGAAACGAGCACTATACACACTAGAAAAAGGTGGGAATAACTTGTTTCACGGTGACATATGGGTATATGTTTCGACTACCCAATAAGTACAGGACTCTTCACCAGACGGCAGGCTGCACTCATTGCCTTATGAATACATAAACAAGGAGCACACGTCCCCTTCCAGCCAGCCATGAACATGGTCACTCATTGCGACTAGCACTGAACTCCAGACATGCGGAACACTACGCTCAGTGTCGCAGCGCTTCATCATTCGCAAAGTTATTTCAATAGACTGCGACGATGGGCCACATGCACGCTTCGTGGGAAGGTACACACGCTGGACTTGTCCCTAGACACTGCAAAAGGCTTGTCGCACGAACTGAGAGCTTCTCCGTCCACTTGCCTTGACCACTTTGGCCTCCGCCTCGTTCTGGGAAGGCTCCTCGTCAAAGTCCTTGACGCTCGAGTCCTTGGAGCGTTCCCGGTCCACCTTGCGGCGCCGTTTCTCCTCGTCACGCAGCCGCTTCTTCTCCACCTCGCGCCGCTTGCGCTCCTCCCGGCGCTCCTCCCGCAGTTTCTGGGCAGCCGTCAGACGGGCGAGCAGGGGCGGCAGTTTAGTCGAAAACGAGCGCACGCTCGCAACCGATTAACCTCGCCGGCTCCGATCTGCCAAGCGAGCTGGACACGTGACAAACGTTTGCAAAAGACCCCCCCACTTTGTTTTAGTCAACTATATACCAGTTTCCACCTGAAGAACCGTAGTAAAAAAAGGCAGGCTCCTCGCAAAGCATTACTGACTGTTGTTCCCTTTATGTTGATAATTAAGATATATGTAGGTGAATTTTAGATTAGGTATATGTTATCTTATCAAGATATACACATTCCAAATGCCAAAAGCGTTGCTTTTTCCTGACAGCCAAATCTTGTAAGAACTACTTTGCGCCGCGTATCACTCTTCACCAAGCACTTCCTCGATAGCCAGGCCATAGTGCTGGCCTTTCCACATCGCTTACTTGAGGCCAACGTCGGGCACCGATTGGGACTTCAGTCATTGAGGACGCGGGTCCCAGCTGCCGAAGCAACACTTGTGTTCAAACTGTGCCCCTTGCTGGCCTCCAACGTGGAAAATCCGGGACCATGGCTTTATTACTTAGAAAATGTGGACTCCACGCATCCGCTGCTTCTAAACAAGCTCAGATATCCAGCATCCGCTGCACATCATACCAGCTTCTCCAGTTTCCTCTGCTGGAGGTACTCGATGAGCGGGGTGACCACCTTCAGGCAGCCGTTGTTGGCTGCAATGCAAAGAGCGGGACACGCTTAAGGGAATTCAGAGTAGGTCGGCAGATCCTCACAAAGTTCCGTACTGCACTGTGCGCCGTTTAGCTCATACGCCCGGGTCTTTCGAACAGCTTTTGTTTTGTCCGCAATGCACACCCAATAGTGAGGCTTAGCAACACGGACAGCTTTTAGTAAGAAAAAAAAAATGGAGCATGCTCTCACTGGCTGAAAACTATGAAATGTGACAGATTCCGGTCACTTTGATTTGCTTGTTCTCTGTGTTTTGAATGCAAAAGCACTGTATACTGCAACACTGTATTTCACTCGACGTATTCAAGCGCTTTCAAAGCAGGTAGTTTCTTCTGTTAATGTGCTAAATATGAAAAGATAAATGCAATGTTATTTTTGACCTTAAACTGTGGCTCTCATGATCTGAGTGATGGCTGCGCAGCATTGAGGAAATGTCGAAGGGAAACAGGAAGTCGCTACTTTTTAGTGAACGGTCAAGTGACACCTCCCTATGGGAAATTGGATTTACGAGGTATAAAATGTCAACCTATTCAGTGCACACAGGCATCAAGGCACACATGCAAATTGAGGTACACGGCACTGAATATGTGCATTGGGAAAACATTGCACCATGCAGAACAGTCTGTACCTTTGATTTCTTTCTCCCTGGACTCTATCTCCTCAATGTAGGTGTCGATGGAGGGTAAGGACACCTCTTCCGGCTGTTCCAAACTCTCCAGGAACTTGAGGTACTCTGGGTCCTGCTCGATGGTCCCGCATTTGGGGTCTTTCTTCCGAGTGCGGCGCTTGGGTATCTTCTGGAACGGAGCGTACTCCACAATGGCCGGGTACTCGTTACCTGCACAAAGTTGCGGAATGAGAAACGATTAACGAAAAATGAGTTAGAGGATGACAATTAATGCACAAAGTTACAGAATGACGAACGACTAAGACACGACATGAAAGAAACAGGCACGAGTTATGAAATCAGCCTAACAGACGACACAAAGCGAGCAAGCTGTGAAACTGGTTATAGTTGCTGACTGGACAAGAACTGCAAGGCATCTCTTTCAAATGGCTCTGGCACACGCTTGTTGCCTTCCTTCATGCTTTGGCTCCGCATGCAGGCTTGAAGCTCCCGAGATGACAAACAGGAAGCTCATGCCGAAGGTGAAACAACTGAAACCATCACCGGCTAGAGTGAGCCGATTCACTTCAAAACAATACAACCTCATAAAACATGGTAGATAAAAGGATGAAGATATCGAAGGTTAAAAAAAGATGAAGGTATGCTTGATAATGGCTCAAGTAGCAAATTACAGTGCTAGAAGACACTAAAGTGCATTACAGTAACAACTAGCTATGGACTGTAAAGTACAGTTATTGTACGTGCCACTTAATTATTGTTCATAAAAGGAAAAGAGCATTATGCCCACTATCTCGTGTAATACCCCTTGCAGGTCCTCAAGAAAAAATAAATAAAGTGATGATAAAGACAAACGCAAACAAAAGACAATGACAAATGACTGATCCGACCGCAAAGAACTCTAAATAATCTATAAAAAGCCTAAATTTCTTTGGGCAAATGAAGAGCAAGTTGTGAATTAAACTAACTATATTTGCCAGTATAGATACTCCAGTTTATTCACGAAAGAAAAGCCTCTCGTCGTAAGCTATTCTTTTGGTCAGCTATAGCTTTCTATTGCAAAGTTTCATGCCACCGAGAAGCAAATCGGGTAATGTAATGCCCACGCTCACCTTTCTCGTCCAGGAACACATACTCGTCAAATTTCTCCTTGAAAATGAAGATCTCTTCCTGGTTGATGAAGTTGATGTATGCCCTCGAGAATGCGTTCGGACCAAGGCTTCATGGCGGATGAATAAGAAGACACAACATTCAGCACACAAGCTCTAAGCCCACGATATGAGCTTGTGTCCAGCCGAGCAGGGTCATGGCTAGATGCTTGATGGTTTGCAAATTAAAGACCCCTCCCCTGTCTGTTTCCATTGCTGAACTCAGTCCCTGGTGTTTCTATTGCTGAACTCAGTCCATGGTGTCTACCAAAATTTGTTTGCAAATTCCCTTACTTTTTCAGCTCTTCCCTGACTATTCTATAAATATTTCCTAAAATGCAGGGGTCATTCCACGCTAAAGAAGACACAGCAATTTTTTCATGCTTGGGACTTGTACGAAAAAATCAATTTGGATAAAGAAGCCTCTAAACTCCAAGAAAAGATTTTTTTTTTTTTGTGAAAAAAATTAATTTTATTTTTGCTGATATGCTTAAAATTCCTAGAATTTGCATAAAACCCGTGTAGTTAAAGGCCGACGTGCAACCTTGGGTTTCTGCAAGGAAGATAATCCTCGTAGTGCTCCCCTCTGCTAAGCTGCGAGGGGAGCCAAGTTGGGGCAAGGTAAAACGTGGAGAGGATAAAGGAAAGGTGGTGGCGGGCAAAAGTGGAAAGTGCAAAGTGTACGTCGGCCTTTAAGAAAAACATTGTGAAAAAACGGTTGAATACCACAAAAATTTAGGTGGGCACCTGATTATTTAATAACATGCCCTATCTTACAGTAAAATACAAATATTGAGACACCATTTTGAGTCCAAATAGGAGCTCCAAAAAGAAAAGACTTTATGAGATTTCTTCATTCTTTCTAGTCAACTTGGAGTTAGGTGTCAGCTACAATAATTTTTTGGTCTGTTTTCATAAAACTAATAATTGAATTGCATGTGTTAAATTTTGAAAGCCTCATTTTGTTGCATTTTAATTAAACGACAAAATCTCCAGTTTATGCAGAAACGGCCCTATTGAGAGCCAGAAAAAGCACTGTGGACATCGGTGCCTGCAACTTTAGAGATAGCCAAAAAATCAATCCACATCATCTCTTCCAACACATAAAAAAATTAGAAAAGTAGTTGTGTTGTTGCTGAGAAATGATCTTTGAAAGATGAATCTCTCCAACCATGCCTCCAGGTGCCCGCCTCGTTGATGACGCACACCAACGTTCGCCAGCGAGGCGTCAACGGTGCGAGACGTTACCTGTGAGGCCTTCACTGCTCTCCTTTCTCAGTGTATTCTTCGATATATTTTGCTGAATAAAAGTCGCATTGTAAACAAACCAGTGGGCAAACATATTAATGTGAGCCCAAGGAAAAAAGCTCTTCTTGCTGAGCACAGTTTAAAAAGATGTGATTCGGGTTGCGCCAAGACTCTAGTTTCCAAGCAGAAACCTGCTTCAGCACGCCAGCTGAGTCTCATGCAACGTGTGTCACACACCATATGCGTCGTTTGTAGTTGCTGGGAGAAAGAAAAGCTGGATTTCCCTGACCGATGCTGATTTGGAAGGAAATTCCCTTACTTGCCTAGACTCACCAAATCCCCTGACAATTCCCTGTTTTCCAGGTTGGTAGGCACCCTGTCAATCTTAGCCGGCAAATAGTCCTCACATGGGGTTGGGATGAAGCCATTACGTCATACCAGTCCTAGACTACACTTCTGACTGTGCATTCCAAAGTGTACTTTGACAGACTGCCACGTGAATCATGACACTACAGCATGTAATACACTTCACTTAGGTATTGACAAGGTGCCACGTGAATCATGACACTACAGCATGTAATACACTTCACTTAGGTATTGACAAGGTGAAACCCCAATCTTAATTACAACGCATGGTGCTTGAAATACTATCCAGAAAATACGATAGAAGCAAGTGGTTTCGATCTCGTTAAATTGGCACGAACTCAATCATAGTTCTGGAATTGCTAGAATCATTTCGATCGGAATTCGCTACTGCATTTTTATAAGAACGACCTAAGCTAGTTTTGGTGGTCTAGGGCAAATGGCACGGAACTATTGTATCCTCACGCAGTCTTTAGGTACATTGGAGTGCTGTTTATCGTACTGTGGACAGAGCAATCTCGATGTGTGCTATGACTGCGTGTGGTCCATTCTACTGACGTAGCAAAGTGAAGGGAAGCCTGACCTCTTGTTTCCTTTGACGAAGTACATGTAGTCGTTTTCGGGCACCGGTGAGATCTGATCCAGGAACTGATCTTCCGACATAGTCGGCGGTAGTCGTCGAATCACTACCTGTGATCGTGAAAAGCAACGTAAACACGTCGATATAGCAGGTCAATGAAATCACTGCGCAAATGCGCAGCGCCACAGCACAGATTCCACAAATTCGGGACGTAAACAGACTCTGTTTCGGTGTGCTCACTTTTGTCAGAAACGACTTGTCCTTTTTTTCCTTCGACTTGGAAGCATCGCTAGAACTCCGACTCCTCGGAGAGCAGTCATCCTTCGGTTTTTCTTGCGTCATGTGCGAGCTGCGGTGTACGCTGCACTTTGAATACGCTCAGTGATATCCCGGAACTTTCGTGACGAATCGGTGGCTCGAGATTGCAAGCAAAACCAGAATAAATGCACAAATCGACTGCGGCCCCAGCGCATTCAGCAGCTCTCATATGGCGCACTCAAGCCATACTCAAGCTCAGTCCGCTCAGTCAGCTCAGTCGCTCAGCCGTAAGTACCCTAACTGGATAAGAACAGAAACCATTATATTGAGGTTTGGGCGGTAACTTGGGCCACCTTTGTCAACTAGCTCACAACAACAAATTTATCAAACTTGGCGCATTTTGCATTTACTCTGGTAACACTGTACTTTCATTTTTTTTTTCGGTAGGTGACGCGAGTTACTACCCACTACAAAAAGCAGTTTAGTGTTTATCTATGTCTTTGGTTAACTAATTAATAATAAATTTTGTGCTCAGTTTGTATACCGATAAATACATAAAATAAAACAACTGTACTTTTAAAACGCTTTTTTATGAAGCAACGAACTAAATAGTAATTTAACATAGAAAAGCTACATACAAACCAGATGGCACATAAGCCGCCTTTTCTTAAAGGAGCTGTGCAACGATTTTAACGTTGAAAGAATTGGCATTTTCTGCTTTTGATATTGTTCACTGTGTCACAAATGGCAGAAAACACACCTCCTTTCATCGCAATGTTGCGATTCCGCCGCGTAATAGCGAGGCAAAACTTGGAATATTTCTCGACCTGCAGCCACGAGCGGCGGCCATGAGAAACAAGCGGCGTGACGTCACTTGGGTCGTTGTAAGAAAGGTAGCAAGTTGTGCGAATACCTGCTCGATAAAAGGTAACTTTTTTTATAAATCTTGTCGTTCCAACATATATATAAATGCGTCAACACCCTGGTATCATCGACAAAACTTTTATTATACGGAGTTTTAGTGGCGCCATCTATCCTAGGTCCACAAAACCGCGAACAGCCGCCAGAAGCCGGAGGGGGAGGGGGACAGCGCCGGACGGGCAAGGACGGGTGGTCACGCGGTCGCGAGCGGATGAGTTCTCGCTGCTCGCTGACGGCTCTAAAGAGAGAACTTTTCCGGAACTCCGCGCCTACTCTAGTGACGTCACTGTGCACGTGACCCGGAAGACTATGCACGAGTTGAGAGGCGGCAAAAACCTGGATCTTTTTCATTTTTTTAAATAAAAACTAGGGTATCCAGGCAAAACCTGTTTTCTGTAGTTCACTGCAGAAGTGTCAGGCATCAACTTCCACAATTATTTAAGCAAAGCCCTGAAATTGTTGCACAGCTCCTTTAAAGGGGCCCTGCAATCATATTTAAGCGTCTACCTTTTTTGCGGTTTCCACGTATCTTGGGGTCCGGGCAAGCCAGCGGGCACGGAGAGAGTAACTAAATATCAGTGCGTCATATTTTAACCGGACGACGCGGAAACCACCTCCACCGACGAGGGCGACCCGCGGTACCGAAAGCGCGCAAAATGTGACGTGTTTGGTCCTAGGCTTACTACTGGTCAGAGCCGCTAAAAGCTTTTTCGTAGTCGAAATACAAAATATAACTGGCGCGACCCGTTTCAATTATTTATAAAAGAAGTTTTTGTTCAGTATTTTAGATCAGAAAAGAAACAAATGGAGTTTATAAAGTACGGAAACAAGAAAAGACCCGTCGACATACCCGCCACCAAGCGGCGGAAAAAACGGCGCATACTAGAAATAACTAGTGGGATGAGGCTACGACGAACGGCCAGCGTAGAAAAGCCCCGGATGTACGCGGCGGCGCTGCGGTCGTATACCGGCTCAACGATCCGACCGGTTCCGAGCGTTCCGAAGGCCTTCGGCGCGGGCCCTGCTGGCCATTTGGCCATTTGGCGGCATAGCAGCGCGAAGTGGCTCCCGTTCTGAACTGATCTTTACCCCGTGTTTGTTGTCGCTTGTGGCCAATGAAGTGTTATGCCGAAATAGTCTTTAATCGCGCAGCAAATGCAATGCGAGCCGCCCCGGCCGCCCGCTTCATAGAGCCTATCCAACATATGCTTTAGTGGCGCCCTCTCGAGCCGTTTACCCGGAGTGCGGCAACCGTGAACGCTCGATGAGCTCACTACCCCTCCTCTAGTTCATGGCCACTCAAGCCAGGACCTACTACGTCATGAAGGAGGGTATTTTTTGCTTGTTTTTGTAATTCTAATTTGCCTATAGCTTTTAAAATAATGCGAAATTTGAGAAAAGAAAAGTTTGATTAAGTTACTACGTTCAGTGCGCTCAGGTTCGGTGCAAATTAAAACCAGTCAAAAAGTCATTGCAGGGCCCCTTTAATGTATTGCAATTACCTACTGCCGCAAAAGAGGTTTATAGACAGAGTTACTTTACGTCCAGTTGGAAGCATATTCCGAAGTTGGATAGGCTCACGGACCTGTCGGCTCTCCTTGTACCGCTTGGGGGGTACGGATGAATGCTGCTCAAAAGGCGCGAGGCTGTGGCTAGAGCACTATATAGCTCCTACGGAGCAGAGTAGCGCAATCCTTTGAACCTCGTGTTTTGCCGACAAGATGGCGGACAGAGCGGCTCGGCGCGAGTCACGTGGTACTCAGGGTTCCAAGAGGCGGCCCGCCCTATGGGAGAATACATGGAGATCGATACAACACGGCTGATTAAAAAATGAACGGCGAGTTCACACTTTTCAAAACTAGTCTGTCGTGAAGTTAGTAAAGCACTAAACACTTTGTCAAAGTTTTAATAATATCGGATGCGTGTGCAAATTTTGAGAAGGCAATTTTCAAGGCAATGGCGTTTGAAGCAGACGATTTTTGCTCGCAGCGGAGTTGGGCTTTTCGGGTTGGCCGGAGCGGGTCACGTGAATGGTGTGACGTCGCCGTGTCGTCTGCTGCATGATGCCGCTCAAGCAATTTTTTAAAAAAAGTCAGGTTCTTGCGGGTCACAAAACTTAGCGCAAATTATTCTAAAATGTTCCATTATTATGTCACAAACGATTGCCATTCCGTATATTCCCACAATACTGAAGAAACAACGATTTTCTCACGTTCTCCATGCATTTCTGACCGCAGTTGGAACCTCCGGGCGTTCGCCGCTAGTCGCCGAGAGGCGGCGTTCTAGATTGCGCTACTCTGCTCCGAAGGAGCTATATAGTGCTCTAGCTGTGGCCAGAGCGGCAGTGTAGAGGGCGCGACCCCAACTTCCGGACGTGTTGCGTTGGCTGCAGCCCTCCTGCTGTCCGGACTGAAGGCCCAGGACCTTTAAAGCCACAAAGAGCACTCCGGACGGCCATGTTGGGACAAAACAAATTGACCTTCTGGAGCGTTGCGGAGGCTGGGGGGCAGCGTGCTGAAGACACGTTTTCTGCTCGCTCGTCATCATTCGGCGAAGACGTTTTCTAAAGCCATGTGTAAACGGTGAGAATTTTCTTAGAGAACACGTGAAAATTTCCACGAAGGCGCAGCACTGCAGAAAAAAGGCACAACTCGTCGAAAGCACGTTTCGTCCGCGTGCCAAAGCCTCCTTGGCACGCGGACGTGCTGCATCTCTGTGCCTTCGCACGCTTCGATACTTATCATGAATCGACGCCGTGGCAAAGTTTCGACGGTGTGTCGCGCGTAGATGTCTTCTGGATCGCCCAGCTGTTCCAACAAATTGGTATCAATAAAGGAGAGAAAAAAATCAGAGTTCGCTATTATGCACGATAAACCATGGCTATGTTCCAAATCTACTCGAATGAATCACGTGACAGCACAAATAGAGGCAACGCTGTGGAGGAAGGTAGGTTTTTTTCAACGCAAAAAATAGAAAACGGAAAGATAGAATTTTTTTTTTTTTAACGCGGCGCATATGGTCGTGTGCAATCTGTCGCCGTCGCCCCTCTTCCGTCACCGCTGGATCAAGGTCGTTTCTGGACCGCGAGTGCCGCAAGCTACAAATACGGTCGTAAGAGTAAAGTAAAACACTGCTCCAGAGGCACGCACTTTGCACTTGCGAAACATATCCACACGGCGTCGATTCGTGATCGATATATCCAAGTGTGCGAAGGCAGGGACGCGCGTTTCAAGGAAGTCTTGATAACTCCACGACACCGGCGAGACTTGCATTTGACGTGTTGCGCCTTTTTCCTGTGGTGATGCACCTTTGTAAAACTTTCCACGTATTCTCAAAGGCAATTCTCACCGTTTACATTGGGTTTTAACAAGCTTTTTCTGCGATTGACGTCGAATGAGAAGAAAACGTGTCTTCAGTACGCTGTCGCCCAGCCTCCGCAACGCTCCAGAAGATCAATTTTCCGTGTTCCAAGATGGCCGTCCGGTGGCCGCATTTGCGCTTGCGTGCGATAGAGCACTATATAGCTCCTACGGAGCAGAGTAGCGCAATCCTTTGAACCTCGTGTTTTGCCGACAAGATGGCCGACAGAGCGGCTCGGCGCGAGTCACGTGGTACTCAGGGTTCCAAGAGGCGGCCCGCCCTATGGGAGAATACATGGGGATCGATACAACACGGCTGATTAAAAAATGAACGGCGAGTTCACACTTTTCAAAACTAGTCTGTCGTGAAGTTAGTAAAGCACTAAACACTTTGTCAAAGTTTTAATAATATCGGATGCGTGTGCAAATTTTGAGAAGGCAATTTCCAAGGCAATGGCGTTTGAAGCAGACGATTTTTGCTCGCAGCGGAGATGGGCTTTTCGGGTTGGCCGGAGCGGGTCACGTGAATGGTGTGACGTCGCCGTGTCGTCTGCTGCATGATGCCGCTCAAGCAATTTTTAAAAAAAAGTCAGGTTCTTGCGGGTCACAAAACTTAGCGCAAATTATTCTAAAATGTTCCATTATTATGTCACAAACGATTGCCATTTCGTATATTCCCGCAATACTGAAGAAACAACGATTTTCTCACGTTCTCCATGCATTTCTGACCGCAGTTGGAACCTCCGGGCGTTCGCCGCTAGTCGCCGAGAGACGGCGTTCTAGATTGCGCTACTCCAGAGCCGTTTATCGAGAGAGTTTGGCCATACATTGGTTTGAATAGGCGAGCATCTCTGGGCCAACCACAGGCCGCAAAACAGCCCCTAGCGGTGGTCGTGAGCTCTTAATTTGTGACACGACTAATTCAAGCCGTTTTAGCGTCGCTAGAGTTAAAAGGTGTAACTCTCAGTGACTGAAAACTTTGTGCGTGCGAGGTTTTCGTCACGCCAATATTCAAGTGTAGAATAAACGAACGTGCACTCCAAACCAGGACCGACTTGCTACAAACAGCGTCTCAGCTGAGACGGTGAAAGAAAGCACTGCCAAAGCCAGCGCACGAGCCGAGCGGGACTCCGCGTCTCCAGACGCTCGCGCGCCCGACCCTTTGCACTGTTTTCTTTCCGCCAGTCCCAGGACGCTGTTCTAACAAGCCAACATCAGCAGTGCAGAGAAAGGCATGGTCACGAGTGCGTGGATTTGGAAAGTGGCTCCTATGCACGAGTTCTCGTACAAACAAAAGCGTTTTGCTGAGCTAGGTTCACGCGCGTGTACCTTTGTCTTCACTGCCGACATTTGTGAGATGGAGCAGAAGAGAGGCCGAGATTGAACGCCTGTATTTCACGCTTTGAATGTCGTTTGCAATATTGTGACGTCGCGGTCTCCTGATTGGTCGACGCTGTGTCACAAATTTAGTTTACGCTCTAAGCGCGGGGGGAATATTCGGCGCTGGCGGCGGCCTTTGCTCCGCCTATTGGCCAAACTCTCCCAATACACGGCTCTGCGCTACTCTGCTCCGAAGGAGCTATATAGTGCTCTAGCGTGCGAGAGTAGACTTGTAAAAAGCCTCGAAGCAGCAAGCGTAATCGGGCAAGGTTAAAAAAATAGAAGACAAGAAAAAGTCGTCTAGCGTCTGCGCCTGCCGCAGGATCTTGATCCTGACGGAAATTATTTCTCGGGGGGTACTGCTTATTTTTTCCCATAGTCCCGCAAGTTTTAATTTCAAGGAAGCGGCCGTCATCATGTCGAGTTCAGGGGATTTCGGCAACCCGCTTCGCAAGTTCAAGCTTGTCTTTCTGGGAGAGCAAAGCGGTGAGTCGAATTCTGCGTCCGGCGGGCCGACTGTTCCACGTAAGCCGGTCGGGCGACGCCTATGCCGAACTTGTCTTTTATTGCGACCGCGTACCGGGCGCGCTGCTACGAAGCGCACTGGAGCTCGCTTTCGCTGCTCCAGATACCCACGCCGACCGAACAGGCTCCAAACGGTCCCCCTACGCCGTCCTTCAGGCCGGAAAAAATTCGAGTTTCGCCAAGTCGCTAGGCCTACTGTCATTTAAAGGGACATCCGTGGCGATGCCCGGTCTGCGTGACAGCGTTTTTCACTTGTAAACCTCGAGAGTAACTCGTGCTAAGAAGATCGAACCCGTGTGCAGGCTCGGAACAGAGCCCCCGAGTTCGCGTTTTGCGTCTAATTTCGGTACGATTCCTCGCTAGAATATCCGCTGACAGGAGCTCGTACTGGGGGTGTTCGATTTGGAACGTTTCGACAGGATCGCTGTCCGTCTTTTCGGCTCGAATCTATAAATATCGAATTCGGCCAGACGGTTTGACGTCTGGTTACGTGGAAACCGCGGGGCTTTGACGCGGATCGATGTCGCCACGATCTTCTACCGATTTTTCGGTCAGCTCGTTGATCGTTCCAGCCGTCGCACGCCCCCGTTTTTATTCTTCACCATCGCAGCTGTGACGCAGGTGCTGCGTGCACTTTTCACGTTACCTACGGTGTTTTCAGGTTTCAACGTTTCTGGCGTATGTGGGTTGACCCAGAAAGGAACTGGACGGCTTGGCCATTACTGAATGGAATTGCGCGAAGTGTAGCGTACAGTCGTGTCCACGCTACTATTTATGTCGAACGCGACGCCGTGAAGGGGTAACTGACCTCAAACAATCCTACATTTTTTTTTTCTTCTTGTCACTGCTTGGGTCGGTGCGTGCGAAGTGTATTAAACCGGCATAGTAAGACGAGGCCCTCATTGTCTTGGGGGTTCGCTTGTTTTCGTTGTTTTGGCTGTCCCCATGTGTCGCTGCTGCCTGCCACTTGCTGATGCGTAAACTCCAGTTAGCATACGGAGGGGAAACCTGCGTGGAAATATGAATGTCAGTGTTGAGTGCTTGTACTGTCATTTTTTATTGTCTGCATAGATCCAAAGCCTCGTGGGATTAAATGACCACTCTGGACACTCACTCCCATGACGCTCTTGATTACACTCCGTGAGCTAGGGCAGTCATTTTTCTTGTTACTAATTTCTTGTATAGAACTACCAAGTTTCAGGGTGTGGAATTGGTGCCATGGAAGCTTGCTCTCAATACATGCTCAAGGGCAAGGCAAACGGTGCCTCGGACAAAGCATTTCTGTGGCAGCTTACCAAACTGATGAATAGACCATTTGCCCAAGCACCAATAATAATGCTGATAATGAAGGTACACGTGCTGCATGCAGGGCCAGATTAAGGTACGGCCAAGGGGGCTGCAGCCCTGGGCCCCAGGCTGGCAGGGGGCCCCATGCTGGCCCCTGAAAATTTAAAAATGTTCATCTTTTTTTTTTTTTTATTTATTTAAGAAAGTTTAGGCAGAAAGCAGAAGAAACACTCCAAAGGGCCTCTGGCGCAATGGCCTTTTTGTTCTTTTTTCCTCAACAAGGAAACAAGGATGCCATAAAGTTCCTGTCTCTAGATCAGCTGGCGTTTGTGAGCTCGTTGTACAAGAGCGTGCCAGATCAACAAAATTTAATGCGGCCTCCCATGCCCCTTGTTAGATTTTTTTTTTAATTGGAGCTTGATGAAAGGACAGTTATGGAGCTTTCTTTTGTACTGGGGCCCCCTTAGCATGTTTTACGGACAATTGTGAGCAGGAAGTTAAGCAAGCATCAAACAAGCAACGCAGATGGTTCACATATGTTGTTTTAAACCTGTTTGCGAAACTCCATATGGAGTGTATTCCAGAAAGATAAGTTTGGAGCAAGCGAAAAGGTGCCCGTAAATCTTCCGGACACCGTCTCTATAGCCACCAACAAAGAGGTGTTTCAAGGAGTTGGCTCTTAAGACACCCCTCAACAGTTTTCGATGGGTACTGACTGCAAGGAAGTGCTCTAGAGTAGATATCTGGTCTGCCAGTGCAACTGAACACTCTTCCTTCCAGCGACTGATACAAATACTGCAATGGTTTCACCAACCTCTGAGGTATAACCTTTTATTTTTTAACGTCGAGTCACAGAATAAAATGGCCACCGAGGTCTAAATTACTGCATTTAAAAAGAACAAGATCAGTACTAAACCTGATGCGAAACCTTTTCCCCATTCAAAAAGACATTGTGTATATGGAAAAAGAAAACATCTCGATTCTCATGATAAATTCTTTAAATGCAAATGTGCCCGAACGATAGCGGTCGATGTCTAAGTCGCAAGCAGTTACTCCTATGCTTTAAATGTGGAAGCCTGTGTTTGTTTGCGAAACGAGGGTTCAGTTATTAGAAGAGCGTTTACGAAGTAGTTTGATCCCGATAAAGACTGCTTTAACCAACGAAATTTCTTTGTTGCCTATATCTCTTCCTTCACTGTTCACATTAATTACTCGTGTAATTAATTACACGAGTAATTAATTAACAGAGGGCTAGTTAGAAGATAAAACACTTCCAGTAATTTGGAACAATTACAAAAATAAGGGCTCTAGGTTTTCATGGCAGTTGTCGATTTGCGAGGCATGTCATTTAGGGGAAGCGAAATTAGAATGGGAATTTTGCAGGTACCTTTTCGGTTGCTGCACAACTCAATTCATGTGTCATTAATGATGTCACTCGACATGTTAGAAACAGGGTCATCTGTGCTATAAGTTGACATCGTGACCAATTTGTATAAACTGGCCCGGGCATGTACCCTATGAATCCAGCTGTAATTCTAGTCAAACAAATTCATGAACGGAGTCAGCAGTTTAAACGGAAGCAATTTAGTGTTTTTTTTTTGTTTTTTTTTGTGGTTAAGTTGCTGGATGTGAGCGACAAGTCCTAATATTTTCCGCAATGTTTATTTGATTTCATTTTTGTACCTCAAAATTACAATATTGTAAATTGCTAGAGCGGTTGATTATTTGCGAAGTAGCTTCTAGAGAATCGCATCCGCCTCAATGCCTGCAAGGAAAATTTGAATTCCTTTGAATCTATGGATCTAAACAAGTCTCGACAATAATCATACGATGAAACATATCTAGATTTAACAAGTTAAAAGATATACCTATTCCCGTCGTCATCTTTACCTCCACCACCACCATATCATAGGTAGAGGCCTCAGCCCAGGGCCCCCAAATGCTTTAATCCGGCACTGGCTGCATGTGCTCACCTTATGCGTTTACAAGATTAAGTGAGTAAAAAAAGAAAGGCATTGATCATGTGTGCATTTCTGAAATGTTGTTTGTTTTAGATTTTTTGCATTTGTGTGATTTGCTGCTGTGGCAGACACCAACACATGCAGTGCTACTCTCTCAGCATGCTCCTTTGTGCTTGGGTCTTGTAGGAGGGAAACCCAGTAACAAATAACTTAGTCAATCTTTTTTTTTTATAATTTTGTTTTTAGTTTAATTTAGAAGTAGAAAGGGCATCAACATTTTATCGTGAAGCCTAAGTTACATTAACACCAGCAGCGTACAGTCAAATTCAAATTTTGTGTTCTCAGATGGTGACCTGGTAGTAGTTTCTTCATTTAGACCTCACTGCAGTATATGTCATATTACTTAAAGAGTTATGGCCTTGGCCTTCTAGTACTGTACAAAGTTTTCAGGGTAGTGGGGGCATGTCCTCTCTTCTTTTCCTTGGTGCTTATGCTTTTGATTTTTAACAATGTATTGCCAACTAGCCCAACAGTTAATTTTGATTTAGTGGGGATGTGTCGGGGGCAAACAGTTTTGTGCTCACTGTGGCTTGCAGCAGCATCCACATTTATTGGGAGGGTAAATTTGGTATCATCCTGGAAAACAGGAAAGGAAAAGCTATAGATTTTCAAACCTGGTGCACCTGCTGTCAGTGCAATGTAGAAGTTGCAAGTGCCATGATGTTTTATTAATTTAGAACAGCTGCATGTCGGCAACCTTGCATAGTATGGCCTTGCCAAGGCATAGGTTTTGTACTACGCAGTTTTGTTTAAGAATATAAACATAAATGTGGAAGCCTGACTTGCTGTTTATGTAGCAGATTCCTTCTGAGCTTACTTTCTAATTTAATTGGAGCCATGCTTTACTGCCTGGTACAAATAGACCTTACAATAATGTACAACTTAACTGCAAAAGAACCTATGTTCATCCAGCATAGCTGAGTCACCACTATAGTTCTCTTCCTCACCAATAGACCTTCAGCAATACGTGAAATGCCCTCTGCTGTAAGGAACTTTTGGAACAGGCTGCAGCAAATGTGTAGCAGACAACTTGGGCAATGTAAGCGGGCGAGGCCAGGCGAGCAACTGTGGTTATGTCTCAGTAAAGTAGCAAGCAACAGCGCTACTTTACTGTGGTATAGGCTTTATTTTCTGTTAACTAGACATTATTTTTTCTCTGGGGATGTTCATAAATAAGAATTGTTTTAAAATCTGGCAACATCCTAATTTGCAGCAAGCATTATTAGCATTATCTAGGGAAAATTTAACTAAGTAGAACTAACTATCACAGCTGGGGGGCAGGCGGGACAGAGGAAAATTGGGACTTCCTCCCACGTTGCTCCAGCCCAAAGTCTCAACCCTGTCCCCAGTGGGTCGGGTGTTAATCAACACGCACAAGGTTCGACCAGAGGAAAATTGGCGACTCCCTCGCTGGGGGGGGAAGGGAAGAAGGCGAGGGGTGACGTTCCTAATTTTTTTGCACGGTCCCCCAAAGGTCTGCCTGGCAATCATCTTCATGACCTGGTGATAGTAAGAGAAATGCCTTGGCTTGAAAAGGGAAGGGGGAAGCCAGGTTTTAGTTACTGTTTTTTGGGCTAGGTGGCACAGGCTACCGCCCGTTAATGAGGGGTACAGCCATTATCATCCATCCATCCATCAATATTCCTGTTAGACGTGTTAAGAAAATCAGTTTGGGGTTATATCGAACATTGTCATCTGTGTTTAAGATCTCCTGAATGTTTTACCTTCTTTTTTGTTTCTTTGTAGTTGGCTTACCCATGCAATTTAACTGCTACTTCAGTAGAGGCAGTTTTGTGGGGGCTGCATAAACCCTTGCATCATAGCACAAGCTGGCGGGCCAGGGTTGCAAAACTTTTACGATGAGGGGAGAGTTGGCCAAGCGAAATTTGTTCACTTTTTGTTCCTTGCATGGCGGTTAATAAAAGGCTTTCGGTCTGAAACATCAAGATGAGCTTTCTGCAGTAATAAAAACTGCCTACAAATTTTCATGAATTTCTTTGGCCGTTTTTTGTTACATCCTTTTTTCGGCTTATTTATAGTTACATTTTCCATATTTCTTGCCAAGGCAGCAGAATTGTTTACACTGCCGACGCCTAGTCTTAGCCAAAAAAAAGGGGGCCGAGAACCGACCAAACATTGATGCTTCGAATACGCTATCCAAAAATTGGCCTTGCCTGTTCAAACATGAGTGATTTATTCTTTCTTTGATCTTTCTCGTTTCAGTTGGGAAGACATCACTTATCACGCGTTTCATGTACGACAGCTTCGACAACACATACCAGGTGCGTGTTCTCAAGTGCTTGTTCCTTTACTTTGTTTCCTTAGTGTTCTCCATAATTTTTTCCTGCTTCTGTATGCATACGAAGCCGTGGGCTTTTGGCTCTCGCTTGTTTGTGGTCCTTTTCTTTTTATCCGGGCAAGTCTTGGTTCCGTGTTATTTGTGGAAGGAAACAGCCCTTGGAAGAAATTTTGTTTAGTCCCAACCGTTTGGTCTGAAAGACCGCTCATAGTCTGTCATTTTATTGGGCAGGGGAGAATAGGGGCTGTACAGTGTGATTTATTTTAGATATAGTCATATCAAAGCATAGTGCATGTTGGTAGTTTTCTAAAATGTTCTATTTAAGGTACTACGTCCAAATGCCTTCAGGAATAAACTGTACCCTTTGTCCATTGCTTGTGCTAGATGTGAGCATCTGAGGATGAGAGAAGTTGCTATGAATGTCGATCTAATTACTTTTTTTTTTTTTTTCAAATATTCACTTATAAAGAGCATATGCTGAATGAGTTGTCCCATGAAAAACATTGAAATACAACTATTGCGCACAAAGTTAGGTTTTCATGGGGGAAAAAGATATTGGACGAGTGAATCGACAATCTTGGAGAACAGGTACACGATAAGGAAGCTTGGATATTACTGGTGTACTCATGGAATATTGGTGTATCCTAGCATGTTCCAGTATTTGTTTTTGCATTAATAAATATCTAAATGTTTAAGGATCCTTGTTTGACACATTTTGTCTTGCGTTTCAGGCCACAATAGGCATAGACTTTCTATCCAAGACAATGTACCTAGAGGACCGCACCGTAAGTATTACTTTCTTGCTCCTGTTTTCTGAGCCGCCTCGGTGGCTCTGAGGCGAGAGCGCCGGCCTACGGATCCCCAGGTGGCGGGTTCGAATCCCGACCGAGGTGCCCGCAATATGACGGAGGCTTATTGCGGAGAAGGCGCCGTGTAACCGAGCTTTCGGTTGCACGTCAAAAGATCCCCAGGCGGTCCAAATTAATCCTCAGTCCTCCGCTGGGGCGTGCCAGATGCCCGCCTTAGGTTTGGCACGTAAAACCCTCAAATTTGGCTCCTGTTTTCTGGTTGGTGGAGAAACATTCTGGAAGTTGTCCTTAATGCGAGCAAGGCAAATCTTAGTCGCTGTCATCATTATTATCGTAGTTGGCCTTGAACTCAATAGGCAGCCTCGGTGGTTCCGTGGCAAAGTGCCTGCCTGCGATCCCCAGTTCGCAGATTAGAACTTCGGAGGGGGTCCCCCCAATTTGACAGAGGCTTACTGCGAACAAGGTGCTATGTAACTGAGCTTTTCGTAATGCATCCTTAATTCTCGTTCCTTTGCTAGAACTTTGTGTGGCGCATAATCTCCCAAAATTTACTCGCATTGTTTCTTTGCTCTGCGCATGTATTCTGCTTCTGATTTCACAAAGGGTTTCCTTTCTGATAATGGGACCAAGACTGTACTATCCTTTGGGTCATTCGGAAAAGTTGCGATTTCCAGTTCTTTGTTGCCCAAACATCTTTACTCTGGTAAATTAATTTTTCTGGTCAGAGAAACTGTTATCGGGCATGGATCAGTAGACCCACAGTGACGAAGCTCCGCCGGAGAGGTTAGTAACACTCTTTTTCAAGGAAGTGCTGAAGATTGTGGAACCAAACTTAGTTGGGCACATCGAATTCGGAGACGACATCGAGCGACGAAGTGGTATGATTTGTTACTCAAAACCGTGCTTTGTATTGAGGTTGACGATTTAAATGTGCGCTGCACAAGAAGGGTCGGGACTCGAAGATGCACAGCACCTTTTCGATTCCTTTGCCGCAGGTTCGCCTTCAACTTTGGGACACAGCCGGCCAGGAACGGTTTAGGAGCCTCATTCCAAGCTACATCAGGGATTCCACGGTGGCCGTGGTGGTCTACGACATCACCAGTGAGTTACTTTTCAAATGCAAAGGGCAGCAGTGGTATGATTGCTGCGCCAATTGCGCCAGACTGCGTCAAGGGGCTAACCCTGCTACATCCTGATACATTCTGGCAAAATCTGGGTAATCTGCACCAAGCCTGTGCCAAAAAACCAATTTCGGTTGCCTTTCAAAATCAAAACCAAACAGCACCGCAATCGAGTATGCGGTGTTATGTGGCGCAAGCGGCCGCCCGAGGTCTGGTCTTGCATGGTTTTTCCGCCGTCTCGCATTTTGCGCCCTCTTCGTCGTATGGGTCTCGTCTCGCGTCTTTTTAAAAAATATTTCCATCGATAGACGCGAGTGTGTGCAGACGCTTCGACGCTAGTGTGCCAGGCACCGCCCATGCCGTCATGCTGTGAAACGAAACCACGTTTTTGCGAGACGGTAATTACTTCGTGAGCTGAAGCACTTGCTCCTGAAAGCAATGGCCGTGAAAGAAGATATTTGGTCCCTGCCGTCTAGTCACCGTGGTCGCGCGACGTCGGGTGTTGCCGTCCCCATATTACTGCAGATATGGCTCTTTCTAAAATGAAACGAAGTACTGCCGCATGTTCATCAAAATTCTTGTTCTTATTTAAATCATGTTACAACGAAAATACCTCTTTAATTCAAAGTCTGCTGTGTCGAAGTACTATTGATTACTGAGGTTTTTCTTGGTGGGCTTTCTTTCGAGAGGGACCCCAGTACGTAAAAAATCTGCCGCGAAAGAAAGTTGAAGAGAAGTGAGCTAAAGCAAAGAAGGCAATGTCTGCATGCTGAACCCACACAGCGTGCTTGTTTGTTTCTTGTACCCTATCCTTGTGCAAGCCGGTCCAATAACTTTTTCTTCCTGGCTCATGATGTCTTGCATCGATGTGCTCAGGTTATTTTTTGTTGTGTGTGTTTAGCTTCTACCTTGTTTGCCGGCCTGGCAAGTACGTGCCGTTGGACTGGTTTTGGTCGTATGCTTGACAGTTACATTCTGCATACAATTTTGGAAATCGGTTGGCGATAGAGCGGAGTGCAATGGTTTCGGTTTCGATCGAACAGCCATTGTCTCCGCTTACCCGACTAAGCACGCGCAACTGCAAGCCTGCCGAAGTGGCCCTCATGCGCATGCGAACATGATAGCACGACAGAGGCGCCAGCCGGGACGCTTGCAGTCTCTTGTTTTATGTTTGCTTACTTTGAGAAAAATCTGGCACGTCGGGAACCAGTAAAACGGAATTGTTTGGCAATGTCTACAGCACTGTACACTTGGGAGATGTCTGAGCAGTAAAAACACAAGCATCAAGTTGTGTCATTACACGTCACACCAGAACACAACATAACGCAAAGTGCCCTTCGTTTGTACAGCACTTATATTATTTTTCTGAGAATATCTGCTCCAAAAGCCACTTTTGCTTCCTCGAAACAGTGTCTTGGCTGCTCCAAAAGCCACTTTTGCTGCTCCAAAACACTGTTTTGGTTGCTCCAAAGTCCACATTTGCTGCTCCAGAACACCGTTTTGGCTGCTATGAAAGATGCTCCGAAATGGCTTAGGCCAATCGCATCACTGGGGCAGGTGAGCCTGGCAGGTGAACAGGAAGCCTTGTGCTTCTTGTGAGACCTAGCCTCTACAGTGTGTGTCTGATCACAAGTTTGCACTGCGTATGGGAAGCTAATACATTGTAATGGCTCGAATCCCATTGCACTGCCAATCAGCTACAAACGCGAGCGTTTAGTGACATCATGTTGTTGGCATTGGCAAGGAGTGTAGGATGGCGACTACTTCGGTACCCAGAGACGCAACTTGCTGAAAAATTGCATGTGGCCCCTTCCGTGTCTCTTGATCACAAAGAGTTTTTTAAGTGTTTTCAGATTTGATAGGAACGAACATTGCTGTATACTTGGAGACAAGTTCTTGTGGCAATAGAAGCAAAAGTAGGGGTTCCCGTGCACTCGTGCACATGCAAAGTTGATAAAAGCTGTACGCTGCATGCATGAAGGTTGACCCAGACTAGTAGCAGCTGCGCCCCTTTGTTGCTTGGGTTTTTTAATGCGAAAGCATTAACTGTCTTATGGAGCGAGCCGACGTCATCAGCTTTGAAACCGTGCCAAAGGGCTCTTAAATCAGCTCCCAGCTATGAAACCATGCGCAAAGCTAAAACCTTTTACACCTCGGTCCCATTGGCCGGCGCACGTCGACGAGGCTCCCAGTCGCCGGACACGCAGCGCCATGAGGTGGCCGGTTGTTGAAACTGACGCTGCGCGTCAGTTTCACTGACCGCCGGCACGTTGGCGTGCGCTCGGCGGCTTCTGCTCGTCTTGTTGCCGACGGACATGCCGCCGCCTCAGGCATCCACACGAAAAAGGGAGCAGACGAGTGGCTTCAAGCTTCCGCATTCACAACCCATAAGGAGTGCTTATGTGTACCCCGAGCTTTTTATCAATTAATTTCGGCTGTGCCACTAACAAAGGGTGCTCTATATTCTAAACTGATTTTACTCATTACAGCCTATAACAGTGAGTGATGCATTGCAGGGATGATGCCTGTTGTGGTTGCAACATGTTTACCTTGTTCACAATCATATAAGATAGAGGGGATATAGGGTAAATTGTAAAAGAGCTTTATTATCTTGAATGTTCCCACATCTTTGTTCAGTGTTAATCCCGTGGTGAATCTGCTATGTCCGTTCCAGTGTTTCATTTGTTCCGATTCTTTTCAGATGCCAACTCCTTCCACCAGACTTCCAAGTGGATCGACGACGTGCGGACAGAGAGGGGAAACGACGTCATCATCATGCTGGTGGGGAACAAGACGGACCTTTCAGACAAGAGGTGCGACTTTTTTTTTTTTTTTTTTTTTTACCACAGAATGTGCTATAGGGTTGGTTTTCATAAAAAAAAGCGACACATTGTACTCAACGGATATACGAGTCAAGGTTATGTAAGCAGTATAGCATCATAGGGGCTACATTACTTGTATGACCTTGAAATTAAGGTGTCGTGCGACACCCAAACTTGATCTCAATGTATGGTGCAACGTTACACGAACGCTCGTACAGCATGTCCTCAGATCATTTACAACACTCTGTGCGTTCCCGAGTTTATCAGATATGATCAAGGTCTCGGCAGATGGGCCAATGGGCTTGTACAGTTGTGCTGCTCGCAGACTAATGTCAGTGCTTGTTTACAGACCCGAATCTTTCTCTTTAAGATACAAAGGGTCCTTTTTGTAGACTCTGAACTACTGGAGCAGCTGCATTGAATATTAAGTGTCGTCACCGTAGTGAGCTGTCCCTGTGTCAGTAGAATGGGAGTGACATACTCTGGGCTTGATATTTGTGCCTGTGATGGCCCACACTCTTCTAGGGCAGGGGTTCTCAAACTTTTGGACCTAGAGAAACCCTTATTGCTCTTGATTGATGGCCAAGGAACTGGTCCCGGACTTGGCGTTAGTCAGATAAAGCAGTGCAGGAGCATGTGGAGCTTGTACACAATAATGTGCGAATTGCTAGGGAGTGCTGCTTGGTGCTAGTGGGTGGCCTAGATCTGCAAAAATTGTGCTCAAACCGGGAAAAAGGCCTCATTTTGTAGGTGGGATGGTGGAGGAACCTTGGAGTTTGGGGAACCCATAAGGGTACTTTAAGGAACTCCTGGGTCTCTAGGAACTCCGCTTGGGAAGCCCTCTTCTAGGGCGTGTTTAAAGAAAAGGGAGGTGTAGCCTCTGTCTTTCGTTCCGCATTTTCTTCGAAAACAAAGTGCGGAGCGGTGTGTAAGCTGTTGCCGTCTCCAAACCCAACCCCAGGCAGGTGACGACAGAAGAGGGGGAGAGGAAGGCCAAGGAGCTCAACGTCATGTTCATCGAGACCAGTGCGAAGTCGGGATACAACGTCAAACAGGTGGGTCCTCGGCCCTCGCACAGAGTCGCGGACAGACGGGACTGTGCGTCGACGCACCTCCTTCGCCATCTCTCAGGGGGGTTTCCCGAGTTTAAGTATAATTGGAGAAGGTCGAGATTGTAGGGAGTGGTTTTATTGGCTACGTTGTGCTTGGAGATGTTGCCAAATCTAGTTGCCAAAGGTTGAGGTCAGATTGTGCCTGCGTCATTCCTAGCTTTTGCAGTACAAGTACCGTATTTACTCGCAAAATGAACGCACTTTTTTTTCCGAAAAATCGACGCAAAGTTGGGGGGTGCGTTCATTATGCGAAGTAAAAGTTTTGTGTCTGTATTTACTCGCATAATGAACGGACCTTTTATCCTGAAAAATCGAACTTATCTCTTTGCGCGCGGCGCCCGACCCGTAACCTAAGCTGTGCAAAAAAGAAATCCTCTTTGTTTTCTTTTTCTCTTAGTTCCTTGGGTTTTTTTTTTTTGTCCGCCTTTCGCAAGCTGTTTTGTTTGCTTAGGCGAGGGCTCTCCGCTTATCTTTCTAATCTCCTTGCTCGCGGCGCGCGACCCCCGTAACCAAACTGCGCTGTGGAAAAAAGAAGAAAAAAAAACTTTTTTTTTATTTTTTCTCAGTTCCGTGTTTTTTTTTTTTTTTTCTTTTTGCCGTTTTTCGCAATCTGTTTCGTTTGCTTAGAGGGCTTCTCCGCTCCTCTTTCTTACCTCATTGCGCGCGGCGCGCGACCCCCCGTAACCAAACTGCGCTGTGCCAAAAAAAAAAAAAAAAAAGGAAACGTTCTACTGGTTTTGTTTTCTCTTAGTTCCGCGTTTTCTTTTTGCCGCCTTTCGCAAGTTGTTTTGTTCGCTTAGAGCGCTTCTCCGCTTGTCTTTCTTACCTCCTGTCGCGCGGCGGCGCACGAACCCAAAATCCAAACAGCGCTGTGGAAAAAAAAAAAAAAAGCTCCTCTCCATGTTTTTCTTTTTTGCTTCCGTTGGATCTTTGCGAATTTTTTTAACGCCTTTTGCAAGGCGTTTTGTTCGCCCACGCTGCCCATGCATTCGCGACCTCGCTGCACCAGGATAAAAAAGTGCGTTCATTTCGCGCGCGTGGGGGGGGGGGGTTCAAAATTTTGACGTCCGAGTTGGGGGTGCGTTTATTACGCGAGTGAAAAAAAAAGTCGAAATTTTGAGAGCCGACTTGGGGGGTGCGTACATTACGCGAGTGCGTTCATTGTGCGAGTAAATACGGTAAAGCTAAGTGATGCGATCCTGCCCTTGCGCCTATGATTCGGCAGATTCAATTTTAAATAGGGTTTGACGGCATCTCAAATTTACTTTTTCGTGTTAAATTTCTGCGTCCACATTTGAAACATTTAATAATTACCTTTGCCAGGTAAGCGCCGAGAAACTGAGGGAGATGAGGAGACCAGATCGGACGGGAACGTCGCAATGCCAAGCTCTGGTTGGAATGATTAGTGGGTAGACCTAAATCTAGTTGCCTTCGTCTTTATTGCAGTTGTCGAACGCGGAGCGCCTGCGTCCGGTGTTTGGCTTTTGCATTCAAACGCGTTCGACGAGTGTAGTGGACACAAAGGCAGCTACCTACTAATCATTCCAACCAGAGCTTGGTGTTCTGACGTCCCCGCTCGCTATCGTCTCCGTTTTTCGGCCCATAACTAAATGTTTATCTCAGCCATTTAGTCATTGGTACAGGATTAGTATGAGTTATCATTTTCTACATTGAAATTGAAGGAAAATAACTTTTTAGAAAGATACTCGAGTTGCAGGGACAACAAAATAAGGTGGGTTCTTTCGTGTAATACAGTTGAACCTCGATGTAACGAAGTCGGTAAAATTCGCAATTTACTTCGTTACATTGAAATTTCGCTAAATCGAAATTTGGCTTTAGCATGCGAAAAAAAAAAATTCCGAAACATTTTACGGGTATGAAAACTCACCGAAAATGACATTTATTTAGGGGCAAAGTAGTCCGCGAGTTTTGCTTGCGCCTTGTCCGACAGTAGCAGCGGCGTCGGCGGCGTCATACGGCGTTCGAGCGCCCAGAGCGCTTGCACGGCATCTTGCTGCCCATGCGACGCCGTGTACCTCCTCAGTACGTCCATTGCGTCGAGCACTTCCCGAGTGCTCGTGATCTCGGCAGTTTCTTCAGGATGGCGTCCAAAACGTTTGCTTTCTCATCCAAAGAAAGAACTTTACGTTTCCTTATGGCAGCAAGCACGTAAGTGAACCGCCCGGTTAAAAAGTAAAGCAGTTTAGTTTAGGCGGTGCCAATGTTTCCAACCTACACAGCACTCTTGACCGCACAGTTTACTTGCCCCCTTGCGCCCACAGTGTGCTTGCGCCTTTGCTTTACATCACGCTCGCAAGACGATAATCGGTCTTTTCGGTCTTCTCCTAGATGGCACTGCCCGTGCGGTCGCGCGGTATCGCGCGGTCGCGCCATCACGTCGCTCCCCCGCTGAAGTTGGCTCCCGCGCTACCCGCGGTACAGTGGACTACGATGATCAGTGAATGTCAGTGGTGATGCTGTTATGCCGTGTTAACTTTTTGCTCGGCATTTTCTGGCCAGCCTCGCGGAATCCGCTTTGCCGCGTGCCTCGCCGGCGCTACCGGCGTCGCATCCTCGGGCAGCCTAGGAACGTTGGAAGGCCTGTCCCCGTGAAGTAACCTATCAAGCGCTCGCGTTTGCGCATAATTTTTGTTTTTTAACCACAATTTTTTGCGAAGTTGTTTTTTAGAGTTGATTTATTTATTGCCTTCTATGGCAATGGCGCTTCGTTATATTGAAATAGCAGCAAAATAGACTTCGTTATATAGGGACTAAAAATACATGGGGTCTATGGGCAAGAAATTATGAAAAATAAAATACTTCGTTAAATCGAGGATTTCGTTACATTGAAGTTCGTTATATCGAGGTTCGACTGTAATGGAAAGTTTCTGGTTTGGTTTCTGATCTGGTGAAAAGCAGAAAGAAAGTTTTCCACAATATGTAAAGGCAAGCTGCAATGCCGAGAGAAGTTTTAAGCGTACGTAAAGCACTTCGATCCCGAAAGCGTTTCAAAATTGCTCCCCGGACCAAGGAAATGAAGTCCCGTTAACAAAGGGGCACGGGTGTCCTGTCTCTGCTCAGCTTTTCAGACGCGTTGCGGCCGCCCTCCCGGGAATGGAGAACACGGAAAGAACGAAAGAAGACAGTATCCTTTGTGCCTTGAAGCCCCTTTTTCCTCCTCCTCTCTTCCACTCTGTCGCCGCCCGGGTTGCGAGTGTAGCATAAACCGATTTCTCCCGGCCCCTCTTAGTGGTGCTTCTCGGGTGAGAGTCGCCACCTTGATTGACCGTTGTCTTCCCTGCACTCTGCTCCCCGAGGGCTTGTTGTGATGCTCGAGCTGTCTGGCAAGAGTGGCTCACTGTCTCGCGACGCGGGTTTTACGAGACACGGTCGGCGGTGTTGCCGAGAGCTCTGCTCCGGTCGCACATGGACACAAGATGTTCTTGGTGTTTAGGAGGGATACATGGTGTGTGCCGTCGTTTGACATCTGGTTGTCTTCGGGTTGGGTACTTGTGTGTTCTGGTTGCCCTTGTGGCTCTTGCAGCGCTACAGACACGTTAACTATAGTCAACAACAGGAATGCAGTAGAAGCTACAGCTTTAGCGATGAAGCGTTATCAAAGACAGAAGAAAGCGTCGACTGCATTCTTAATTAACAGATTCTTGCCAACGGTACCGTAGGTGTATGCCAGCGTCTACCAAAGTTCAAGCGTTCAAATCCAACCCAGACTTTTGGTTGCCTGCAGCCTATAAGTACTTTCAGAAATCATGCACACTGTTATGTGAAGGTACTTCGACGGTAACTTATTTGACGTTACAAATTTTTACGTCGACGGCCATTCCAGAGTTTGTGTTGGAGGTTAACACCTTTCGGTGGCCCTTATATCAACTCGGGTTGACGTTTTTCTCGGATGGCGAGTTTTGAATCCTCGAAAGGGTTTCTAAGTCTTGGTGATGTGTTTCTCGTCGTGGACCCGAGTATGAGGTATTCGAAAAAAGTTGTCTACTTTTCTCCGCATTGTGTGGGTGTTTGAAGCTTCTGGTCGCTATGTTGTTGTTGCAATGCAACACCATGACCTTATTGCAGTGAAATATTGCAAAACTTGCAATGGAACAGCGGTGCAACATTTTTCGGCGCTACATTGCTGTCCAATTTCAAAACCGGTTTCAGATTTCAAACAGAGGAAGAAATGTTTGTTTCTTTCTTTTTTCGTTGCCGAGCTGGAATGGTGCTTTAGCCGAATTTCGGTGAGGTTGATAATTGTTAGTGCTCTTTCAATAAATGCTGTATTAATGGTGCCATTACCCTATACCAGTGCAAAACAGTTTTGTACAGCCATTTTCTTTCTTTACTCTTCCAGCTTTAATATGGTTGACTGCTGCTTTTTTACTGATTGCATGTACATTATGTGAAGCTCAGTATGTGGCTGCAGTGATGTCACGCAGGGAGCAGCAGCCTCAGACAATACCACCTGGAAAACGTGGAGTGCTTAATCATTTCCTTTCCATTCACAATATTTGTGTCTTTCCAAGATGGCCGTTGTTCGGTTCTGGGACTAACATCATGTGTCAATTGAGCATGCCAATGACTCAGTGACGAGGCATTGGTCTACCCACTGAGGCACTGTCACGAACCAAGGATGTGCAACTGAGACATTTTGTTTTTTTAGGGTCTGTTGCTTACCTTACTGTAGCAGTGTGCTATGCATGACAGAGGAGCCCTGCACAAGGTTGTCCGGTGATGTGGTGGTTGCCCATTGCCGAGGTCTGCATGTGCCCAGAGCGGCAATTGGCAGAGGTGTCAACACTGTGCTGCCGTGCTTCAGTGTTGCTTGCCAGTGTTGCTAGCAGCAAGAGCCCGTCACGACAAGCCTTCACGTAGCAGCCCTAGCTACCCAGACATGCTCCTTGTCCCTTCTCCCTGCCCCTCTTCTTGGAAGTCGTAACATGGATGGGTGACACTTTGGACACCACAAATCTGTTTCTTGCGAGGTGTCGCGCTGCACTATAGCTAGGGTGTGTACTTTCCGGTGTTTATTTGTGAGAAAAATCGGCGGATGTTTTTCGGTGTTTATTTATTCTCAAAGCACCGGTGTATTTCGGTGGAACGTCTCACGACTAGGCTAAAATCGGTGACTATCGGTGGAAAAAAATGCGATGGATCACAGACAGAGAGTTCCAATTTTATTCACATATTTCATACACTTCTTCTCTAGGAAGAATCTATTTTCACACATGGTTATTATAGTAGATGCAAGCATACTTCGAGAGGCTTGCATCCGTCATGGCAGCACGTTCTTTGCGGTTCAGAACCCGCAATTATGAAAACGCACGCTCCTGTACGACACGGACGTTGGCAGTGTCTTCCAGGAACCACGGCAGCCTCTGAATACATGGCTTGCACCGACATCACTTGACCAGACACAATGGGGAAAGGGTACGTGAAAGCCTACCCTCCACTGCGTTAACTCTTCCACAAAAGGGGGCCATGGTAGACACAATAGGGGAAAGGCGTGTGAGAGCTTAGCTTCCAATGTGTTCACTAGACGCTTTTTACCGCCAGAAAGGAGGGCGGACTGACGCCACGTGCAAGGCTTGTGTAAACGCTGGAAGAATGCAGGATCCACGAGATAACACGTTTGACGAACCTCTACGGGGAAAGGGTTTTGCTAGGTCGGAAACATGCAACAACCGGTGTTTTTGGGTTTTAACCAGGGCGAAAATATCCAACCACCGGTGTTTTTCGGTTTTAACCGATTTTATATTTTTGTCACCGACGGATGTTTATCGGTCTTTTTCGGTTAAAACCGGAAAATACACACCCTAACTATAGCTCATTGGTGCAAGTAGATGGCCAGACTGTTGAGCCCAGCTTTCCCGTGTGAGGTCTTAAACGAGAAACTTGCATATTTTAAACCATCGCTGTCCATTTTGTGGCAGTGTGGCTACAACAGACAAGATTGGGTACTAGGTTTTTGCAGGGCCTTGTTCATGATTGACCAATGGTGGCTTCAATGACCAATTACCTCTTCCCATCTGGCACCATATTTAATTCTGAATTGAATAAGTAGCTCAAAGAGTGCGGAAGAATAGAGGGAAATCGCAAGAACAAGTGGGCCAGTCCAAAAATTAGCTGTACGTCACTTATCGAGCGCCAGTTAAGCTCATTGTACCCCGAAGTTCACCTTCCAATCAGTAGTGTAACCAGGAAGCAGTGGCGCAGCCCCCCTAGTTACGACAACTTCTAATGGTTCATTTTGATTGCGCACCATTTTGCGCGACGTTCTTGCTGAAGTGCAGCATACCTCCAAGAAAGAAATTTGTGCAGTCCGGCCAAAGCCCATTTATGCCTTTACAATGCACAACATCGCATTCACTTGCATACACGTCGACCCCTCTTGGAAAAGATTTGCGCCCTTGCTTTCTCACTTCGTGTACTTAGCCAATCGTTGCAATCTGCACGAGGTGCCTTGCAATTGGCGAGACAAAATAATTAATTCCAAAGTATGACATGTACCAGGATGCTAGGCGTAATGTCGCACGGCCATTGCATATTTCGGTGCAAACTTTTCTCGGTTCTCATCATATGCCCCACTGCCTTTAAAAATCTCGACAATCGGCACTCTGCATGTAAGTAAATGCACCAACTTTTTTCGGAGCATAATTTATTTCTTGAATACATTACGAGGCCGCAAAAGATGGCCGGCGCGCGCGCCCGGTTTCGACTAGCACTCGATTTACACCAGAGCCTGTGGAAACCAGTCAAATCCACACTGTTGTGCCAGCGCCTTTCGCAGTATCGCACCACGGGTTCTCAAACCGTGTTCTTGGAAAGCCAGTTCTCCCAAGTAGCATCAACTGTTCTCCCAAACTCCCGCATCTTCTCGGTGTTCCTGCCTCCGAGGAAAGTGTGCTTCCAGTCTGAGCATCATTTTAGAAGGTCCGTGCCACCCATGGAGGCATAGCTCTGTATCAGGCACTCCTTAATACTATCTGCGTCGCTGTTTACAAGCTCCGTAGGCGTCTGCACCACTTTACCATGTCAGTGCCGAGGTTGGTAGCGGCTCTCTGGCAGTCGATTGATAGACTGGCATCCCTCAAGATTGACAAGTTTGAGAACCTCTGTCCTATACCCTACCTAAAATAGACAGTTTGTCGACCAGTATGCAAATGAATCCAATGCTTGACCCCAACCCCCCACCCACCCGCCCCTCTTCCTCACTGTCTTATGCGAGAGTCACTGTTGCCTGTTCTGTCTAGGTCTATCCGGTGCGGGTAGTGTGTTGTGCGTCTGTTGCATCCGGACCCTTTCCCTCATACCCTCCTTCCCTCCCTCTCTCTGGTGTCCCCCCCCTTGCACGCAGCATGTGTTCTTTTCGTTTGCGTTGAGTTTGTTCCTTGACTCTGGGTCAGTCGTGGACGTCGATCTCAAAGACGGCCCCACGGAGACGCCTCGACCAGAGGGCGGATGCGCCTGCTAAGGGGGAGGGGCCACGCTTCCCCTGCCCCCTTTCCCTCCCCTCTTGCCAAACGGTCCCCCCGCCTCCGTCCACGACACAGAGTTGTCCGACTGCAGCTACGCTCGGTGGGGTAGATTCGGGGGACGCGACCGGTCCTGCCATTGCCACAAAGTGCCCTGGAAAAGACGCCGTCGCCACACCCGCTTCCGTCGGACCGTCTTTTGTTGACCTGGCTACGAGCGTCTTTTTTTTGTTGGCTTGGCCACGACCGTCTTCTGTTCTTCCGGCAAATGAAGGACAGCTGTGCTGCTCGCTGCCGTCCTTTCTAACAGACTGACGTTTCTTTTTGTGCGAGCCCCTCATCCCTCTCCTCACTGACTGTTGTTTTCTCTTTGCCTGTCTTGTGTCCAATTTTTGTGCGCTTTCTTGTAAAAAAAAAAAAATTCAAATTCTTTTGTTTTTGAGTTTGCTGTTGATTCGGGGGCGCAACGTGGTGGGAAACTTGGTTTTGCCCGTTGCTTGGGTGGTGGGCGTGTTTCTACCAGACTGCGATAGGTGCTTAGTTTGCTATTTGTGGCCGAACGGTTATAGTTTTAGGGGTGGAAAGGTGGTTTAACTCCGTCTTCGAATAGCAGTTAAACTTACATGCGCAGTGGCTAGGCACGTAGGAGGACAGCATGCCTCCACGAATTGCGAGAATTTTACCTCTTTGCATCTCATAAGTTGCGAGAGTGCGACGTGTAAATATAACTGGTGTGTAATCGAGGTGTGGTTGCTTTCTTTTTGTTTTATCCAGCAAGAATAAAAAGGTCACACCTTTTTTTTCTTTTTATTTTTTCGTTCTTTTTCTTGATTTGCTACTCCGGCCTCGGGCCGTAACGAAATGACAGCCTCTTGTAGAAGCGTGCATCGAGCATTTTCGGCGTTGGAACGGCGTTTGCTTCGACCAATTGTTGCATTTGAACCGTCCTTTTTTTAATAGGTTTGTAATCTTGCGCTAGTGTTGTTTTTAATGGGTGAATGGTGAACTGTACAGCCGAAGATTGTGCAGAATGTAACAAATGTTTATAGAGGTACCTGTGTGAGCGTCTTGATTTCCTACCATTGTTTCACTAATGTTGAGCTCATGGAAGTGAAGGTGTTTGGCTACTAGAATGTTTTCCCAACAATAAAAAAATGAGGACTTGCCCGTGCACATTCTACATTCTTGCGTTCATTACTCGTTCTTTGCAAACGAAACAGGGTTCCTGTCGCAAAGCTCGGAAGTTAGCTGCCGCGCGTCGATTTGAATCTCAATGTAACTTTTCTAAAGCCCTCGGGGAACTTAAAGCATTCAAACTTTTCGGCAATGGGCCAACTGGTTCGAGCGTCTGGTTGGTGCCAGCTTGCATGGCCTCATTAGAGTCGCTAAATGAGCTACGCTAGAAGTATCGACACCCCATTCCCCAATTTCCTCGTGGGCACCGCAGTCTTGGTTGACAGTCACAATTTGAAAGTGCCACTCATAAGCTTTAGAACCTCCGTAGCATTTATAGAAGACTGAAAAGCATTTCCTCCCACTTCGCCAAACCAGCCGACGTGTCGTTAACCCGAAGCGTAGCTTATATATCGGCTCTAGCCCTCGTTTCGAAGTGTGCGGTCGCTCGACACCGATGTTGAGCGGACGACACCGCTTGCGGAGCACTCGTCGTTACACCCCCGCCCGCAAGCGGGGCGGGCGCCAGACAAGCGGTGACGTGTGTGTCCTTGACGAAGTGCCTTCCAGCCGTGCCCCTGAAGCCGCAGGAGCCGCCGAGGGCGATGAAGGACGAAGAAGGCAGCTGCATCTGCTAGGAACGGGACAGCCTTTCGCCACCACCGCCCACCCCTTCGGAGGTCAAAAGGGGAAGGCAGCGAACGCAGCGCAGCCGAGAGGGACTCTTTGGGTTTTGTGCTTACATTCCCTGCAATAACTTGCTTGTTTCCAACCCTATCTCTCCCCCCTTATTTTTTTCTTTTCTCTTTTTTTGGATTTGCAGTAGAGGATGGGGGAGGGGAGGGGCGGCAAATCTGCTTTCGCTTGGAGACATAACGCAACCGCAAAGTCGCAAGCGATTGCAACGTAGCCGAGGCAGCCGCGCGGCGCCGCTACGAGCTTCGGGGCAGAGTCTTTCCACGGGTAAAAAAGGTAGCGCGAGTCGTCTTCTTTCGAGTTGCGCTCGAGACAGGACGACGCACTTCCCTGCCAGCAACGCACAATCGTTGGCTGTGGTGCGCGTTCGACGTTCTGCGACGCGCCCGCGCGAACTGTCGGGTTTGGCGCGGAGCGGCGAAATTCCCAGGAGCTGAAGCCAAAGAGATTCTTGCTGTTGCAAGCAAAGTTGTCCTGAGCTCACTTTTTCAAAGTCTTGCAGTTTGTAGACAGAAAGGAATCAAGGGTGCTGTTTGGGAGCGCGTGTCTCGGATGTTCTGGAGCCGCGGGTATCGGCTCCACCACAAAGTGTACGTGTTTCTTCTGTTTCATAATACGTTTTGTATGATTTCCACGTATTTACTATTTATTTCGTTTTTTTTTTACACTACTTAATTGAAGGGGTCCCCAAAAGTGATTGAGACTTTGTAGCAGCACCGAAGCTTTCTGCAGAGAGAAGATTTTCCTACGAAGTTTCGCAGAGTTTTGTTACAGATCCGGTTGAGACGGTCCGCAGTTTCGAGAATAAAGTTGGTCGATAATGCTTTGCAAGGAAAAAAATGCTGTGGTCTTGACTTTGGAGGTTGGCAAAGCTGCCATGTGTTTGGATGTTTCCGCAACTCTTGTGGAAGAAACGCGTCCAAACAAAACGTTTCAGAACTCTGTTTGTATGACAAGTCATATTTATTTCGAAACAACCTGCAATAAGTTTTTCAAAAGATCAGTGTTATCCTGTACTGTTTGAACGTTGCTTACAGGTAAGTACTGTGTGGTGAGGCAACTAGTTTGGGGCACGCTATCAGCCTCCAAACATTTCAAAGCTCCTACGAACCAGGCTTTGCTGGGACACATTGACTGCTTCAAATCTGGTGCAAGTCTTCCGCCCTCTAGCACGTAAACTACACGACGCTTAGAATTGATTTCCATCGCCCATCTTTTATTAGCTTTCACTGTAGTGTGCATTCTATAATGTGCACCCCAAGTGATTAGTGACTTCGTACAGATTTTACTGCAGAGGCTATTTACAAATGCAGTTCATAGACGAGGCATGTGAAGTTCATAAGACTCAAGGCATAGGAAGTACTTAAGCTAGTTTCCTTGCTGCTTGGCAAAAAGCTTAGATTGGCACGCATCATTCGCAATAAACTTGCTAATTTCAAAGAAAATGAGTTTGTGCGATGTATACACTGCATTAACAATGGTACTAAGGGTAGAGTTGTATGCAAATAAAAGAAAATACCTTTATTGCTTTTAAATTAAGAGCACTTATCACTACACTGCAATTTCCACAAATCCACTCTGAAAAAATGGCTAGTGATAAAAGTTAATAAATCATACTCAAGTGATGGTGAACGAAGTTTGGTTGGCGTTCGTCGCCCATACCTGTTTGTATTAGTGGTTTGCTGATTTGTACTATGCATTAACACAACCTATTATAAGTTTTTCTTTTTTTAATATCTTCCAAGCACACAAAACAGACGAGCTGTAGAGGTCTTTGGCTTGAATAAAAAGTGTGATGACTTGCATAAGTTTTGGAGAGACCTGTTGAGGGGTGCACATGGTTGCAGTCAAGTGTTCCCAACTACATTTTTGCACAAAAGACAATTATTCTAAACATAAACAGGGATATATGTTTATATATTAAATATGCAATTTCATATTTTCACTATCCCAACACCTCCTACTGGCAGACTTTTCATCAAAGCTCGACGAAAAGCAAGTTTGAATACGGGCCATACGCTTATTGATAAATAGGTTTCTATGAGGAGCACAATATTAAATATGTCGCAAGTACTAGCACCAGATATGGAGATGCCAAGTGGGCACAAATCTCTTTGGGCTTTGTAGTATTTGTAGTTGGAGAGGCAGCCTTGGGGCACCTCAGACTGGACTGAACGCCTGGTAGATCTGCATCGCTTGGCTGGCGGAAATGGTCACTGCCTTGCCCGCGACCAGAAACAGGATGGATCCTCGCTTGGCCGTCTTGGTGCCCACTTTTCCCTCGCCCTCTATCACCAGGAGGATGCTCGCTGAAGGAACACTCTTCGGAGTGTAGGTTCCTCCAGCTGGAACCTGCAGAATGAGGTTGGTTGCCCTTTATCATTTGCAACCAAATTCGATGCCACCTATACTCCCCATTTCAAGATAACTTGGCAAACTGTGGAGGCTGCAGCCCCCATGACCTAATAAGGGTGCCGGAGCAAGGCACGTGATAACACTCCATGGTGAAGGCCACCAGGGCCTCGTTACTGCAACAAAAAGTCCTAGGCTTCCTTTTCTTTTAATGGCAATTGAACTCGCACGATTCCACCCATAACGAGAAGATACAAAGAATATTTAATCATAAATATGAGTTTCAATTATATTGAAAGCAAAAAAGCAATGCCACATTCATATCTGCTTGATTTTTTTCACCTTGTAGCGTCGTGTTGACGATCGCAGTCATAATCGGCAGTTTCAGCTGAAAATGCCACACTGCTCTGTGATTGGCACCCGTCACAGATTCGTGGCTAAAGTGAGCGTATGGTTGTCTCATGAACTGTTCTCACAGTGCTTGCTATTCTAGCAGACGGATATGTTGCTGCGGTGGTTCATCCGAAGTTGGGTAGTATCCGAGCTGACAACTCTTGGCTAGCAGAAGACAGCTGGTTCCTCCGGGCCTCACATTTGGCGTAGTGATACAAATGCTCCCGTGACGTAGGGCTGAGGGGCCCTAACCTCCCGTAGTTCACCAAGTTATCGTGAAATTGAATATAATATCGCTCGCTGCAAACACGGCAGGTGCCGTGTTTGCAAAACAATTGGAGTGTGTGTGCGTTTATCGCAGGTGCCTTTAGAGCCAGGGGAGGGCGAGTACAACAGCGATAACATTTCGCTGATAATAGTCGCAATTGCGCTGGGGGACATTCGGCCGCCCTCCTCGCCACCTGCTCTTTCTTGCCTTCGGTCGCCCATTCCCTCGACGCTCTAAGCCTTTGTGCGCAAGAATGGAGCGGCCGAAGCATACGCTGGAGCAAGCAGCGGCTGCTCAACAGCGTAACCGCACCCGCGAGAAAGAATGTTGTCTATGTGTAGGCGCCGACGGTGTCAATCTGGGTGTTAGGATGGAACATACTTGACGTCAAGATTGCACTGTGCGTGACATGAAGCAGCATGTAGAAGAGAATGTTACAGACTGAAGAATGGACTCGCTGGTGCGACTGAGCGAACTGTGCAGTGTTGTGCGAGAGTGTGTTTGGTGCTAGATGTTCTGCCTGCAATCGGTTGTGGATTATGCAAAACCTGCTGTCATTGCCGGTAGCTTACGAAGCGGTTTTTCAGTCGTCATCCCTGGACGGTAACCTGACTGCCTCCGAGGTGTGTGTGCTACGTGCTTATGCACAAACACTGCTCAACACACAGCATACACATAGCAATCACTGAGCAATGAAAATAAAAATAAAATGTCACATTATTGTGCAATGCAACGTCACCGAAATTTCCACTCAATCACGATGATATCATTGAAATGTTGTACGAGCTGATGCTATCCATTCACATCATGTCTCTTCATTGAATGCGCAATTTTTTTCCCCCCTCTACTCGTAACATTATTTGATGTTTGCTAAACAAATGGAAAAATCATTAAATCTAATAAAACTTCTTTTGCCAGAAAACAGAAAAATAAGTCGGAAATCCTGGTGCTCTACGCTATCCGTACTCAATGTCTATATTTTCGTGCTACCCGTCAGGGCTAGCTCAGTTCCCCCAGTGCTGCACAAGTATGTGGCTTTGTCGTGGATCTCATTCGTGTGCGCTTGTGCAAACTGCCTTGACAGCACTGCGAAAACTATGCTGGCCTTGACAATGTGGCACAAGAAAGCTGAGATCGGATATAGGGCTGGGTATATTGCATAAGTAGGCTCGCGACAATTCAAACTAGGATATTTCGTGCTTCTGGTTAATTAAACAAATTTCAGAATTTTCGTTGTCCCGCTATGTTTTTAAGCCGCTTAATTCGAACGGCGTTTTCGTGTGCTTCATACTTTTTTTTTGTTCTCGCGGCCCCGTTGAGTGCGCTTCTTTCCGAGCACCGTTGCACTGCGGAGAAGCAATACTCGCGGAGCTTGCTTTCGCGAGTGTTGCTTCTCCGCAGTGCACCGGTGCTCGGTGAGAAGCGCACTCAACGGGACTCGAGAGGGCACACATGAGCAATGAAAGCGGGCACCACGCGAAAATTTCCATAGGAACTTGCACGGACGCTGTGACGTGGCGACATGACATAGGTCCACATCACAGCGTCGCGCGCAAGTTGGTATGAAAACTGCCGAGCGATGCGCATTTCCATCGCTCATGTGTACATTAGACAAATTCTTGGCCCAATGAACAAAATTTTCTTTTGAGTTGTCATATGCTGTCTAAACAGCCCATGATAAACAACATTTTTGAGGGATAAATAAACTTGTGCGATACATTTCACAAATATTTCATGAGTGGCATACCTGCTCATGATAAGTAGACCTACCGTAAGATGCCGACGGAGTGCCCACCCCGCTTTTACTGAAAACTGTGTTATTAACGCATAATTTGCAGAATTCCCAAGTTTGAGCAGTGTTAATATAGTGGGCGCTTGAACAAAGTGGGCACTTCCGCGGTATTTTACGGAATGTAGAGGAAACCATCAAATATCTGCTTTGTATGTGTAGCCATTCATATGACAAATCCTATTTTTATTGTGCATCATATTGCCGCGTGCATGACTGAAACGATACGCTTCTCCGTTCATCTAGAAGATTCCTGTACACACTTAACCCGAGCGTAAAAGATAAGGAGGTCAGAATGACCTCTACTAGTCAGTCTCGCCCCAGCGCACGATCCTGCTGTTACATTGCCATCGACTCCTGTGAAACTAGCCTTCTATTTTGTTTTGAGCACAAGTTCGCCCCATTAAAAGTTTAGTTTCCTTCAGTTATTCGTTGCTTGATCAATTGCCATTCGTGACAATATTTAGATGAATTTCTGCTCACTCAAACTTCTGATAATTCAAACGAAATTCGTGGCTTCTGGGAGTTTGAAATAATGAGAGTCCTATCTACATGTGAGCCATGTGCACATTTTATTTTTCTTACTTCCCCTCTTCTTATATTTGTGAGGACAGCAGATGGTACTTTATGATAAATTAAGCCCTTATACTTTGGTCTGTAAGACATTTTCAATATCTGAAAGAAACCTAACAATTGTTATCTTGCATCGAGTGCATATATTTTATATCCCAAGATGTGTACAGCATTATCAAAGGTGCAAGATCTGCTTTGCCATAACGAACACTCAAATGTGCCAGTGCTTTTCAATGCCACGACATCACTGGCAGCCAGGCTTGCAAGTCGGACAGTCCAAACAAACGGAGCTACCGAGCATTCGTTTTGTGCTGAAGCGAGCTTTCAATACATACATAATTGACACCATAAAACTGCTTGTTATCAGTTGGCAACAAATTCTATTGTCCAAAGAGTGAACCCTTGCCTGTTGCTGACATCACTTTTTTATTGTTGCCATAGAGACTTAGTTTGAAAAAAAAAAATGGCAAGGACCAAAATTTTAAGTTCAATAACTTCACAAAAATAATTATTTTGGCATAATATTTGGGTTACTGACTAATTCAGCGATGTATGTTGGTGCATTTGGATAATTTTGAGGCAAATCAGGGAGCATAAAAGAAATGCCGGATTTGATGCCCAGCGTTGCCCGGAAGCAACACATGATTCATTTATTTTCTTCCGCGCCAGGTTTGCCACAATTTGGCGCCCTCCGTCGCAAGGGGTAGGCAACCAGTGCCTAACAGTGGAAGATCCAAATGGATCTTCGAAACATCTCACTCGTCCTTTAAAACCAAAGCTAACAGTGGGTGTGATGATGACGGTGCGAACCAGAGGCCTCAAAACTGCGAAAAGAAAAGCAGGCACAAATATTGCAAATCCGGCTATACTTTTCTCTGCTGCACGAGATTAAAAATACACCCACACCTTCTTCCAGGTCTTAACCGCCTTATAGTTCGACGTGAAGTAGAGTACTGCAAATGCTCAATATTGCTCACGAACAAAATATCAAAAACATGCTTACTACGAAAAAAATTAAACTTTTTTTTCTGAGACCAGATTTCCGTTATTTTGTGTGTTCTAAAACCAACGTCAGGGTTTGTAGGTATCCAGCATTTCGAGTAAAGTTCTGGGCATCAATGGGTTAAGAGTCGAGCCGCCGTCAGAATACCAAAACGGTCACCTGTATCTTGTTGACGGCAAAGTCCGGGATGGGGGGCCGGAAGGAGCAGCACCGGACGTCCGTGGGCGTGGCGGGGAAGCGCACGTCCGGCGCCGGGACGGAGTCATAGCTCAGCATGGAGCACAGCGTGTCCACATCCTTGAACTTGGGCGTCAGCCCCGCCCGCACCACATTGTCCGAGCACGCCATGCACTCGACGCAGTCTGCAACCGTGCCGAAACAAAGAGAACTGAGTCGAGAGTTTTGACGCGATGCCTGGAACGCATCCCCGACTGGCGCGTCTGCCGCATCCCAAAAAGCCGTCCCTCGATTTCCGCCCAGTGACGTCATAAATGTGTCACGCTGTCGATGGTGGTGCCGCAGCGGCAGCGCAGTAATGGATCTGGAAAATGCCTGTCCCACTACAGGTCCCTCTCCAGCTTGACAATCCGCGGAAGCCCCGGCAGACAGGAGTTGGGAACCATTTTGCTGGAACTTCTAGTACCAACCGCCAGAATTGGAACATTCGGCAGCGTGACACTCCGGCTTTCGTGATGTTGCGTGTTGCCCTTTAGGGACCACTTTCGACGCACAGGCATTGTGGGACGTTAAACGCACCAGTCGAAGATGTGTTGCGGGCAACGTAACGTGCGAGTCGAAGCTCGAAACAGCTGCCTAACGTTGGAATGTTGCGGGCTTAGTCACACTCACTTCCGGACACGTAGGCGTGGGGCTCGTTGGCCGCCAGGAACAGTGCTTCCCCAGGCCTCAGCCGGATGAAGTTGAGGAAGAAGACAACGAAGCAACCTATGTCTTCGGGGTACGTTGCATAGATCTTGAGGAACACGTTCGCCAAGTCTTTCGACACCACGCTTGTATTGGCTAGAAAGAGAAATTAACACCAACTAGAAATTATGGTCATCTGGCAACGTCACCTCTACCTCTTAAAAGGTAAACACCTGAGTAGTCCCACATAATACTTAGGTCTGTACCAGAAATGCCTCTATAAGTCTCGTCTGTCTCAGGAGAATTACGTTCAGCATTAGCAGAAGGCCGGCACGGTCTAAGAGATCTGAATATGTCCACCGCTTGCACTTGTCGACTTTCCTGCATGGCAACAATGCACAGGGCAAAGCAGACCCTCCAAATGGAAGGAAAAAATGTAAAGCGGGGATATATTTCTGAGCTGCAGCCCGCATGTTACTATATGCGTATAAAAGGGTGAGTTTTATGTGGTGCAGATTGTCTATTAATACAGACTAGGTAATACTGTAAAATACCAAGCATGCATCCATCTCACAATAGGTGCCTGTCCGCTAGGCAAAGGACGTACAGTCTAAGCTCGTTATAACAGACCTTGATTTTGACCAAGATTTCGGTCTGTTCTAAAAGGAGCATGTTGTATGCAGATATGAAGTTGAGTCAATGGTGCATAGAGGAAAACCAACCGAACTTCACAAATCGGTATGTTATATCCAAACGTCTGTTGTAACCAGGTCTGTTATAATGAGCTTAGACAGTAACGGGCGCCCACCCGAGATTTCAATGCCCGCCTAGCTAACCGAGATGCTCGTCCTTGACGGTTCTCTAAGAATCCCGGTGCAAAGCAGAGAAGCCCAACCTATTGTGTGCCCTTTCTGTCTTTTTACTTATAAAATGTATGTCTCTAACAAGTGCCCTATCACTCAGTTTTCTAAGATAATCTTCAAATTTTGGGTAGTCACTCACCCAGCACTATTTTACGGTCCCTTTTTCTTCTTCTCATAATTGTGGAGACTATTGTGCTGGTAAGCAAATAACTGTTTTTCTAGCTGTCTGGAACCTGAACAAGCTGCCAACGTCATTTGACGATGTGGAAGCCAAAATCTCACCAGGATCTTGGCAATGAGTGCATCTCAAATTATACAGGCGTGATGGCTTTGCAAACAATAAATCATGACCTCTGTACCATAGTGTGCTTCCATTCTCCCATAACATTTGCTCTTTCAAGACATCATTCTTCCTAGGACTTTCGAAGTGCAGACAGTGGAGAATTTGTGGATTGGGCTCCATGTTGCCCATGCCGAAGCCCTCATTCCCTGCCGGTGTGAACAGTTATTGACTCCAACATCTCCAGTGCCAAAGCAGACATTCCCCACCAGTCTTATACCCTTTGGGGGTGTTGTAAACAGCACCGAGGATGGCATACCCAGCTCGCCTACAGGCAAACATCCGTTGAGGTTGGCGTTACAGTACCGAGCTGACATTTCTCACCAAAGAGGCGCCATGGCGCTTGCCCGTGGCCTTATATGGGCACAATATTCTTGGTGGGAGCGAGGGGGGTCGGGAAACAAAGGGGTACGGCTGGCTAAACAAGGAAGCATTAGGCGGGGACCTAGACAATCTTGATTTGACAGTCTTCAGTTAGGGGCTGGAGTTACAAGTCTTTGAAAGACACTCTCCATGGGGTCTCTATCAGGAGGCTTCATTGACTCATAAATAGTCTTTAATAAGGGGTCTCGATTGAAGTCTTTATGGAGAGAGTCATTCAGCTGCAGCCGCCACTGGAGGAGAATGTGACTTAGGGCAAAGGGATGCGAGTTATTAAAACTGTTTGATTGCATCTGCTGTGTTGTGCGACTTCCTTGGGAATGACTGGATTGTGGCCTGAAAGAATTGGGTGTAGTATAAGCTCTAATGATCCCACGAGACTACCCAACAAAAACAAGTCTTTTTCTGCCTAAGCTAGCCCTCACAGACTATACTCTAATGCGGGCAATATACTCCCGAAAATAAGGAAGTATATGCAGAAATATCCGGGCGAGTGGTGTCTCACCGCTATTTCGAAGCCTGTCGGCCATCTTCTTAAGCATCGGAATGAAGACATCCGGAGAAGTGGTCATCAGCTTGCGGAAGCACCTCTGGAGGGCCTCCTTGTCCGCCAGCGGCCGCTCCGCCTCTGCTCCAAGGATGGCCTTCAGCTCCGGCAGGCCTGGACTTTTCATGGTTGGGGGCCAGGGGTTACATAGACGACAAGTCCCCCAAAACTATAAATCAGCAGGAGTAAGAAAGGATACGCATCTTTGCAGAAGACGTTCACTGGAACAGGGATGAGCGAACTTTGTGATATCAAAACGTCCAAAGTTCTGGTACCGGAGGGTTTGTTAGCACCACCCTTCATCAACCAGCGACTTGCCACTATTCATTTTATTTTTTCCCCCAACGTGGAAATAGAATCCACACCACGGCCTAGAGCAGGGGTTGTCAACCACTGATGCTTCAGGCTCTTTCTGGATCAGCAGAATTGATAGGGGACCCCATCCACTAGGAGGGAGTGGGGGTGGTATTAGATGACTACAATGACAAAAGAGTAAATAAAAGAAACTAAATGCGTGCAAACCAAATTTGAAGTTTAGAAATGGAGGATAACCAACCCCATTCCCTTGATGTACATGGTTTGGTCTATTTAGCTATGTGGGACAGTCAGTATCAATACAACAGAAATGTATCGCTATGTTGGACTGATGAGCAAGGGCTTTGGGGGGGGAACCCAAGAAGGCCTCCAGAGACCAGCATTCGAGAACAACTCTTCTAGAAGATTACATTCTGTTGCAAACTTTTGATTCTTCCCACAATGGCTTCTGGAAATTCTAACATATCAAATTCATCCCTGCAAGCTACGCCTGCCTCTGTCCAAGAATTGATCCGTGCGATTTATGCCGTGGTTCTGTCGCTTCTGTGAGCCATAAACCTTTGCCACCCCAATTACCTTTGATGAGTTCAGTGATCTCCTGTAGGGGTCTGAAGTTGCAGAATGCGTCAAACTCGGTGAGAGCAATTGCAATCTCGGGCTTGTGGTTTGGGTCAGGGTACTTGTCCGGCCGAGTGCTGTGAAGGAGTTCAGCTAGACCCTGCAAACATGGGCAGAAACACTACTCAGCTGCATAGCACTGGCACAGGAAATCACACTTTGAAAACCCTTGCCATATGTAAAATCAACAATCATTGCACTGACTCTCGCGTGTGAGCCGGGTACTCGGACATTCTCAAGAAATTCTCGAAGTATCCTAGTTGGAAGAAAAAGCTGTTTACCCAATTGTTAAGTGCTAATCGGCCACGTTTAACACAGATATTCTGGGTGACAGAAAGCAGAGACTGTATACCATGCTGCATCTTCCTGTCGAACAACTCGCATTGCCAGAACGTGTCGGTGGGAGAGCAGCCCATTAAGCCTGACCCCCACATTGGCACTTGAGTGACTCTGTTGCATGTGCTTATGAGGAGAACACAAACTGGCTCCACTTACCGGGTATTTCTGGAACTCTTCCGATCCCCGTATAAATTTCACGCATCATCCTTCCCCCAATCATGTTTTGGAATTGTTTGGACAATGTTATCAGCGACAATATCTCACGGACAGTGCAAATATTGCAAAACCTTCCGTCTAGTTATAGGCTGACCGGAAGTGTTCCAGGGTCACCTCATAGAAGGTGCCAGTGTGCGAGTGTGTTCCCTAGTATGCCTAGACCGGAATGTTTCCAACTGCTCCATCGGGGTCATGTGATTTACGGGACACATTCACAATACAAACTAAAAGAATAAGAAACAAATTCTTGAAAAAAAGTTTAATATGAAAAATGCTATATTTACATCCACCAATATCTAGAAAGTATTCCCAGAAGGTTGCATTACTTTATTCTGAATATAGTTATTTTTATATTAACTATTTTCGGTACAGCAATGCTAAAGAAAAGGTAGAGGTTGGAGCACTTTTGAACGCGTTTTTCTCCGTTCCACTTTTTGGCATAAATTTCACTCTAGGAAAACTATCATTTGGTAATGGGACAAAAGGAATGACTCACTCATGGTTTTCCCTTTTGGAATATAATGGGCGATGCAACTGTGGTATTGTTTTATTTACTTTGTGGATGTCTTTTATAAAAGATGTTAGTATTTTGTCAGCACAGAGAAGGCAAAAAATTAATTTGGACTTTTCAAGGCAATGTTAGCGGAAAATAAATTACTTTTTGGAAATTTTGCTTTCATAGCTGCACTCTCCAGGCATTCTTCTGCTTATTTAGGGAAGAAAAATGTTAGGTAATACATGTTTCGTAACGACAATTTTCCTAAACAATGTCAGTGTGTTCCTGATAAAAACGACTATAATTTCTTTTACAACTCACACACATTGCATTTTGCCTCGCAACTGCCAGTATATGCTGTAAATTTCATTCGTAGTAAGGCAAAGGTTAAAAAATTTATTGTTTTGTGTAGTGTTCCCGTGAAATAATTTCGAGCTGCGATAAATGATCTTAGATTGGGATTTTATTAATTGCACATAGTTTAGTGGGTCAAAAGAAGGTGGGGCTAAATCATTTCATTATCCCTTTAATTATTTGCAAGCAACTCTAAGCTTTGCTCCGCATCTCCGCCTGCTATCCCTCTTGCCACAAGGCGACGCACGCAAGCTCACGAGCAACCAATCTGTGCAGGAGGCGTCTGCCATTAAACTGCAAACACTCTCCACGGTTTTAGTCGCTCCCTCTCTTAAGTCTCTACTCTCTACTGTTCCCTCATCACAAGTGGCTGTAATGCAGTCGATCACACCCAAGTGCAAATGTGCGAGCCAGCCTTCAGACGGTATATACCTTTGTGGGGTGTGCCTGTATCGACAGTGCTGTGTCTACGGAGAGCACCTTGAAGAGGAAAGGGAGCTGGCCCCCGAAGGCCCCCCGAACGCTCTCGCCCAGGCTCTCGGGGTGCTCGGAGATCCAGTCGGCCAGGGTCTGGTTCGTGCCTTTGACCTTGCTTGGACAGGTCGGGTGCGTGCCCATCCACAGCTGCGAGAGCGCTCTCTTGTTTGTCGTGAAAACACTACGCAGCGAAATCGTTGGAACTGTGGCAGAATAAACACCAAGCGTGTTTGTGCATTGAATAGATGCATACACATGGCTCGAACTGACATCACATCAGCTGTTACTGTGGTCCTCTTGCAGCTGAGCATGTTCGGCGTCCGCCTATATAAAAGGCGCGCTGGGAGCATGTGGCCAAGATGGCAGATGGTAGGGGCGCTGCTCGCGCTTTGGGCAATTCTATACGATGCTTCGAGGGAATGGGAAGGTGCTTCATCAGTGTGCACAAACTGAGACTTTTTTTAGATTCGTTCCTCCTGGAGTGATATATGGAACTATTCACAATGCAAGTAGGGTTTTGCCAGTCACTGTCTCAAACCGAGGGAGCCTTTCATGTTGGAGGAGACTGTGCCTGGTGCAGCATATGTCTTGCACCTCAGAATCCTAGGCAAGAAGACATAAAAATCATGACGACCACCAGCATATGGTGTGATGACATAATGCACAAGAGCTGACCCTCTAGAGTAGTGGTTCCCAACCACTAATGTTTCAAGGATTCCATCTAGAATGGCAAAAGTGATGAGGGTCCACAGTGGGGGGGAGAGGGGGTATTGGACGATTACAATGACAAAAGTCAACTTTTGAAGCGACTTTGAAGCCCTCAAATGGAGAATAATCAGCCCTAGTCACTCGGCACACACGATTTGGTCTTTTAGCTTTGTTAAATAGCCAAAATCAATAAAAATATTGGCTTCGGGGACTATAAGGAGACCTTCAAGAGCGCTATGCCACATGGCGGGACCAAGTGGAACCAAGGAACCGGGACAACGCCGCCTGCTGCGATTGGTTAGCGCCGCTGACCAACTGCAGCAGACGACTTTGTCCCAGTCCCTCAATCCCACCGTGTAGCATAAGGCCCCTGGTGCCCCAAAGGGTGGGTGGACCCCCATTTGACAACCTCTGCTCCAGAGAGTGAAGACAACACAGCACAACTTGAAACCCCAAGGGAAACAATCATCATGCAAAAAACTATATTTTTGAGTTTGTTTGATTTTTGTAATGAAACATATGCAACTGTACTATCACTTCAATTATAAAAAAATGAGCTATGTTCCTCACATCCACTGTAGGTATGTGCGAATACTCGAGTGCCCCGCCATGCATGTGTGCTTTCCTTTATTTATAGTTTTCCTTAAACATATGACCTTACAATATGGAACGCAGTGGAAGCTACGAGCCATCTCCCCAGCCAATCCGGTGCTGTGAGCATGCCACGTGACTAATCGCCCCCGTGAGTCACTGCCAGTCACTGCGCTCCTTCCGGAGGTCACATGACACTTACACTACGTTGGATTCGCTCCGATGACGCGTAGCGTCTTCTGCGCGGTTCATCCCATTATGAGCTTACTTTTTTTTTTTTTTTTGTCCAAGTTTTTAGGGGAAATTACGAGTGGTCAGAAGCCAACCTTCTCGAGTCCTTACCTCGGCATACGTGGTCCTTTCGTCGACATCGCTCAGGTGACCGCCTTGAGATGCAAGCTGCGCCACTAGGCTGGACTGGCCCTTCTTGCCCCAGTGATAAGTCTGCACGGGACAGCTCAGCTCTAGCACGATGACTGCGGGGGAAAAGGGGGACAAAGTATTACTTTTATGTCCAGCGTAGAGATTAGAGCGATAAGTACGAGCGGCCTTGCATGTAGCCCGCGTACAAGCTGTTGTAAAATTGTAGCCGTTCCAGCTGATTGCGCGGCTGCTTGGTGTTCCAGTCCGGGTACTATGTCTCACCTTCCGCCATAAGGTAGCTTTGTTTCGGTGTTTCTCTTTTCTTTTATCTGTACCTGGAACGATTTTCTCCGACAGTGTTCCCCAGCGCTGCAAGGTTGAGGCTGGAGCGCTTGAATCAACGCTTTCAAAATTAAATAGACAAAAAAAGAATAAAGGTCGGATGGATGGATGGATGAATACGGCTGAGCCCTTTGGATCGGGCGGTAGCTTACGCCACCTAGCCATTGTGTTTTACCATTTAAGCTTAGAATATTTAAATGTGAAATCTATATTCACTCCGCAGTGCAAAGAAAGTGAGGCTATGAAACCCCCTTGCCATCAGTGGATAAGAAAATACCTAGTTTTCTCTCGATTTCTGCCACCATTCACTTAATCTTTGCTTGGTAATCTCTACAGTCTTGAAATCCACTCTCCCTTCGCTGTCTCTAAAACCCAATGACTTTATTAAATCTATGTTGTCTTCGGTAGGCATAGGGTGAAGCCCTTTACAGTAGAGTATCAAGTGCTCAGCCGTCTCGTCCTCCTCTCCACAAGCAGTGCACACTGTATCAATTTCCTGGTACTTCACTCTGTATGTTCTGGTTCGCAGAACACCCGTTCTTGCCTCAAACAGCAATGAGCTTCCCCTAGAATTGTCATAAATGCTTTCTTTGGCAATAACTCTTTTGTTTAATCTATAGCTTTCCAGAGCCGTCTTTGTCTGCATTCCCTCTAGCCACCAATCTCTTTCTGTGGCCTTAACTTTCTTCTTAACTGAGACTTGCTCTTCCGTATCTTCGCTATAGCCCAAAAACTTTCCTCTTAATTTCCTAGTGCGCTGTCTCCACTTTGTGTCTACACTCCTCATGTATAAATAGCTGAAAACCTTTCGTGCCCATTGCTCCCCGTCCATTTGCCTCAACCTATCCTCAAATTCTACCTTGCTCACCGCTTCCCTGCTCTCAAATGATGCCCATCCCATGTCTCCTTGTACTCCCTGGTTTGGCGTTTTGCAATGTGCCCCCAAAGCCAGTCTACCTACTCCGCGCTGTTTTATTTCTAGTCTCGCATGCACTTCGGATTTCATGCATAGCACTGCGTTCCCAAAAGTCAAGCCAGGCACCATGACCCCTTTCCAAATCTCTCTCACCACCTCATACCTGTTGTAATTCCAAAGTGCTCTATTTTTCATTACAGCTGCATTTCTGTTGCCCTTACCTATTATATACTTTTCATGGTCTCTGAGATATTCTGCACCATCACATATCCATACTCCTAGATACTTGTATTTACTAGCTCTCTCAACTGTAATATTCTGTATCTTCAGCCTCTCAACTTCATCCTCGTTAAAAATCATGACTGCCGATTTTTCGCTACTGAATTCTAAACCTAATTCCTCTCCTTCCCTACCACAGATGCTCATTAATTCCTGCAACTCTGTCCTGTTGTTAGCCATTAGTACAATATCATCCGCATACATCAATCCCGGTAAGGATTGCTGAATTTTTTGGCCTAGCTTACTGTAAGAAAGGTTGAACCCAAGCCCACTTTTCTCTAGTCTATCCTCCAATCCTCTCAGATACAACATAAACAGCAAAGGCGATAACGGGCACCCCTGCCTAAGGCCTCGTCTTATCTCTATTTTCCCTGTCGCCTTTCCTTCCCATGTTATAATCACCTTGTTATCTTTGTAAATGTTCCTTAATATTGCTGTTAGTCCTTCATCTAGGTTTAAGTTCTCCATTATGTCCCACAGGTTTCTTTGGTTCACATTGTCATAGGCACCCTTGATATCCAGAAATGCCAGCCAGAGCTGTCTGTTTTCTTTTTGCGCTATTTCTATACACTGTGTTAGAGAAAATAAATTGTCCTCCAACCTTCTTTGTTTTCGAAACCCATTCTGTAATTCGCCCAGTATGCCCTCGCAATCTACCCATTCCTCCAGTCTGTTCTTTATAATCTGCATTACCAACCTGTAAATAACCGGTGTCACGGTTATAGGACGATAATTCCTAATATCAGACTTATCTCCCTTTCCCTTATATATCATACTCATCCTACTAAGCCTCCATTCATCTGGAATATTTCCTTTTGTTATGATGGTACTCACTACCTCCCTTAGTTTTGCCTTAGATTTAGGACCCAAATTCTTCACCAGCTTGATAGGGATACCATCTGTGCCTGTCGACGTGCCACTAGGGACTCTTCGTTCCGCCTTTTCCCATTCTCTTTGTCCAAAATCCGCGATGTCACAAACTGGACTGCTACTTCCTTCGGTTCTCCTATCTTCCACATGTAACCGTTCCCGAAATTTCTCCTCCATCACTGCTCCTATATATTGTATCGCATCATCTCCCTCTAATTGATCTCCCTGATGCGAGAGTATGAACCTCTGTCTAGCTTGCGTTGTTTCACCGAGTGAGTTCAAGTGCTCCCAAAACTTCTTGGCAGCGTTTCTATCTTTCTTACTTACATTACTCATCCATTCCTCACCCTTTCTCTGAATTTTCGCATTGATCAAACTGGATGCCTCTCGGCGACATGTTATAAAATTGTCCCATTTTCTTTTTACTTCCGTTTCGGACTCCCCACTACGCTTGGAATACCTGTGTTCTCTAGAGGCTTCCTGACGTTTTTGTATCGCTTGCTTCACTTCTTTGTCCCACCAGCTTTTTGGTCTATGTCCTTGCTTCCCCTTTCGTTTACTCTTAACTTTGTCTAGTTCTAGAGCAAAAAGCCTAGTTAGGCTCTCATAGGTCCAATCTGTATGCCGGTGCCCTGAAACTGCTGCCTCTATTCTTTCAACAACTATTTCCAACTCTTTGTCGCTGCAGAAAGTTTGCTTTGAATTATGTTGTCTAGTTTCAGGATTTACTTCTCTGGCAAAATTCAGCTTAATACGTTTGTGATCACTACCAAGACTTTTGGAACCTTCTTCATCTATTTTCATTACTTGTAACTTACCATATATTTTGTGTGACATGAGTACGTAATCTATAGTTGAATGCAGATTGCCAGTTTCCCAAGTTATGTGCCCGTCACACTTCTGACTGGTATTACATAAAACTAAGTCATGTTTTTCCACCAGTTCTAGTAATATGCTTCCAGTTGAGTCCGTATACCCATCCAGACCCTCAATATGGGCATTCATGTCTCCCATAATAATTATTTCGGAGCCTTCCTCTAGTTCACTAATGTCTCTTGATATGCAATCAATCATTTTTCTGTTTTCCTCTTTAGCACCTGTCCCTGTCCATAAGTAAACCACTCCAAGAACTGTTGATTCCCCAGCGACTTTTCCTTTCAGCCACAAATGTTCGGCGCACTCCTTTCTGATCCTTTGAAAGTTCATATTCTTCTTAATAAAGGCTCCAATTCCACCTCCCTTCCTCGTTCCCTCCATTCTGTTGCATTCTTCCCACACATAGTCAGGGTTGCAAGGTGGCTGCTCCATGTCTCTGAGATGTGTTTCCACAAACCCATACACCATTAAATCCTCCTTTCTTAGTTGCTCCTCTACCTCTTCCCATTTTAACCTATTTCTACCACCCTGCATGTTAATATATCCAATGTCTGATTGTGCTGTTTTTTTATACCTGTTCTTACGTTTTCTCCTCTTTTTAACCCTGGGTGCCTCTCCTGACTTCGTTGGGTTTCCAATTACTTCAGTGCCCCCAGGGCCCTCGGTCCCCCCAAAAAAGCAGTCACCGTGCGGCCCATCCTATCCCCCACCCTGTAACCCGTGGCCTCACTGTAGTGAATGCCATCTGCAAAAGGGCGGGAGCCAGCCTCGTACACCTCTCTGTTTACTTCCATTACGTCGTACCGAAGCTGTCGACTCATACCCTTAATTACTCCGTTGGCTTCGACAACCCTCCTCTCCGTTAACCCGGACTGCCCCCGAACTTCTGGAATGGTGCACACAACCACATGCACATTCTCAGACACGTCCCTCAGCTTACGTATTCCCACGTTTAGCTGCTTTCCGAGGTTCTGGCTCCTACCCTTCAGCACATCATTAAGCCCCGCATGAACTATTACTAGGTTCCTTCCCTCCCGGTTATCCCACACCCCCTCACGTGCTGCGGTCATAGCATCCACCATACACTTCCCTGGCTGGACCTCTACGGTTACCCTCTGGTCTCCCTTCACCCTGTTATGTACACCCCTCCTAACCCGTGCTACGTTAGAGCTCCCCACTACCAGTACCCTAGATCCCCCTGGTGCCTGCGCGCCTTTGTCCTGCGACTTATCTCCTGTCACCTGACTGCCCGACGCCTGCTGCTCGAAGGCGCCATTGAGCTGAGGTTCAATCAGCTCTCCAGCGTCGTCGAGCCCGCCTGCCAACAGGCCGGACTCCCGACCACCAGGGACCCCAGCCTGCAGACTGGTGGTTCGTCCCGCTAGAACTGACACTTCCTCCTTTCTTCCCTCGCTACTCTCCCTCGCTCGAATTACCCCTTCCAGGCGCTCTACCTTACTGTCACACTCCCTCTTACGCTCCTCTAAACCCGCCTTCCATACTTCCCCCAGCTCTTCCGCCTGCTTCTCGAGGCCGACCCGCTGCTCCCTCTCATGATTAAGCTGCCTAGTCAGCTCCTCTACCTGGGCCTCGAGACCCACCCGCTTCTCTCCTTCTGCCTTAAGCTGGGCCTCAATCTCCCGAAATCTACCCTCCCATTCCCCAGTTACCTGCTGAAGCTTCACACAAAGCCGACACTCGAAACTCACCTCCGCCGCCACCTCCAGGCTCCCGAAACCCGTCTCCTCCAGGTAACACCACCTCCCACACCCCTCGCACTGCACCAACTCGTCCCCACCCTTGTCATGCCGACCCAAATCTAGACCCATGTCTAGACCGGGAACAAACCGTCCCTTCCCGCCAAAAATTCAAACAGAGCCTACTTTGCGAAACTAACGTTAACTGCTGCTGTTCAAACCTAATACTGCTACCGCATAGTCACTTCCAATCAACTCTCAAAAAAAGAGAGAGAAAAGAAGAAAAACTGGCACTTAGCTTCGGATGCTCGAGGAGAACCAGGAAACACGTCCGCTCACCGCAACTCAGTCGACTCAGTCGCTTTTCTGCGTGGTTGGTGCTGCCATCTGGTGTCATTCGTACGAATTTTCCCTCAGCTTTCGGTGGTGGTGGTGGTGGAAAACCTCTTTATTGGTCCTGCGAAAGCCCCTACCCGTAAAACCAATAACACTTTCTTTGTTCCCTGCAAAAACATGCAAAATATCTTCATAAAAGCGCTACTGGCAGCAGCTACGGTGCTTCATGCATGTTTTTTTTCTTGTGCCCGGAGTCCCTGAACTCGATTATGAGAATTAAAGCCATTAAAGCGATCGAAAGCCGGTAAAAGTGCAAGCTCACGCGAATTTTCTCCGATTCTCCACGTATCTCAACATTTCTGAAGAACGGAACACAATTTGCCACCGAACAAAACATCGCGGGGGAGATGTTTTTCGGCAGGGCAGGCGGGCAGGCACTCCGACGATAGCGTTGTCCCGCCCGTGCTCATTGGCTCTTGTCCGCGGTGGAAACGGCGTCAGCCAATGACTATTTTCGTTACACGCAAGAACGTTTTCTTTTTTTTTTTTTCCTCGCTCATTCTTGTTGATTTGTTTCCTATGGTTATGTACGGTATCTGCTGCGGGCAGTACTACGAGGAGAAATCGCTGTAAGTAAAGCCCTCGGACATTTATTACAGCTGTGATTAATAACCTATCTCCAGCTGAAGTCAACCGGCGGTAGTGAGATTTTTCGTGTGTACACCTAGCGAAGAAAAGCTCGTCTGAAAAGACGACTTCGGAAGCACTGCCCCTAATCGCCCTGTGTGCAAAGCATCGGCGGTCTTCGCGTTATTTATTCCGTCGTCAGCGTGATCTTCGATCCTTGTTGTTCTGAGCGACGGTCGCGTAAAGCTTGGGGCGACTTATTCCTGTGACTTGTGCCTCGCGCGGAACCAACCGAAAAGTGAGTGGCGGCGATCGAAGCTGAACCTACTGAACTCGAGATCGAGAAGCTTTTGTCTTTTTGTACGAGTTCACCTATCGAATTGTTTTTCGCAGCGTACACGGACGAATGCCAGCTGCTCTCCTGTGTAAGCGGAAGTAACAAAGCTCAGGCAGATCTTTTGTGCTTTCTCGTTCTTTTTAGCGCGACGAGCGGCTGAAACGCGAAACCGATTGGATATGCATACCGACTTTTTTTGTCAGGCGAGCGGCCTTGTTGGGAATCTAGACCCAGCCAGTCGGCGCCGTGTGGCCGTGTCGCCCCAAAAGCATATCTCAGCGTAGTATGCTGAATCGTGTCAGCGGTACGTTATTTGGGATAAGGCCGCCAACGTATCCGCTAAAATGCGCGAGGTTATCGTGAACGAGCTTGCGTGAACGTTTGAATCTGGTTTCGTGACCATAAACTTGTTTTGTTGGGAACATATCTTTGGGCTTACTAGTGGTTACCGAAGAGGAGGTAGAAAAATATTTAATACTTTACTCTTCTTTAGCTCGCCTTTCTGTGAAAAAAGAATGATTTCAGTATGACAGTCAACATACAGTTTGAGCCTGTTACAAATTAAGAATAGGACAAAGCCCTTCCACAGAACTCTATTCTTGCTGTGATTGACGGGTTTCTTCTAGAAGGAATCCTAAGGGTGCAGGCGAGCTGGTGAATATTAACCATGTTGAATTAACCTGAGACTGGGGTAGAGAAGAAACATCAAAACGTAGAAGGGACAGAAAATAGACAGGACGACGTTTTCCTGTCTATTTTCTATCCCTTCTATGTTTTGATGTTGCTTCTCTACCCCAGTCTCAGCTTAGTTCAACAGGGTTTCCACTTCCCTTTTCTCCCAGCATTTGCTCTGCTTAAATTGAAAGACTTGCCTTTCTTTTGGTCAGTCGAGGCCGAAGTTTGAGACCTTGGCTCCGGATAATCTCTCTTAGCGGCAAACCAATGGTAGTGCTCTTCCAAGTTTCAGCTGGTGTGTAGTTGGCACCTCTGGTTTGATTTGCTCGGCGTGCCCCTGAAATGGTGTGTACGTTGTCTGCAGGTGTGCGGTGTAACGAAGAGGGGTCGCTGCCTAGCCTTCCGATGTAGCAACATGGACGTCGACCCAACACCCCCGACGAACACCACGTCCAACCTGAAGCGCTCCTCGAGCGCTCCTATGATCAATGTGTTGGGCAACACACCCTCGTTCAGGTACGCTGGAACATCGCATATCAGTCTCTCGTGTGGCTGGGGTGACTGTACAACTTAACTACTGCCACGCTCTGTTTCACTGTAACTTGGCAAAGGCTACAGTTCCAGCAAGCCAATCAGCTCGTTGGAAGAAAACATGCGACGTCGTATTGCCGTAGTGCTCTCTTCTTGTGAAGAGAAGAGAGCACTTCCCGCGGTTCTCCTGAACCAAAATAAATATTATTATTATTATCATTATTAGCTATCGCGTGCTTTGCGCCGTCGCTCTGATTGGCTCGAGGGGGCCATAGCTTTTGCTGTTTTGCAAAGTTGGGGTGAAACGAAATATCCTGGAGAGATTTCACCGTAGACAGATTAGGTCTTGCGTTTCAGAATTTTACGGACGACTAGGGACATTGCAATGCGGTCGATGACAGACCCGTTGTGTGTCAGAGCCTTAATTTCTTTGCCGTTGCTTTTTCCTTTTGCAAATACTTTCTAACAACTAAGGGACATTGTGATTAGCTGAAGTGACTCTGACCCTGCACAACGAGACAAACAATTTAATGCTTCGTATCCTACGCGAGAAAGCATCGTCGATCGGTTCAACACCTCCTATACTCGTTTTCACCTGAAGAAAAAAGAAGTTTTGCGCATTGTTCGTACGCCGCGCAAGTAGTTCTTGCGGCCGGTCACAGCGTCCCAACTCCTGGCTGTTGAAGCGTCTCTGGACTGTCAAGCTGGAGAGAAACCTGCAGCAGTGCACGTGTCACAGGCACCATGGCCAAGCGCTGACTTAGTACTCATATCTAATCAGTACCTCACAGTGGCTTCTGGCAGGTGACAGGGAACTAGGCACTACGACCTTCTCACCTAGAAGGTGTTGGTCAGTGACACTGGACTGGTTCGCTCCCCAGCCAAATCACCCAGGTCCGCGGAAACGAACAACAGATGGCCGCAATGTATGTTACGGGTCAATTATTGTCTGCTTTCGATTCTAGGTAGCCGAATCGAAAGCAGACAATAATGTTTTATTGCCCTGTCGCTGTAGTATAATGTAATCTGTGTTTGCTCTTCTCACTCAAGATGCATCTGCCTTTCTTTTCTCCGCAGGGAAGCCCTCTCCCCTCTGTTGCTGAGCATCCCACGAACTAGGCGCTTCAGTGCCAGCTTCAGCCCCAACCACTCTCCCTCTGTGAGTTGCCAGATGTTCCCGGAGAACTAAAAGTTCCAAGCGCGTATGCACCAAGGTGCCTCGCGCAAATTGTGCACATTTTTGTGTTTGGTGGAGCATTTATGCGTACAATTTGTGTTCGGGGTTTGGATACTGCGTTCCAGCTGCTTCTTTTTTGTTACATTCCTTAAACCACGCCAGGGTTGCTATGGTGCACATCAGCATGCACATGATGCTGATTTTGGGTGACTTCACTTATATCTGCAGCATCGCGCTCACTGAAATTGGCTGTGACTTGGCAGAAGAACTAGAGTGGTTTCCAAATTATTGGTGACACATGCAGTTAATGAATACAGAACCATATTGCGAGTCTGTAGCGATCCTCAGGGTTGATGAAATGCCCCAAAAATGCAACCTCGGATGCCAAACACAGACTGCATTTGTGAGTGATTCTTTTATTTACTGCACCGATTTGAGTGACACAGATATTGAGACATTGCTCAAGAAGCAGAGGAATAAAAATTACAGCCCCAACCCCCCCCCCCCCCCCCCCCCCCCAAAAAAAAAAATGTGTCAGTGCCAAGAAAAACAAAAAAAGGAGATGTTTACAAGTCTCTGTTGCAAAATTATCGCCACTAATTTAGCAGGGAAATTTAGCAAAAATTTTCCCGTTAAATTTAGCGGGGAAACTGAATGGGTGTTGAGGTAACGTGACATAAATTTAGCGGGAAAATTTTCCCGACAAATTAAGTGGAAACATTTTTCCGCTAAATTTAGCAGGGGATTTTTCCCGCTACATTTAGCAGAAAAATTTCCCTGCTAAATTTAGTGGGAAAATTTCCCCGCTAAAATTAGTGGAAAAATTTTTTGCTAAATTTAGAGAAAAAATTTTCTATAATGCAATGCGCGCGGTTACGTTGACGCCAACGGCAATGCCGCTCAACCCGGAAATGGGTGCTTAAGAGCTGTGCTTTTAAAAAAGGGATGTTGCTTCTCCGGTGGCGATGAGCTCTGCAGCAGTTCTTCACGCAGGATCAGCTGTAAGGTCGTCATACTATTTTCGTGATTGATGGGGTGCATTTTCAGAACTGCTTGCTTTGATTCATATGTCCGGCATGTCATGCTTGACAGTACGAACAAAGCAGATGGTGAAAAATCTCATTGCTTTTTTTTTTTTCCGGGGTGCCAGCTGTTGCTTTGCGCATGCTATCTTGGTTCTCGACAAGGGTCACTGTAGTGGACAGTTCCTTTTTTTTTTTAAGGTCTGATTTTATTGAGAAAGTTAAAGTTGAAGCTTAGGGCGGGTTGGTATGTACTTTAGAACAAAAACAGCGCAAAGGACGAGATGAAGAAAAACACGGACTCAGTGCTGTGTCTGTGTCTTTCTTCATCCACTCTCTTGTCCTTTGCACGGTTCTAATTATCTGGGAGACCCTCTAAAACCCCCTTGTTTATGGCGGAACCTTTGGCAATACTGAATTGTCAAGAAGAAACTGAGGACGGAATGTGTGAGCGTTGTCATTGTGGCCTCATTGTATTGTACCTTGGTTGTTTTTTTTTTATTTTGTGCTATTGTCACTCTTGTGTTCCATTACCTATTTTTTGTACTGAGGATTCTTACATCTCATCATAAATTTTCGTGGGATTGTTGTTTTCTGTGATCCAAGAATGCGGGGCTTCATTGCACTATATGAAAGTTCAGGACATACCTCTTCTGCCATTTCCATACTTGGCTCTTTTTGTTTCAGTTCATTGCTGCTACTCTTTTTTTCAGATAGCTTTTTTTAGCAGTTAGCTGGAGTATTTATTTTTATGTTTTGAGAATGCTGTTGAACCTTTCATTTGATACTTGTGGCAGTGTGTCTACCATAATATCTTGAGAGAGAGCCCACCTAAAATCAATAGCAAATCGGATGAAAATAGGGTGGGGGGATAACATTCGGTTGGCCAGAAAAAGAGAAAAAAGTGCTATTTTTAGATTTTGTGGCCCTCGAAACTTGTGATCGCAGGAAGGGGAGATGAACTAAAGACGACCGCCCTTCGCTATCAGCAATGTTCGTTCATCTCCACCGTAGTTGACTGTCACCGTTTTTGCTGAGGTCATTGTTGTCCAGGGCCTCGCAGTTACTAGAAATAGGCTATCTTTTGGTGTTTCAGAATACATAGCAAATCATGCCAAGATAGGCGGGGGGCTATCTTTCGGGGGTGAGGTATCTCTCGGGTTACTAGGTAGTTCCAGGAAAACTTTGTAAGGTAAAAAAAGTGAACATTACTCCGAAACTTGTCTGATATTAACCATGATAAATTGATAATGATTCCTGCAGGATTTCTTTTAATCCCTTTTTATGTAACACTATCATTTCAAGAGATTAGATGTGCCACACTAAGATTAATTTGTGTGTACCGGTGCGAGTTTCATGGATGGGCAATGTCCTCGCACCGAGTTGTTCCCAACTTTGCCTTTGTGATCCCCCACTTTTGTGCTAGCCAGTTCGTATTGTTCCGTGTGTTACATGTTTTGAAGTAAAGGTCAAGTTTGACGACGGAAGCTCTAAAGCATGGACAACAATGCCCATTGTATTTTAGGTTGGCCTCCCCCACCTTTGAAGGAGGCATATTTTCCCCATGTCCGATCAGTTCTTGATTATGCGAGTTAGATTTGGGATCTGTCAGGCAGAACTTGATATATCAGATTGAAGAGATTCGGAATCATGCTGTAAGATTTGTTGCGGATAATTATGATTTCAGAGATAGCACAACTGAACTTAAATTTTCTCTGCACTGGAAACCTTTGGGTCAAACAAGGAAATTCCTGTCTCAAAATCTTTCATAAAGTTTTGTTTTACAACAATCCTGCTTTTTGTAGGTTCATATACATATTTTAGCCCATCCATGTATCGGAAAGAAGAGATAATTCCGAAAAGTGTCAGCCTTTCAAATGCGGAACAGATGTTTATTAATGCTCCTTTTTTCTGCTGTCCATAGGTGACTGGAATAAACTGCCCAGCGATATTGTGGAAATGACATTGTCTGAGCATCTTTTTAGAAGATTTTAGACTACTTATAAATTAATTTTTTCCACTGTGTTTTTTTAAACGTTGTGTATTACATGATGCCCCCCTACTGTAATCTGTGTCCCCTACGTCTGTACCCCTACTGTAATGCCTCTTCAGGCAATGTAGGTACATATTCTATTAAATAAATAAATTGTAATTTCAGTCCCCGTTAGCGGCCGTGCCGTCCCGAGTGAGCCAGATCAAACATGAGGAAGGCATGGACGTCATGATCAGAGAGACTGCCCACGAAAAGTGAGCATCTGCCGTTCCTTTTTCTCGTCTGATGTCTTTTTTGGTACCTGGAGTGCATCTTTGACTGGTGGGTTTAGCGTTCCATACCACCCGTGCATTGGAAGGGGTTTGGAAGTGGCAACGAATGATGTGTTTTTTGCAAACATTTTAGCTATAGTTGAACATATGTAACGATTTGTCTCAAAATGTCCTTGGCTCTAAGTGTGCCCTACTCAAAGTGACACTGCTGCTTGGCTGCTTGTGACAACTTTAAAAGTTATTAGAGTTAAAAGTTAGTTCAGAGAAAGTACAGTTAAAAGGGGAACCAGTTACATGCTTAACATTTATTGTAAAGTTGTTGCTTATAGTAGGGTTTGACTTGGCGCGGCTTGGCACCAGATGAGCTTATATTCTTTTTGTTTATCTCTTCCAGGGAAGTGCAGTCAAAGCTTGCAATTTCACAGTCCTGGGATGATCTCTCATTAGTAAGTAGTCAGTATTGACTGCTGTCTTTCCAGTGTTTTTATTTAAAAAAATGCTATAGTGCTTTTACCAGATTTGCCTTCAGGTCTGTAACTTCTTTGCATGCACGATCCACGGCCTCACAGATCTCAATGTCTTACTGTAGAACTTCATTGACGTGTTCCTGGTTTATAGACGCTTTTAGCATGTGCCACATTAAAGCCATCGTTTCTGAACTTTTATGGGGATGTCTAGCCACTGAGGTGGGCATTCATTAGCCTACATAAGAGCCTTTGCTGGACACAAGGACACTGGCATCAAGAAAGGCCATAGTGATGAAGGGAAGTAAATTGAATAAGGGGAACCAAGGACTGAGTGTCGCTTTCTATTGGCAACGCCCATGCAGTGCCCTGTAAACGTGTCTATGTATTTGCCCGGCTGCAATGTTCATCATTGTCGGTCCCAACAAACTCTTGTAGGGATGTCTGTAGAAATTTCTCATTCTTTGCATTTGCCTTCTCTGTGCGCCACCCGACGCCTCCGGTGTGGCTTGTTGGGGTGTTTCTTGCCCCAGTGTGGGCTTGAAAGGGATTCTGGCTTTTTCAAAAACACGCTTGTCTGTTCATTTGTTTCTACTGCATGGGCTTGCATGCATCTGTTGCGCTTGGTTTGCCCAGTTCTGCTAGTTTCATTCGTGTCTCCGACCTCGTGCCCCCTCTCCGTGGCGCTCACGCTGCGCTGCTCATGTCAAGCTTCACAGCTTTGCAACGGTACGCGATTGTCAGGCTTCACTGCCTCGCACCGTCGTGCACCGTCAAGCTTCACTGCTTTGCACCGGTGTGCTCAAAGAAGCAGCTGACGCAGCGAAGCATCTCAATCAACTCAATTGGCTAAAAAGTTTCGTTCACTATTGTACGTTGGCACCCTTTAAAAAAGAAAAATAGGTCAGTCTTTATTTAAAAAGAATAAAATTTGCGCGCAGTGGAGTGCAATGCAAGGGACCTGGTGCGGATGCATGCAGTTGGCATAAAAATTGTGGAATCTTATCATCAGTAGGAGACTCCAGTTCTGTTTTACCACGTCTTATCAGAGTCGTCGTTTTGCAAAGTGTCTTTTCGCGACTTTGTGGCTCATTTGCAATTCTGCGACATCATCATCTGATAGTTGAGAGAATGACGTGGCCAGCATGGTCGGCGAAGGAATTTTAGCCAAAGTGACTAGGGATGCTGTGACATAAATGTTAGTACAAACTTCTCGAATATTAGAGCCTGTTACGCAGTCGGGCTCACCCAGGCGAGAAGCAGGGTGTTGAGAGGCAGGTTAGGGAAAAAGAAGGACAATGGCGCAAATATAAACAGCCTTCCACCATCTCTGATCGGTGTTTCTGGCAGTAACAACCAGGAAGGCCAGCACATTGAATGGGAAATTAATACGCATATCTCTATCGGAATTTAAGGAGTCCCAATGTTTGTGCGTTTGTTTTTTATATTTTGTGCTGCCACTTGGCTTACAGAGGCTGGACCTCACTCATGCACATGAGAAGAGCTGGTACTAATGCAACCACAACAGTGCAAAAGCAAACAAATGCCTGTTTCCTGGCACACAAACTACACGAGGCAATTCTACGAATAATTGAACTGCGTCCTCATGACCGTTCCAGTCCTGATGCGGTCTCTCCCGCCTTTGCAGGCTGACGGCTGCCTGGGTGACACGAGCAAGCGGCCCCGGTCGCTGACGGACCCCCTCCACATCTTCACCCCTCCGCCGGGCATCTGCAACTCTCCCTCTCCCACGCGGACGGGCAAGGTGCGAACCCCGTCGTCTGCTCAACACGTCTTACTGAGGGCGTGAAAGTTCGAAGTCGCCTCGGTGCTTCGCATACAGACGACGAGTGCCTCGATTGTTTGGATCTGTTTCGTTCTGGTTTGGCTTTTGGGGTAATCTGTTGGGGATGCCAACACAAACACACGACGCAGCCTCTGCACTTTAACGACACCCATCCAAGTTGCGGCGCCGACACAGGGGTAGAGCGTCAGACTAGGGAGCAAGGGGTCCAGGGTTCCGATTCCTGGCAAGGGACGAAGCACTTGGAGGTTATTGTCGGTGACGGGTTAAGTGTGGGGGAAGTCCCTCCCACTTGTTTCCAATTTAGAAAAGCAAATGCCTGAGAGGGGGTCACCTTCTCTCCAGCGTTTGCTCTGCTAACGTGGAAAGAGGTGAGAGGAGCTTCCCTCGAACTCTTAATAGTCTTAGAACGTTGTTTTAGTAACTTTGGGGGAATTTGTAATGCGGCTTGTTGTTTCTGTAACTCCAGCGTACCCTTTTCGTGAAGTGTCGTGGTCGCCGCACCTCTGTTCCAGCAGCAGTGCTTCTCGCCCTCCATGTGCCTGTCCAGCAAGCAGGCGTTCTCTCCTAGTCCCAGCCCCAGCCCCACGCGGAAGGCCTTTGCCACAAGGTCAGTCCACTACAGAGTCGCCAGAGCCGTGAGACTCGGCCGTCGTTTACGATACGTTACTTTGCTGGGGTTCTGAAACTCCACAATCTGGAGGTATGCTGCCTCAACCAATAGCCAAGGAACCCCTCCCGGTCTCGACACCGATGCGGTAAAGCAGTTCAGAATCCTGCACAGCTTTCGAATAATTATGAACGTACGAACGAGTGTCTGGCTCATAGTTATGCGTCATTGGGTGGTTTAGGTCTAAAATGGCGTTTGAACTGAGGAAAAAACGGACACTTGAAGGTGGCGACGGTTGCAGAAATTTGGGAGCTTAGGGGAACCCTTGAGGGTGCTCTGGCGAACTTCCGCTTTCCTATGAATTCAGTTTGAGAACACGTTTTATAAAGTGGGTTCCTGGGAACTCGCTTTATAATAACCCCGAGGAAATCTCGAGCTCCTAAATTTCCTCGACTGCTTGTACCACCAAGTAAGGCGTTCTTTTAATTCAAGCGCTATTCTAGCGGACCCGAGCCACTCTGTGATGCGTAACTATGGGCCAAACGCTCCCCAATAAGGTGCTTTACTGTCTACAAAGTCTGTAGGCTTCCGCACTGCTCTACCACATCAATGCCGAGACCGGCGGGGGTCTCTCGAGATAGAAAAGTTTGAGAAACCCAGTTCGCGGCGTGCCACGCCTTTTTGTTGCAAGCTGCACCTACGGCTGCCCAATGACCAGGCGCTTCTAGTATGGTCCTCGTTGCTTATCACGCTTTTGCGAAGATTGGATCGCTCCGCAACGTCGTGCCGCTTTGTGGAGCGCTCGAGGTTCCTGTGTCGTGACGACTTCGGTTCTGTGTTCTGTGGCGCTGCATGCAGTGAGGCCAGGGATGCTGCCCACATGCCGGTTGTCCGTACTAGCCTCGATTCGCAAAGCTCTCTGGTTGGCCACACCTACCTCAGGTGACTGGCGGCGACGGGCGGTCCCCGCTGTTCCGCGTCGCGCCGGGCTCCGCGGTTTACTGACTGCCGTCCTTGTCTTGCGTTGCAGACGAAGTCAGAGTCCTATCACGCTGAGGCCGAGCCAGTTTTCCGTGAAACGAAAGTGTGAGTGCCGTTTCCTCCCTGGATTTTATTTCTTTACTGTTTTACAAAAATTATCTTGTCGTTTCATTAGCTATAGTCTTAACTCTGAAATTCTCAAATGAGGGCCACAGATCCGAATTTAGGATGCCTAGTTTTTGAATGCGTGGTCGAAGCTACGAGCATCCGTGTGTTTACATGCCCCGAGTAAATGGTCAAAAGGTGCGGATGAACTAACTTTACGATCGGATGGAAAAGGAGGTAAGAAAGCCGCCGAAAGGCCAAATTGGGTACCACCGGGATTTTAACTCGGAGTTTCCCTGTTACCTGTGAGGTGTGCTTACCACTGCACCACAGACCCTGACATAGAAGTACTGTTCAGAATCACTTAAAATGAATCTCGTAATAAAATTATTGTGCTTAAAGGTTTTTTTTAGGAAATGTTTATTTTGCGACATACGTGTACTATCCGGGCACCCAAAAAAGATTTTTTGGAGTCCAATATCTTGTGAAGTTAAGTGAAATTGGAATTTCTTATCCAACTGTTGAATCTGCTCTGGAGCCAAGTCTGAGCTCTTTCGGAAAGAGAGCTTTCCTGCGTGACGCAAAGGTTCTTATTCTCATAAATGCCCTACCTTGATCTGTCGAGAGAATAGTTGCATGTTGGGAGCTCTCTATTCCTGCATGTGTGGAGCTTTTAGGCGCGAAGCTCCTTAGGGGCTAGCCATGTCCGTGTCTCCGACCACCGTCGGGTGCACGTGCTCCTGCTCGTGAGCTCACGTGCTCATGAGCACGTGAGCACGTGCTCTTGTGCTCGTGTAGGGGGAAAAAAAATGCATCTCCACGTGGTGAATGATGTTGATTGGGGCAAAGCTCTGGTGGTGCTTTTCTGCGTAGACGGTGAGCTGCAGCATGCCGAGCCTTTCGTTCGTTTTCGTCCATGTCAGAAAAAGAATGTGTGGTATGGAACGTGGTTATATACGCATTTGAGCATTTGACCGCAGCGTGACATGGATGAAAATGAACGAAAGGCTCGGCATGCTGCGGCTCACCGTCTACGTAGACAAGCACCACCGGAGCTTAACCCCAATCAACATCATTCACCACGTGGAGACGCGGTTGTTTTTTTACTCCCTGGCTAACCTGTTTCTTGGGGACGTACCTCAGTCGACATGGACATGGACCAGGGAGACTTCCCGATGCCTGCCAAACGACTCAACCTGTCCGTTGCTCAGGAGATGGCCACCTCCCACGTGCTGCACCACAGGTATGACAGGTGGCCCTGGAGGGGAGACATGGGTCTTCGGAGCCAAAGAAATCCAGAAAACACTGTTGTTTTGGAAGACGGTGATCTTGAAATCTACAGCTATTATTTTTGAAGATTAATATTCGAGCCATAATATCACTTTATAATATCTCTATGGGTTTAAATTGCACTGAAGCTGATGCTAAAACAACACTTTCTCAAAAAACAAATTTTGGACTCCTTACAAATTTTCAGGAGGGATATCTCAGCATCTAGGGCAGACAAAAAGACAACTTTTTTTAGCACAATGTAGCTAAATGTGCAAAGCATGCAATGTTGGAAGCAGATTTTTCAAAATCGGTGTAGGAAAAGTTTTAACTGAAATAATGCTTTATTGCTTGGTAGCCACACATTGAGCACTGAACTTCAATGTGTTGTAAAGTCACATTATGATAATGGTTCAATCTAAAAAGTGCTTCCAACATTGCATTCTTATTGCATTCTTTCATGATTTGTAGTATCTGACCATATGTTAAAACATTCTTTTTTAAAGATGATTTTTCTCTATTGTCTTTAAACACAAAGTCTGGCTGATTATAATTATCCTCATAAGTAACCTACTAATTAAAAAAAAAAATGGCAGATATTCGAAATCAGGTCAAAAGTCTGAACAAGCCTGTGCTGTTTTATTTGGCTTGGCCAAAAATATAAGGAAAAAGGCCCCAATATTAGTGTTCCCCCTTAAAGCGGTGATCAAACGGGGGAGAAGTAAGTGATTTCATGTGCGTGATGCCTTTGTCGAGCGCAACTTCCTCCTCAGCTTCATCGTTCGTACGGATGAAGCGCTGGTAAGAGGGATGTCGACGTTGGCTGTCGAATTTAGTGGCTTCTACTCTTGAGAACGTAGCACGCAGATCTAGCTGTTTCTACACTTGGTACCAAAGCTTTTAATGACAGAATATTGTTTAAAGCAAACTGATCCGCCACCAAGCAGGTATTGTTTGTAACTCCCGAGAAACTCTCCCTCCGTCCACTGCAAATCCGATGTCAGTGCGCCGCGTCTCAAAAAGCCTGACGCTTTCATCGCATGACTTTTTGGGATTTCTCCCTCGGGCAAATACTTCGTAAAGATCTGTTTGCCACACTGGAGATGGAGTGGGCGCGAAGCATGTTCCAGCACTTGTTCTGTGCTCAACTAGTTTACGCCAGATTTATTGTTTCCTAAGCCACGTCCAATGCAGCGCAAGCTCAGTTTTATTTGAGGGTTGTAAAATTGGGTTAGTATGATGCGAGTGTCCCTGATGCAACTGAGATGCAATTCAAAGTGTGCTGATTTCACAAGGATAAGGGTGAAGTTTTTTCCCTAAGCCTAAACAGTAACAAACACTACAACGGGACCTGTAGCCCAGTCGTATTGCGAAGGGAGGCAAAGACGGGGGCAGAACGCGGCAAATTGTAAGCGCAGATGCCGATGGTCCTGAGAAAAAGAACGAGAAAAAGAAGTGACAGAAAAAGAAGGCAGACGAAAGGTTGGGCGTGTTCGTTTCGGCGCGACGAGTTGGAAGTTGTTCAAATGCTTGTCAACATAATTTCTTTTGCACAATGCGCGATGCCAGTATTTTGTGCAAAATAAAGCTAGGAAACAACTTGGGTACAAAACCTTGCACATGGCACTTTGCCGCTCTTCCGTGTATACTGAAGCATCGCCAGCAACACGGTTCCGTTGGGATTATCGACGTCCACGTCTGTGCCCCGGCGCTTCGAAGTGGCTGAAACGCTTGGGAACTTTCCGTCTAGACTTTGTTCTATTAACCTTATGGTACTGCGTGACGAGAGGAATGTGCCCGTGGTGGCACCTCTGCTGCACAGCCTGTCGCAGAGCAGCCTGGAGGCCACGAGCAGTCCCGAGCAGACGGTGCCCCACGACATGACGGACTCCCTGTCGAGCAGCAGCGGGTCCCCCTGCTGCCCCACCGCCTTCCACGCCTCCGGACGGTCCCCCGCCGCCCCCTCGGCCCCCGACGGCTCCTGCAACATGGAGGACTCCTAACCTCCCACCGCAGCCCCCGACCTCTCCTTCCTTTCCTCCTCTTCAGCAAGATGGCCGGACTCGTCCCTGGCGGCAGGTGAGGTTGCCACGTTGCGACATTATCCACCAGAGCTCGTCGGCAACAAACCGTTGCAAGGGGCGTTGTTATGGACTATTATACGGGGCTGGATTTTGCTGTGAAAGAATGATCAATAAAAAATTAAGCATAGAATATAGATGTCTAAAAAGAACAAGATGTAGGAAGCCTAGCTTTCACACTTATCGCGACAAACAGTTTGCCGAGAATCGACTGTTTCTGAAATATTTGAGACAACAACTTCCGATCCTCGAGACGTCGAGAGATGTTTGGTGCAGACGACGGACGCATAACGAACGCGCACGGAATGACCGAAGTATGCCGTCTGCAACAGTTGAATTGTTTGCTCAATGATACAATTTTGATTTTTTATTTATGTGGCAGGCCTAAGAAAACTAATCAGGTTTACAAAAACAAGTTGTGTTTGCCTGTGATACAGGATACTGTCTGACAAAAATCATCACATGCATGGAGATATGCTAAAAATATGGCGAGAAGAGCATCTGTTTGGAACATGGTATCAAAGCAGCATCGGGCCCTTTGTTTTGATTTTGCAGTTGACTTGCATTATAATGAAGGAGCAATTATTGTGACTCTAACAAAGTGGTTCAGGAGCTGAAGCAAGCTCCACGGAAAGGCCCTCGCGCACCTTGAACGTCAATCAAAGCTGTTAAGGGGCACTCCGCTTCCGAAATCCCACAGAAAGTTGACCCTGAGAATAGAAGTTTCGTCGTTTGTCGCCAACTTCATTCAGCACGTTCGCATACTCCCTCGGAAAGAACCACTGAACTCGCAAAGCCATCATGTCGTCTGCTAGCAAGGCGAAACCGGCTTTGAAACCTTATTACGGGTTTTTGTCATCGCTTTGAGGTACCAAGACAATAGAAAAATTCTTCGTGATTACGGTACATATGGAGGAGACACCATGCTTACAAAAAAATGTTTACTTTTTGATCGGAGAATTTTTAACCTCTTGTCGAGCCCCCATGCATGTGTCCATAGCAATGGCGCTAGCAACGGTTTGTTTGGAGCAGTGCGCCATGCTGTGACGTCGTCACTCACGGGGTCAGTTGTCCCAACTGACCAAAAATTATCCCTAGACATCACCCTCAAACCTTTGAAATGAAAAACCTCATAATTGCAACGAAAATAACGTACTAATGGCCAAGTGCTGCCTCCTGCCTTTTATTGCTCTTCCAAAAAGGGAAGCGTCGTGACGTAATAATGGTTGCGGTTCTTCTCAATTTCCGCAGTTTATGTCTTCATCGTTGCCTTCGCCGAGAATGATCATACGGGTTTTGTTCGGACATTGTCGTTTGGCAGGCACCAAACTTGACTCGGCCGAGTACTCAGTAATATCTTCCTCGAAGCGTGAAGGTCACCTGGCACAGAAAAGTCCTGATCAACATAGCTGCCACAGATATCCAGCTCCCTTGTGGCACTGCGCATTTGCAAGACCTGAATTTGGCTCTCTAACAAATTCTTTTATGCGCTGAAAGATTTGTTGCTATTGTGCTACACCTATTTTAAGTGTTTGAGACAATAAGTTACAGATTTCCGGGGTTGTCGGTGGCCTTTTGACGTTGAATTGCGAAGACTGACAGCGGGTATTTGAGGAACATTTTCTGGCTTAAAATGTTCAGTTGTGTGATGTTTCGCATGGTATACGCTCCGTGCGGGAACTATAGGGGGCGCTTCGAAAAACGCGCGTAGCGCCGCTAGTGGAGGAGCTGGCGTTCGACAGTGAGGCGCGTTCAGCAGCCTGCGGCGCCTTTTCGCATGCGAAGCTGTGGCCGCGGAAGCGCGCACGGACGAAACTTTTGCTTTTTGAGCCGATACATTGAGGGTGACGTTACATGGGTGCTGGGGCAGACCTGAGAAGGGCATCTAGCTGTTCTCCACTTCTTATATATTGTGTTTGAGTCGTTATTAGGGGTAATTTCTCTAGTTACGGCCGAAAAAGGAGTTTGAGCAGTTTTTTGAAAAGCCGCGGCCCCCCATAATTGCTCTGAGTGGGAAATTTATTTCGCTCGTCGCTGTAAACGTAGGACTGCTGGAACGATGATATTTGGAGGCGAGTGAACTGTTCACTAAGTTTGTGCACAAAGTGTGCCAAGTTTAATTAAGACAGCAGGTGTGAAAGTTATGTTTCTAACGAATAAAGAAATAAAGCTGTACGGGATATCCAATATTGAACCCAAAATGTTGTGTTATAGCGAGCTGTGCAAAGTGCAGATTTGGGCACACAGGTGCTTCGACTTGATAGTAACATGACACAGCACTTATTATACCAAAAACAGGTGGCATAGGGAAACCAGGTGGACATTTAGTTTGGGCGGCGTAACTCAACGGGAACCGGTTTTGACCATGAAAGGGCTGTCAAGAGAATACCACTCGTCGTGGGAGGTGGACACTTTTCAGGTAGGAAGGGACTAGTGCACTGTACTTCCAATTGAAACAACTTTACGAAAGGTGGTTTTAAAGCCGAGAAAACAAAGTTGTCGGCCAACACACGGTTTGGCCGTCAAGGGCTTTTGCGGTCAGCTGTTGTAAAATAACCTCTTGTGCGAGGTACTGATTTTCGGCGCACAGGTACTTTGACATGCTAGTAACTTGACACAACACTTATTATACCAAAAAGAGGTGGGATAGCGAAACCACGTGGAAATTTAGTTTTGGGCGCCGTAACTAAACTGGAACTAGTTTTAACCGTCAAAGGCTGTCAAGATAATACCACTCATCGTTGGAGGTGCGCACTTTACAGGTAGGTCACCTATCGCAAAATGGTTCGAACCACTTTGCGATAGGTGAAAGTCGAGAAAAACAATTGTTGTCTACAGAACTCGGGGTGTCAGCGTTTCCACATCCAAAAGTATACTGATCAAAAAAGAAAGCACACCACATAAACTTCCATACTCAAACGTCAATTCTCCAGTGATTCCGAGTTTCATGGTAGTTTTCCTATAGATTCATATATGTCACTCTTTTTTTTTTTCTTCTTTTTTACCATTCGAGTCTTTCTTCATGAAGTACAGATTGCTTGCCGTACTTGTCGGGAAATATCATCGACACGCACGATGGGGACGAAACTTCTTTGGAGGGCATTCCTCCAACCAAATTGGCACTGCATACCCGCGAGTGTGGGATGGCATTTCAGTTTTTCCCATCGGCGCCAACACATGTAGGCGTTGCTGGTACGAAAACAAACGCAGAGCGCAAAGCGGCAGTGTAGAATATGTCAGCCGTGCCGAAACAGTGGCAGACATGATCGGGAGACCGAATTTCTCGCCTCATACGGCACGGGTCCATCGTTGTCGCTGTCCCACAAAGCATCGGCGAGGTGAAAAGCTGTGAAACTTTGTCCCCACGAGATACGACGCATAACTATTGAAGCACGTAATGACGCAGCACAGGCAGCACTTCATGCTGTGAACCCAGCGCAACCGCACCGCTCCAACTTCAATGCGTACCAACGTACGCGGCGTGGTTTCGGTTTCGTTTTCCTTCGGGTTCTCACTGCCCACCTTCGGTACCGGCCGCGCGGCGGCGCGCCAGTCGCGTCGCACGGAGTGTATAGGTTGTTTGCACATGACGTCAATTCGCCATTTTGTGGTTAGTTTGTTTTTTCAAACAAATTTACTACATTGAAGGATTACATCGTAACCGGTTGAGATGATGTCGGCAGTACTGTACGCATTTGAGGGGGCATGTAAATCCTTGGAATGCTTGAGTTTGGCACACGCCAGACAGCTCGCAACAACAAAATGGTGGACGAAATTACGTCAGTGAAAACACCCTATTGAACGGTTTGACTTCTGATGAGTGGAAAACACTTTAATATGAAATGCTTATCTCCAGCGCTGCGTTTTTCGCAGGTTGCCGTGGCCGTCTGCTGCATCTAGTCTGGCCTGTTGATCGCGACGGAGCGAGCCGGTCGGAGAGCGATGCCATCAAGAATGGGCCTCTTGTTTCGGGTTGCACGCGCTTGGTTTCCTATTTATTGTCGAACTGGATTGCACGTGAAACACCAGGCCCTGATCGCTTTCAAGCCAACGCTTTGCGGCTGTTTTGCCAAAAGCGTGAGCGACGATTCTCCGGAAACATCCCGCAAGCAACGAAAGTCATCACTATGACCGACATTATTTTGTTTCGTGATTGTTAATTTGCCTTCCAAAACTAACTAATGTTTTTTCGCTGAACTATAGAATTTTACTGCGAAACATTCGGACCCCTGTTTGCTACTCAGTTGTCCTTCGAGCCCTTGTGCAGGATGTTTTGGTTACTCTTCTGAGCGAAAAGCTGCCGGTCGGGGGTTCTCGAACGGCTCGACAAAGCACCATAGATGGACTAAACAAGTCCTTCAATGGTACTCCTCAGCTTTCTGAACCGAGTTTGTGATCTATTCGGCGGGCTGGTGGAAGTTATGTGTGAGAATGCATTAAGAATGTACTCGCACATCTTTGGTCGTGGGAGAACCTTTTAAGGTACTCTCATGAAACTGAAGCTGTTCATGTTTGCAGCTTCAGTTTCAAGTCAGGCTCATCTTTGGTCATGAAGGAGCCTAGGGCGGGTCTTTGAATGTAGCTTCACTTTTAAATCAAAATGAGTGTATACTGGGAATTCCAAGCATGGCCAACGAACCTCTTTTTCTTGCTTGCTGTACCAGTTTGAGTGGATAATAGGAATTTACGATTTAGGAACCCCCGACACAACGGCGGCACTTGAAATCCTGGTGATTCTTTTAATGTTCCTTGCCGCAAACGCTAGATGCGTGACAGAAATTGGCGAGGTGTGGGGCGTAGTCCGTTATGGCGTAGCCTGTGCAACATGGACGGCCTATTTTTATTGCAACTTCCTTCGCAGGCGCACCCTTGGCGTGTTCTGTCCGCAGGATGTGGAGTCTTGATTTTAACCTCTGTGTTTGCTCGTAATATTATGATTAATATTGTTATAATTATTAAAGCCCATTGTCTGGTACAGTGCAGGCTGTAGGCTATGATACAGCATGTCTGATTACATCTGGTAAAGATGTTCCACATCAACATTTTGTAGGGAACATGTTCCAGGATAAAGCTTTTTTTAATTATTTAGAATATTGAAATGAAATTTCTACAGTTTATGGTGCTTAATCTTCTCTCTAAAATTATTGTGTTAGATTTGATATAGTATTTTTTTAGGTTCTCGATGCAATGTACATGCAGAAAAAAAAACATGTTCTTGTGCATGTGTGAGGCATGGCAACACACTTAAAAGCCTAGTAAAATAAACCAATTGGCTGCTTTTAAACCACTGACTGCAATGAACAATAAAAGTAAGGTGTGTGATGCTTCTTTCATTTTAAAATAATAAAGCAATAGCAAAAATGCCATTTCATGGGGCTAACAAAGGTTTCTTAGATTTTCCATCAATATAAAAAAAATACATTCTAACCAAACCTAGATAGTTTCATTCTACATATTCTAAAGTATATTCATGCCAAATTTGATTGTGCTAGGAATATATTAAGAACAGAAATCCTCAAGCACAATCCGTGAAAGTGCCCCAAAATTACATAAAAAGAAAAATGCATTCGAATGTTACCATAAATGTGTAGCTATACTGTTTGGCAGTGAGGAAAATAATATTTTGTTAATAAATTTTCGTAAGAAATTGAAGCTACAGAAAACTGCAATGGAGAGGAGACGGCTAGGCCTACTTGGCAATGCAAATGTGATGGCAAGCGACGTCACAATTTGAAGAACCACCCAGAAAACATTGGCTCAAATTCATTCCATTCTGGGTTGCCTGGAGGTCTTCAAATGCGCAAATGAGTAATTTTGCGTATCCGACACTGATTATTTTTATACATCAAATATAGATTAAAAGATGAGAAAACACCGTAAAACTCAAAATCACTTTTTTTTTTGCGCAAAATATCACCGTTTTTAGACTCGAATCTTCCCTTAACAATGTTGCTGTTGAACATTGCTTGTCAGGTGTAGCTTTGACATTTTTTGATAAATCAGAAAACAACTTTGTGTTGTTTTGTTTTTTGTGCTTTATTTTATTTTTTTTTCTTTTGTTCCTTAGCTTGTGCAATGTCTGTGCGAAGTTTTTACCTTTCCTTTGTCGGGTGGCAATGGCGATTGGAAGCATTCCCTTTCGCGGGCGAGTGAAAAAGAGCATTGTCCTTTAAGACGTACGAGGGATCGCCAAACTGGCCGCTTGTATAAAATGTGTAGAGTTGGGAAACAGTAGAAACTGTTGGCACGGTGCTCTTCAACATTGATGATCTCCGGTTGTCTGTTTTGGAATGCCAAAATATCTGCATAGTGGGCATGTGTGTGCTTTGGCAGAGCAACGACAGTGCACCTTGTTAAGGCTTGGAATGTCTGGAAGTTGTATAATGAAGAAAATCAATTGTTAGGCTTTCCTTCAAGGTTTGTTCAAATGATGCACAAAGAATGCCTGAACATCTGCTGAAGCACACAACGCTGCAGAAGAGACATGTAGATACCCTTCGTTCATTTTTGTCGGCAATCGGTCGAGAATGGGAGTTTTTGTTGGGGCTTCGTTATTTATTTGTTATTGTTTAGGCAACTTATAGTTCCTTTTGGTGTGTCTTGGCCTACCTCCAGTCCGAGGCAAATGTTTACTTTTGTTTTTAAAACCTCGGGACGCTTTTTACGAGCGACTACAACGGGAGGTGTGCTCTCGGTTTGTGGGCTCTGCGTCCTGATTCTTGAAAGTGACAGGTTTGATGATGTGAAATGTATGCTACAAGAAAGGCACTGAATGCAGGGAAACTTGTGCACTTGCTCATATAAGTGGTGCCAGCGGATGTCACGCGGCAGGCTTCTTTCGTGTTTTTAGCGTGTCCGACACAACCCGTTTTGATTGCGACAATATTGTTGTAACACAGTTAACTAGAGAAACAAAGTTACGGAGTGCTACAAACTTTCTAAAGACAGGCTCAGATCACTGAGCTCTTCACATTGTTTTGCTTCCATACTACCGCAAACATCTAGGAGCGAGAGTTGGGCGCTTAAATCACTCACATTTATGCTATGTTTCACATTAAATGCGAGCGAAGCCGAAGCTACGAGCACGTTGCCCTGAACAATGCTTGCACTGCACACGCCCGCGTGCTTATAGCTCACTCTTGTAGTTACTGCTGCGCTCGTGATTAATATGAAAGAAAATATAGACACTGTTTTGTTTCAAGCAGGCACAAGTTTTAATTTGACACATTTTTCCTATCTAACCACTTTTTCTTTCGTCGCAGTACCCCTTCCAACTTTGTTTCTAACTTGCACCTTGCTGTCAGACACTCTTGTCTATTATAGTGGTCTTTTGGTTTGCGTCAACGGCAAAGAGTGATTCATGCAATTGGCACAGTACGGTTGTCGACAAGGGCGTGGGAGGCACACGGATATTCTGTTTTGTGTCTCGGCACCACTTGGCGTGCAAAGTGTGGCCACGTTGAAGGTTACGGAAAAGCCCCGGCACCACTTGGCGTGCAAAGTGTGGGCACGTTGAAGGTTACGGAAAAGCCCTCGCGCATACATGCTTCTTTTTGCCTTCAAGTGGTGCCAGCCAGTCTCGCAGATGCTGACTCCTCTTCTCCGCAGCGGCACATCTGAGGCTGCATGCAGGCTGCATGCACGGCGTGTTTCTAGAATGCAGCAGGTCGTCGTTTGGAGGTGTCGGTTTCTTCTCTGCCAGCCTCTTAAAACAACACCACCTAGAATAATCGAGGCTTGTGAACCACCTCTTCTATTTCCACGTAATGTCATCATGCTCGGATGATGCCCCGGGCGTCCTTCGACGCATTGATTGGACACAAAGCCTAGCCAAACACCGATGCAGCACTCTTGTCCTGTCTGCGCCTGATCTCGCTCTGATGACGTGAAAATGATCAGGCACGGGTTTCGATTATTTTAGGTGGTCTTGGTTACACTCCCCTCGGCGTTATTGCAACATTTCGGAATTCCTGCGAAGCCGGGAAAGTTGGGCATTTGTGAATGTGAAACCGACGTTGTTAGACTCCATCTTATTATTTTTTTTTTCAACTTCTAAATTTAGTTTATAACTGTATGAACTACAAGCTGGCTCCTTCATGTCAGTGAAGGCAATCTTCCTTACACTTGTAACTGTGTCGTCGGTGTGATCTGTGTACTAAGTGTAGGTTTTTGCCTAGGCCGAGTACTCCTAGAGGTGTTTGCACCCTCTGTCTGGTGCAAAGGACTGTTGTCAACGTGGTCCTCGGACCGTCCCCAGGAATCGTCGACTGTCCCTAAGAAAGAAATGCTCTTTGGCGAGCCATGCTTGCCCATTCATTGCATGGCACCTCACTCGTGGTGAGCCAACTGAGGACTTCTAGCATTTTTTAATTAACCAACTCCTTTGTACGCTCTCTTACCTCTCACTTCTGGCAAGACTTTTTTCTTTTTGTTTTGTTTTTAGGGTTTAAGATTTGTGTTGTGCTGTTCTGTACATAGGGGCATGGAGCCTGTAAATAGAAATTGTGTCACATTGCTGAATCCTTCGAGCTCAAAAACATGGCTTGGGATGAGGTCAGATTTAACGGGAAAACTTCTGTTTTACTATGGAATAAAACCTTGCATTTAGGTTAACTTTTTGGGGGCGACATCTGAATGTGTCTGTTTTTTTCTTTTTTCTTTTCTTTTAATATGCCTGATTGGAGGTAACACGAAAAGGATTATTGTATTTTGTAACATATCAAGTGTATGGCCTGTGAAGCCACATGTTGATGCAGACAATGTGCTGTTTGCTGTGGTTTGACTGTATCTATTTGTGTGTGTGTACATATAGAGATTAAGAATAGCTTATTAAATTTTATTCATTGACGATCTTGGGACTGTACTGCGTTTGCTTATTGCGTGTGGGAAGGGGGATTCCCGGTAAGTTTGTTTTATTCATTGCATTGCTATTTGGGTGTCTGTAATGTCGAGGTTTGGTATAAAATAGGCCGTAAAAATATAGCCTGCACGTATCAATGTAAACTTTTCGTCAAAGGTGTATTTCACGGGTGGGTTTTATCTTGTAAAATTGCAAAACGTCAGATACGCCTCCCCCCCCCCTCCCCCTACCACCACCACCACAGCTTCGGCAGAAAAGGCGAGGATTCCATTTCTACAGTGACCACTGAATACCGCAAGAAAATTCGCTTAGTTTTCTAATTCTCCAGTATATTCAATGATGCATACCTTTTCTAACTACGAAAATTTCCATTGGTTTGCACATTGCCCATAACTGAAGACATCTCCATAAGAGATGTCTTCACCTATCGGGCAAGCGCGTCAATCGGCGCTGCGTTGCGCTGCCGAACGTTATGTAGAGCGAGGAGATTGCCATCAAATGCTCGTGGATAGCCAAACTGAAACCGAAACTAACTCCTACAAAAACTCCATAATTTAAGTTCAAAACTGAATTAGTTTTCTGATATTCGTATTTTACAACAATATATCGAATAACGTTTCTATAACAAAACATATTTATTTGTTTTTGCCACATGCGCCAGAAAAAGACCAGCAGAAAACAACCCTATGAAAAACGCCACCAACAGAAGGTAACTCTCGAACTTCGCGAGTCACGAAGAATCGCCAAAAACAACGCCGCGAAGCGCTGCGAGGCCGGCATTGCGAGTCACCAACTCTGCATACTCGAACGAGTTCGTCAACAATACACCCACGTGATTAAACTCGTCGACGTTGTTCGGTTGAAGTTTACACTTCCGGCTTGCGTCGAGAAGACGACGGAAAACGCGAGCTTATTTCTTCGCTGCTTGCCGAAGTCAAAACCAAAACTCCTTGGCTTCGAGGAGGTCGGGTTGGGGCGCCTGATTGCGGTGGTGGCTTCTCTGCGATGGACTCGTGAAGGTACGGCCGTACTTGAAGCCTCCGTTGGCAGGGATCCTTCTCAGAAGAGACGAGGTCGAGAGGGGAGAACTGGTCTGCAGTTCTGTGTTTTGTGCTGCTTACATATGCGGACTGCAACGAGAGAAACGAGCGGCTGATACCCAACCCCCGTCCCAGGTATGTCACTCGAAGATGTCATCCATTCTGAGCATAACGGTATTCTTATTACGCGCTAACTTATTTAAAAATGAATGACCCCGGCTGTATTTGTTTAATCCTCCATTCTAAATACGATCGATCGATCGGTAGTAGTGTTCAGTTGTTGTTGTTATTTTTCAGGGATCGAACATTGTGCTGTTACGCGACCGATCTTTGATCATGTAACCGTTTTTCGACTGACGCTTTTCTTTCTTTTCACTCGCAAATTTAATTAGAGGTTGTCACGCGCAACATTTAATAACGCGCTTTGCACGCTGTCGCCCAATCAATTTGCAGGGTAATTGTTTCGATTAATTGTAGGTGTTCATAAAGTCACAGGGTCCGTGATTGCAATAGCTCAGCAATAATCTCTCCTTATATAGTTGTCGCGGGCTCTGTTTGTTATAATCGTAAGAATTATATTTGTGTCTTCAATAATTGCCCTAGTTGTGGAGCGTCAAGACACATGCACAAACTGCGATTTTATTGACGCTCATGTAGCCTCATGCATACGCACCAACCCGAAAACGAAACGTAGTACAAGTGGAGCGGGTTATGCACTGTCGTCGCCTGAACCAATCGTCACGATTATCCCTATGCGCTGTGGATACTTCACCGAAACGCAACTAAGACGCGCGCGCGCACCAAAAAATAATATATGTATATATATATATATATATATATATATATATATATATATATATATATATATATATATATAAGTATCTTCCTTGAGCTTTTTCACTCCACCATCGCGGCGATTCCGGCGGCAACGGCGATGGACGGACCACAAAAATAGCGCATATTGTCTACATGCCGGAACCGCTTTGTGGGAGAGCTCTCTCTCAATCTAGCCGCGTGTAAACAGCAGCGAAACCCGAAAAACAATCTGGCTGTGTCTTTATACTTTTCTTTTTTCTGCCTGCGCGGATTTGGGGGCATTGTGTGCGTGCGCGCAGGCGTCGGCGTGCGCTACGAGGGGGAAAAAGGATTTAGCCAGGGTTTAGCGATTCGGTCAAACAAAAACAGCAACGAAGCAACAAAAAGAAATGTAAAAGAAAAAAAAAGAAAAAGTTGCCAAGATGCAGCAGGAGCACGCGGTGGTTCCTCTCCTCCGCCGAGGTAGTTCCTAAAAACAGATCGCGGTCGAGACGCCGCCGAAAGCTATTCTTGCCTCCGCACTAGCAGCTTTTTATTTGTTTTCTGTTTTTCTTTTTTAATTTTTTGCTGGGACGCATAAGCGAAGCTACCAAACTGCTTCTCAACATAAAAAAAAAAAAAAAAAATTGAGAAAAGCTAGAAAAATAATAAACAAGGAGAATGACTGGTAATCAAATAACCTTCGATTCAACATAAAAAAAAAAATGTTTGCATATTTTACAGTTGTTTTGGATCTTAGTTGTCTGCAAAAGGGAAACAAATTATACATAGATGTGGATCTTTTTTTATTTATTTATGTGACTTTTGTGGTGCTCCTACACAGCCCGGATGGACCTACGGAAGGGTGCACCGATTGTCAGATGCATATCGTAGTGATGCAGATCGTTTTTTTTTTTATTGGAGAAACGATACAGAGTCATTGTAAACGAAGAAAAGGTTAGGCACAACGTAGTCGAAACAAGCAACAAAGAAAAATATTACTGGCAGTGTTTGTGAAGTATTAAAAAAAAAAATGTGGTCAGTGTAAAAGAAAGTTGCCCACGCCGTAGTCGATAAAACAATACTCGCAGTTGCACGCGGACTGGCATAAGTTGGTTAGACACGAAAGGTGAAAGAAGAAAAGTTCACACAACGTTTATAATACTGGCCAAAACAAGAATCAATTTATAAATTTATGCAGTTTTTGTTCCATCCTCCGAATGCCAAGATTATTTAGTTGTGCAGTGAAGGCTTCGTGAGAGACCCGGGGACGGATGTGTAAGTTTGAAAGCATTATTTTACTTAAATACAAAATATCTTTCTTTTCTTTATGAGCCGACGTCCGTCCAATATTTCAAACCATAAAAGTACATTGTAACCGCCTGTAACAATTATGTACAAAAAAAAAAAAAAAAAAAAAACTGATTAACGGGACAGTATTGCTTTCTTTCTTGCTGACAAGTTTTTTTTTTCTTTCTTTTTATTGAGGTAAGCGCGACAGATGCGTACCATCTCATTTCTTAATTTGAAAAATATTAGTCTATATATTTCGTATATTTCACAATTATATAGGTACTATGATTGCTGACTTTGATTCCTTTGTTTCTGGTATTTTTCCCGCAATCTGCGGAGTGAGGAAAACAAAAACAAAAAAAAAGCATAATTGTGGAATTGGCTTTTGAAAGCAACCACATCATTGAAACTAAAGCGAAGGCGCAGGCGATCTGGTTCAAATAACGCAAAAAACAAAAATAAAGAAAGAGAAAAAGGGGGGGGGGGGCGACAACGACACAAAACTTAAGATCACAACTAAAATATATCTTTTTTTTTTTTTTTTAGGACTGGTCTAATTAAAGGCTGGACTTCATGGGACGAATATGCTGCGAAAAATCGACGAATTTTGCCAGGCGGCTTTTGCTGTGCGCGTGGCATCGGCACAGTGGCGCCGTGCACAGAGCGAGCGTATCGTCGGGCGAAGTTCGTCAGTTATTCGTCGCATAATTCGCTCCACGGAGTTTAGCCTTAATGAGCTCAAGTCAAATTTGAGGGTTTTACGTGCCAAACCAACGCAGGGCATCTGGCACGCCCCAGCGGAGGACTAATTTGGACCGCCTGCGAACCTTTTGACGTGCAATCGAAAGCTTCGATCGTTTACACCGCAGTAAGCGTCCGTCAGATTTCGGGCAGCACCACGGCCGAGATCCAGATTAATTAGCTAAAATCGGTTAATTATCTTTTTTAATTAGTGAACATACACATATGGTTAATTCCAACTTAAAACTTGCCTTGCTTCATTGTAGAATCGGTAAACCACTAGATCGGTAGATATGGAGCACGGAGGTGCTCTAAAGTTAGCCCTCGTGCTGGCGCAAGGCTAGCGGTGCGGAAACGCGGATGACAACACCATCCGCGCCAGTCTACTTCGTTTCACTTTGGAATGGAAAGCAGCGCACGCGGAGCCAATCCAATGCCCCGCGAGAGTCACGTGACACTTGCATGGCATGGTCACGTGGCATTCGGGAGGGACGCAGCGATACAGCAGACATGCGCGCGTGGAGTATAGTCACGTGACACGCTTACGACGTTGGATTGGCCGGAATATTGACCCGTGCCATCCGCTGCTGTCCATCCTAAAGTGAAACGGAGTATTGAATTTGTGCACGTTAACATTTCTTTAATGATTGTGTTGTGTGTATATATACAGCGTGGGCGAAATGGATTGAATGCGTTTTAAACTGACTGCATAAATCGGTTTCTTCACTTATCGCGCTGGGATTTACTGCAGGGGTGCTCGAAGGTAATGCATTCATTAATTAAGAGTATGAGTACATGAAACCTCCGGAGTCAAAAGAAAGGAAATAATAAACTGGTTTTGTCTATGGAAAAATTCTCGCTAAGCCTTTTTTCTTAAAATCATTGGAAAATCGTTCTGGGCTATTCTGGCGTTTACTACGACTGAAAAATTTGTGACACGGAAAGAAAATAGAATTGGTCCAAATAAGCGTCACAGTAACACGAAGTATATTTTTTAGTGTACATGCAAAGTCACTGATCTCTGGATGGCGCTTAGGTGCTCTCTGACCTCCGAGCCTTGCGCAAGTGAAGCCACCGGAAATTCGATGCTTGTCCCGGAAGTCGGGCGTGCGCTCGGCTTCCTAGTGCATTCAGTCGATAATTTGGTCCATGTTTTTTTTGTGTCTTTGATTTTATTTTAATACTCCCGTTCTGTATTAAATCCCGAGAATAAGGCATTTGAACGTGGGACATACGCACTCTTGATAAACTAGAATCTCAAAATTTTCACATCGAATGGCTTCCCAGGCGACTTCTTGTGTCCACATGCTCTGTTACTCCGCTACAAGCAGGCTCTCTTGGGATGACAAGAAAAAACCCATCGCCCTCAACGATGTTCGAATCAGCACTCGGAACAGTTGAAAAGCCTGTCAAGCGTTCACTTCCGGGACAAGGCGCTTACTTCTGGTGGCTTCATTCCTGTCTGTCAAATGCGCCATCCACCCCCCTATAGTAGAGATCAGTGTGCAAAGTATAAAAAAACAACAACATAGTTTTAGATTTTTCAAATTTACTCAGATGAGCCAATCTTTCCACAGTGGTCAGCCTCAATGAGCGTTTGGTGTCTGGATGGATGGATGTTTGATGGATGTTAATGGCTATACGGTTTGTAACGGGCGGTATCTTGCGCCACCTAGCCTATGTCTAAAAAGACAACCATATGATTCTTCCCGCCCTATCACCAGGCAGTGCGGAGACCCTTAGGGGATCGGGGAAAAAAAAACTAAAAACATCACCCCCCGCCTCTTCCAACCGGCGAGGGAGTCGCCAATTTTCCTCTGGTCAAACCTTGTCGGCGTTAGCCGCAGTTGAAGATGAGAAATGTTGCCAGTACAGTAGAACCTCTAGCCTGGGGTCTTTAACGCGCATGATGCAGTACTGATACACAATACCGCACGGTGGTATAATACGCACCCAGATCGAAACGGGCAGGTGGGGGATTGAACCCAGGACCTGGGCTCAATCGATATAAAATATATTAAGAGGGCATTATAAAATAGTGCTAAAACCAAAACATAATGATATATCAGACTGTTTTGAAAGGTTAGTGATAGCGAAATGCTTGCCTGAAATGCAGCTGTCTACTGTGTATAAAATGTTACAAAAGACACAAAATGGTAAAAAAAAAAAAAAGAAGCTTGTAGGAATTTTTGCAGGTGAGGTACAGCGACGCAGAAATGAAACGTAAACAAAGTAAAAAAAAAAAAAAGATTTGAAGAAGAACAAGTGTAAGACTACGCCCTATTTCGGTGGTTGCGTGCAACGGC